TCTCTCTCTGTGTGTGTGTGTGTGTGTGTGTGTGTGTGTGTGTAAAGTATGAGTATATTAATGTCATTGCATAAAAATGTCATTTCTAAGTTATGTAATTTTGTTAAGCTGAGCACTGGTAGTCGTATAGCGTAACTGTTACAGTGAATGGACAACCACTTGAAATATATATTTATTTATAGTATTATACATATTGTTAGCTATGTATAATATTAATACAGTATATTATATGTATAATATTAGCAGTAAAGTGTTGGACTATAGCAATATAGTTTATATGATAAGGCGTGAGGAAAGTGAGACCAAAAAATCGTGGATTTATTCCCACCGAAAAAGTTAATGCCTTTATGTCACGCAAAAACCAATTGCCGACTCAAACCATATCATGACTGCAAACCACTAACACTCAGTTTATCTGTTTTTTAATATACATCTACACAACAGCTATTAGTTTTGGGTTTATATGATATTATGGTCAGCGCTACTGTTTGACAATAGGCATTAACTATTAATATATAGCTATATTATAAATAACAATAGTAATTAACTACTATTTATTTTAATTGGTAATAAATAAATAAGTAATTAATATTTATTAATAATTTATAAATTATTTTATATTGTATTTAAAATCAATTTTTAAAAATTGTAATTCATAACAATATTTATAATTGTATATTTTCTCATGAATTTATTGTAGAAATTGCTATTATGTATATAACATATTCAATATATACGTATAATACGGCATATAAAGTACTACAGTATATACTGTATTAAATTTTTAGTTTTAAATAGTAATTCTTAAAGAATAATACAAAGAATAAAGGAAATCATAAATATTTCAAACTATTTAAATGAAAATCTTATATATATTTTTAAAGATGCTATCGTTGAACAATCAAGTTTTAAATATATAATAATAGTAATAAGTATTGCGGCAAAAGAAGCTATTATTACAATTATAATAGATTTTCATTTTTATTCATTATATATTAGAGGCACTGATGGAGGAAATGCTTGACTTTTTGACTTTTTTAAGACATTGAAAAACGTGTACTGAATTTGTAAAAAGCAAAACACTTTCTGAAATTAATTGCGCTTTTGATTTATTTTTACAATTTTTTTGTACTAAATCATCTTAAATGTGTTTCAACAATTTCATATTATTAATATAAATATTGATTATGTTTGAAAGTTAATTTAGAAAATAGCAGTTACATTATTTTATTTAAAAATTTTAAACAAAATAGTGAAATCTTTTATAACTAAATTAATCTTATGCATAATATTATGATATATTACATTATACTGTTATATAATACTAACTTTTTTAGAAGTAATTAATGTAAATAAAAATGTCCAGTATAATTAATAGTTTAGTAAAATACAAATCTATAAAAATTAACTAATTTCTTAATAAATTATATATCATATTTATAGTCAATATTTATAAAATTTTAATTCAGACTTTGAGTTAAATGAAAGTAAATTTATATGATTTACAACTTATTTTTAGTGTGTGTACACTGATTATTGGTGTTGTGATACACATAAGTACAGAATTTGGTCGATTGCCATAAAGTGGTTCATAATTGAAACATTAATTTGAGAGTTAAGACAATTGCAGTGCACATGACTTCATTGAAGGCATTGGACATTACTGTCACAATAAAAACTGTTTTGTCTGTAGGATCAGCTCTACAAGTCATACAATTGTTTCTATGACTTATAGACAACTGATTTTTGTATATAGTATACCGTATACTGAATATAATGTATATAGGGTTAGATTGAGATTCCCAGGGAGGGAAGTTCCCAGATAAAATCCCTCCAATTTTCCCGGAAAATATGGAAAATATATTATATTCCCTCCCTTGATCGTTAGAAAGGGAAAATATAATTTGTCATACATTAAAAAGTACCTAATCTCAATGACTATGTGTTTCAATTGGGACCATTATGTTAGTAATAACTCAATCAAAATATGATTCTAATAATATTAAACATTTAGTAAAAACATTAAATACATTTTGTAGACATTTACTATACAAACATGTTTTTAATAAAACATTATGTAATGTGAGTTAGGGTACGATAGGTGGTACCACAAGGAAATGTCTTCCCAGGGAATTCCCAGGGAACAGGGAATATAAGGAACTTATGGAATATAAGACGAGGGAGGGAATCTAATCTAACCCTAAATGTATATAACACACCGTTAGGTATTATATCAATTTTCTGATCATAAGCCAAACTAATGGCATATATTTATTAGAATTTTTCCTATAATTATCAAAAATCATATTCATTATAAAATTAAAATAAAATTGTAATTGCATTGTAGTCTCCTTTAATTTTCTTTCCTGTAATAATAATTTATATAAATATTTGTAACGAATGAACAATTAATATATAAAATTCATTTATCAGAACTTATTAATTATAGTTATATAAAAAAGAGTAAAAAAATAATTTTAATAATACATATAATTTTTAGGCAATGCGTTGATTAAAGCAAACCAACGCCCAATTCTCGGCCCATAATTATGGTATTGATATCGCTTTCATATGTGTATTGAATAAAATTTATGTATACAAATGAGATACGATATGACTGTACTATTTAATCAATAAATTATTATTTTCATCAAAATAATTAAAATCCATGTAAAGTTTTTCAATGTTATAGCATTTTACCAATTAATACAAAACTCTATTGTAAGTTACAATTTGTAACTCTATACTAATGTTAACAATCAATTGATATTTAAAAACTAGTTATTCAATTTAAATTATACTGTATATATTATTTGACTATTTTTATTAATTATAATCAATGAAATATGTTTTGCATTTGCAATGATAAACATACAGTTTAAAAACAAACTACTGACCAACATATTAATTAACTTAAATTATTAAAAATTATAAACAATTTTAGCAAATAATAAAATAAAAATAATTATTTATTAAGTAAAATTAATATTTTTTTTTTTAATTGAATCACTAAAAGAAACTATAATATAATACTTTATTAATTATTTATTATAATTTAGAGTTCTAATATGTTGTCAGTAAATAAAGTTTTTATAACTTTAAATTCTATATTTATCTAATTATACAATTTTATTGTAGATTATAATGTATAAAAATTTCTGATTTCAAAAATTATACAGTGTTTACATATTTATATAATTTACTTTAAAATGGTCTTAAAATTATATTAAATTTATTTATTTTATATATTAGAATTATTTGATTCACTTATAAATAGTTTAATATTTATTTAATTATTTATTTTCCAGTTATATCATAGGATCCTTTTGGTCCCTCGGATCGGGGCAACGACCCTCAAGTAATGGTAATCATGTATTGTAATTCATCAGCGACTGAGTGAGTGAGTGTGTGTGTGTGTGTGTGTGTGTGTGTGTGTGTGTGTTTGTGTGTGTGAGAGAGAGAGAGAGAGAGAGAGAGAGAGAGAGAGAGAGAGAGAAAGAGACCTCAAGTGAGACCTAAGAAGGAGAGGCGTTATATGTGTTATAATTGTTATAATGGTTTGATAGCCAGTGTTTGTCACTTATGATCGATTAAATTTAAAGTCTTTTATAAATTTTTAGTCACAAAATCGATGAATCAAAAAATGTAAGACTTATTGGACTGTTTTTCATTGACATACCTCAAGACAATTCTTAAGTGAATATATATAACTTCCTCAAGAGTTCGTACTTTAGTTTGTTTGTTACAATCACTGACTAGACTTAATCCAAATGTTAGTCTATATACTGACTTTGCATACCATTAAAGTATTAGGTCTTCAATAAAATTAGGTCAACAAGACATCAAAAAGTCATAATGTAAGTCATATCTCAAAGGTTTTACTATTTTTTAAATACATTTAATACTAATTTTGTATATTTTAAAATAACAAATTTTTACAATAAATATGCAATACATTACAATAAATATGTATGTATCCAAAAATTAAATTATCAAAAAGATGTCAATATTATCTAATTATACTATTAGTTATAGTCTATAACTAATAAAATTAGTTAAACAATCGATACTTTTGCAAAATTATATTAATATTAAAATTATTTTTTAAATTGAATCAATTTTATTGATAATGAGATATTGCATAATATACTGTATATCAAATTATTTGTAACATAAATTTAACTATAAAATTATTTTTTAATTGAAATGTTGTGTCAATTATTATAAAGTTTACTTTTCTTTCATATTTTTATAATGCGATAAATATATTAAATAAAACATTTTACATTTATTAATCGTATACATAAATATACACTATTTAAATTAATTTTTGATTAAATCTTTCAACAATTTAAATTCACATAATGATCATAAATTATCAAATTTAATATTAAATACAAAAATAAATTTAAATCATTAATAATAAAATATTTATTAATTTGTAAATATATTATATTATTTCAATTAATTTTATTAAATATTATATTTATATAAAAAATAATGTTTTAATATTAAATTACTTTCTATATATGCATTAGTATTTTATAAATTTTAATATTTATCAAGCAAAATACATATAATGAAATGAATATATAAATATTATTTGTTTAAATATAGTAAAATAATTCATTGTAAATTATATTTAATTATATATAATATATATAAGGTGAAATAAATAATTTATTGTATACACAAATGTAATGAAATAGTTTAATGTTATGCTGTACTATATATATATATATATATACTGTATATATTATAATATAATATAATGAACACTTTAAAATCATTTGAGGATATATCTGGTATTTTAACAGAAACTTCAAGTCTCTATAAACACACGTTTTAACATATTTTTAATCTTAAATTCAATTTAAAGATTTAAATTAAATGTCTAAATAACAAAAAATATAAGTAAACATATAATGTGATGTATGTGTAACGTCTAATTCATGAAATAAATTTATAAAAAAAAGTATCAAAACTATTATACAATTCAGTAATTATATATATACACTAAATAACTACTAATAACTACGTTATCGTCAAATTAAATAACATAAATAAAATACTGTAAATGTCAATAATAATAATTAATATGATTGTGTAAATTGTGGTCAACTATTTATCCCAAAGTCCCGCTTCTTTCATTTTATTAATAAAAAATCGCTCCAAAGTGTTAGCACATTTGTAGTACTCTGTGTCGGGGCTGTTATATGCCCGACAATTCTGAAATATACGATTAATGTCGGCATTAAAGAGACGTTTATTTATATAATATTTGTTTTTGAAGCGGTCAGTCATGGTTTTGAAGTCCATGGGATACTTAATGTAATCATAATAATCGGGTGCTTCTGTTGTTTCTACTGGTCTAAGGAAAGGCCACGAACTGTTGTGATTCTTTAATTGGCCTAAAATTGTCTTAAAAGTAATCATCAAATTATTCTCAGAGTCGTTGTTCTGCTCTTCCTTTACTTTTCGTTTGTCTGCTTTAACGACCGACAACTCTTTGATACCGGGAATCAAGTCAATGGACACCTCTTTGGGTCCGTCTTTAAAAAAAGTCAGTCCCGGATATACTTTGTGTGATTTCTTTTGTTTTTCATCAATAAGTTTCTTAATAATTTCTTTTTGTTTTCGGATAACTGAAGTCAAGTTGATATAAGTGATGCTTGGGTTGAGTTGACACTCCATGAGAGTCGCGCCTTCGTATTCCTTGATATAACCCAAGTATTCAGACTTTGCAAGTCTTATATCTTTAGTAAAACCCTGTTTCTTGAAGTAACCGATTGCAAACTCGTCGGCATACGTCAGAAAATGATATATTTTATGCTTAACGTGATAGTCCTTCAAATGATTCATTAGATGTGTGCCATAACCTTTGACCTGTTCGTTGGAAGTGACCGCACAAAACACTATTTCTGAAAAACCTTGATTTGGGAACATTCGGAAAGATATTCCTCCGATTACTTTATTTGAGTCTTTAATTAGTGCTAATGTTTTATGTTTTGGATCAAAAACTAATCGAGTGATATACTCTTTTGGCATTCGTGGCAATTGATGGCTAAACACATTTTGCAGTCCAATCAACCAAATGAGGTCCTGTTTATCCACCGGTTTTGTCAAAGAATTGGCCACAATATGAAAACTTATAATCCCTTTCTTCTCCTCACTCCTCGCTGACTCATCTCTGGCTGATATTTCCGGTAAGAGAGCAGCAGTAGTCTCGATAACTGTCTTAGATTTGTTCATTTCTTTAATAATACGAGAGATAACATCATCGCCGATATCACCCGTAATAGAGATCTTCGATTTTTTAGTCGGAGGTTCGACTTTGACTTCATTAGTTACTTCAGAATTACTTCTAATCCGTTTTTCACTTCGAGTGCTTTTCGGTGATGTTATTAAACCGGGACTTAAATTAAATGTAGTAAAACCTGATGATGACGATGGAGTTGAAGATAACAAAGCACTTGTACCGGTGCTTACGTTAAGAAATGATTTTGATTGTAAATCTGGTGATAAACTAATTGGTATTGAGGTCAGAGAGTTGTTTAAATTGGAAGTACTTTTCGCTGAGTTTGAAGCAAATGATGGCATATTCTGCTTGTATTCGAGATCCCAAATCGGAGAACTGTTTGAATAGACTTCTTCTTCAAGCATTGAAAGAAAACGAGGAAAATGAGTCAATACAAGAGTTCGCTTATCGGCTGGCATTCTGTCCTTTTCTGCTCGAAATTTGTCTAATAATTGTCTTCTCATTGTTTGAAATACAGATCGTAAGAGCGTTCGTCCAAATATTAATGAAGTCTCGAAGTGAGTCAAACTTTGAATAAAATAAAAATAAATAAATAAATAAATAAATAAACTTATTGTAAGTAAATATAAGGCACACAATTGATTAAATAGATGGCAAACCTATCACAAAAAGCTGGTACGTGACAGTAACACAACCAACGCGTGTAATTGATCTTATATGCCGACACATCTTCATTAGGTGAGTGCTGTTTGTGAGCCTGAGGTGTCTCTAACTTCCAATGATTGAGACAATGGAGAAACATTTTGGCCAAATCATACATTGTTTGCCACTCTTTCTCAGACAAGTGACTAAATTTATAGCAAACAAAGTTTATAACACCCTATCATACAAATAAAAATATATATCCATTTAATCACAATTACAACTTTATTTGACAGTAAATACCGTTTTAATTGATGGCTTCTCGAAGGGGGGATTTCCAAGTGGTCCCTCAACTGATGGTCGACTCATTTGCATAATGGCTTTCCTCAATAATTTAAACAAATAAAAATAAACTTGTTTTGTATCGGTATCTTCTTCAATATGGACACACATAAATAGGTTTTCCACATCGACAACGATACCCAACAATCTGTCCAATTCCTCCTCTTTGACAGCTTCTAAATGGTTTACGTGAGCACCTGTTAGTCATACAAATATAATATTAAGTTTTACGTTAAATGTTTTACTCTTACTAATCATTTTTTCCAAATAATTAATAATAATTTACGGTAAAAATTATTAACATTTAGAAATCAAAATATTTTATAAAACTCTTACCGTAAGTGAAATATCATATATTAGTAATATTAACACAATATATAATAACAAATGAGAAAAATTGAATATAAAGTGTAAACAATTGATATAAAAACTAACTTAGAGGATGTCCACAACTACGACAGGGATCAGTCATTTGTGAGACGGCATTGTTGTGTCGGTCGGAGTTCTTGTCGTTGTTGGCAATGGTATTGTTGTTGGGATTCTTCCATCCGTTGCATTTGCATGTGTTGTCGTTAGCCCTGCACTGGGAATATACCCCTAGTTTTTCCAATTTCTTACTTCTTGTCCATGTCTTAAGCTGTTGTTTCTTCAGTGCAATCCTTTGCAGGTTATTCTTGAGTTGAACCGATGTCTCACTTGTTGTGGATGAAGATGTCGAAGCATTATTGGTGGCACTCATTGCGTCCATAAATATTTCTTCGCCGGTTATTATGAACGGAGACAACAACCTAAGTGTCACCAAACTTCATGTCCAACGATATTATCTGTAAATAAGTCAATCATTTATTATAAAACAAATTATTATTATTATTATTATTATTATTATTGTAATAGAAATGCAAACAATCAATGAGTGAATCAATGATTAGACAAACCTATTGATTGATTGCATCCAATGTTATGATGTCTTATATATTGTTATCAAATAAATAAATCAATCAATTGTTTGATTAAATATTTGTTTATTATTTTCAAAATAACTTTTTTTTAATAAATAAAACAACAAAATGTGTGTCAATTTGTAATGTCGTTGACAGCGCATGCGTTACATTGAGTTTATTATGGTTTGCATTCAAGCAATAGATGTCACCAATGATTGTCAAATGACTATAAAATTAATTATTATTTTTCAAAACTATTTTTTCCGGTTTTCTATTAATAACTTTAATAGTAATTAGTTTATATAAAATCAAAATATATTTATATTACAACTATATTACAAATACAGTATATATTATTTACTGTTAATACAAAAAGTTTTATTTGAATACAGTATTAATTAGTTACTTAAATCTTAAACTTAATTACTTATATAAAGTCTATTATTTTATTGTTTTATTACATAATTATATTCAATTTAAATTTAGTTTTTCATTAAAATATTTTTAAGTATAAAACAAGATATATCTTGAGTTCAAATGTTATAAATATTTATTTCGACTATTAATTGGTCACAAATTTATTTAATTCTGTATTTAGTTTTTCTGCAAAACAAATCAAATGTTAGTTTTTTTTAAATATTAATAAAAACAAATAATATAACAATAATTACTAATTTGTTGGTTAATGTGATTCATTTGGTCTTTAATGATATCACTTCTTAAGGACTTATTGTTAATAGAGTCGGACTTAATGGTTGAGTCCAACGATTGTCTGGTTGTATATGACTTAGCAATAGATGCATATCTTCTCTCAAATCTTCTAAAAATTATTTGTTTGTCACTAATAGTGAACGCTATGTAAGTGAGAAATGCTATTATTTGAGATAAAGTTTTCAATTGTTAATACAATTGTTATTTAATTAATTAATATAATTAAAATTGCAACCAAATAATGGTGTAATCAAAATGATGATAATCGCAGCCCAGACACTACCAAAACTAGCCATTAGATACACCTGTTATCAAATTATTGTCAAACTATTATTAGATTCATTTCAATATAATTTTTAAATAGTTTCACGAGATTTTATTTTATATAATAATAATTATTAAATAATTATTAATTAAATTATTTTTACAAAAAAGTCACTTGGACAAATATTTTATAATTTTGTTTACCATAAAAAAATCATGATTTTGGTTTAAAAAAGTGCATCAAGGTAATTTTGACATAATGTCAACTTTTATGTAATAGTTTTATAAATTTGCAATTATTTGCGAAATTTTACTTTAAAAAGACAGCAAAAGTGAAAATTGTTTGCAATCTGTGGAGAAAATATTTAATTAATTAATTATATGTTACTATTATTAATAATATACATATTTTATTATTATTATTATTATTATTCATTTAATTTAAAATATTTTATAAATAAAGTTTAAAACATTTAAACACATGTTATTAATGACTGAATGCTATAGCGATCATCACATGTGTTGTAATTTTGTAAACAAACCTTAAAAAAGTTGTTATTATTATTGATATTAATTGTAAATCAAATAATCAATGAAATTATTGATTCAACTCAAGAATCGGTCACTTGTTTTGCATCCAATCCTTATAGTGAGTCATCTGAGGTCACATGCAGTCCATGTCATGAAATGGCGATCATTTCATTCAAAGGTTTTTATTGAACTATCACTTGAATTGTTAGACATTTTAATCTGATTTTTGTGTTAATGAAAACAGTTGTTTAATACAAGAGATGGTCATATGTTAAGTGATGCGATACTGTCGGTCAAAGTAGTGACGAATGTAATGTCCAAACGGCACATAAACTTTGAACGGTTGCGACAAATCTATCGGATTATCCGTTTAAAAGACAGAGGTATTGAACACAACTTCAAACACGACAGACAAAATCCTAAGGAAGAAATCATTGTTTATAAGTCTGAAATAAATCGGATCACATTTTTGGGTGGTATTGTCTTCCCATTATTAGCTATTATCACGAGTCTTGCATTATATATATGGCCGCAAATCAATAGGGATACGATTGAAATACCAATAGATCCGCACGACAAGAGATTGGGTCCCAAATATGCCAAAGAAATTGTAATATTAGTTTCGTGTTGGCATTTGTCACTCTCTCGTAAGTATGTCCTCCGGATGTATTACAATAGAAGTCGCAATGTTTTCAAATTAAGTACTTGGAACTGGTATTTTCCATTCACTACGAGTACACGCGAATGTCCCGCCGGTTCCGGTCAATACAGTACTCATCGGTTTAGTGATTCACCCTTTTATCACACATTTTTTGGTAACTGTAAGGTCAAAGGTCGGTCCTATTATATCAACGAAAATCAATTTGCTTTTCCCGTCTATTATAACATACTGTTTGGTTATAGTACTCCACGATCTTTACCATCATTAGGTAAATCCATCGAAGAAATCAATAAAACCAATGGAAATATTCTTCAAAGAAAACGAGATATTTAATAGTTTAAGATTTTTTTATTGTGTTTTTGGGTTTACATTAAACTTATTATATAATAAAATTAAATGACATTCAAGTCGACGAATACTACGTTAAGAAGTCCTTCTGTATATTGAAGACGACGGAAGGATAATGAACTCAATAGAGATGTTATAAACAATTTATTACAAAAGTAGTCTTCAAATGTCACACATCTTTTCGTCGGCTTTTGATTGTATAAATACATAAATAAATTAATTAATGACTAACTCATTGGTTTAAACACAATTTGAGATCATAAACAAGAATCTTATATACACACAAACAATTTAAATCATTGAAAACCATAATTTTTTTTATAAAACTAGATATTTTATAACAAAAATTTCAAATTAATAGTGAAAAAATAAAATACTTAAGATTAAAACCCGTTTACAAAAAATAGTAAAAACAAATTTTCATTAAAAAATAATATACTGTATTTATATAATACTATAAATTTTTTAAATAATCTTTAAATATTCAGTAGTTGTGATCTGCATAACTTATAACATATGAAATAAACGTTTTTTTTTGCAAACAATAAAAGTCCAATAAATTAACCAACAAATTAAAAATACAAGGCTTTTATAAGACAAGATTGTGTCAATAATTTGTATAAACGATAAGTTATTTTCTTTTAATTACTTAATCAATAATTTAAACAATAAGTAGTTAAACAATTAGTTGATTGATTTACGACTAAAAAAACGGCGATTCATTTAAAGGCTACCATTTATAGAGTTCTTCATTCTATAAAATAATACAATAGTTTAGATGTGAAGTCATGTAAAATACAACCGGTATTTACGTTAACCTTTCTTCATTAATGTTGATGAGCTGCTCTTCAATTTGTCCCAATTGTACCCTAAAATGTTGCGCTTGTGAGGAATCGCCGACTTTTTCGGCGTTGACTATCATTCGGTTTAAATTACGGGAACTGTCTCTCAACTCTTGTATAGAACTATAGATGGGATCCTCCGACTATAATCAATAACATATAAGCAATTGACAACAAAATTATTATTATTATTAAATTTGACAATTAATTGATAAAATATAGTTTAATAAAAGATAGAATGACCGGCACCTGAGGTAAGCATTTTTTTTAAGGCAAACATTTGGTCTTTATATAGACCATTGATATGCATGAAATAATAATAATTTTAATTTATTAAATTTAAAGTATTATAATTGATTCATAATTAACAAAAATACCTGAATTGTTTTAATACTGATATGAATCAAAAGCGACGCCAATTCAAGCTCTTCACTATATTCATTCATTAAGGGAACACTTCTATATCCTATACAATAAAATTTAAATGTTTTGATTTCAATAAATATTGTACAGTAAGTGTTGGTGTGTTGTTTGGCAAACCTGTTCGGATGCAATTGATAGGGAAGGTTCCGTGACCTAAGAAATTTGGATCACCGAACATGTCTTCATCGTAGACAACCAGTCGGAGAAAAGCCAAATCACTACAACTTATGTCAAAAACGATCGTTTCGTTCCAAACCGGATTAAAACCATTGTCGGCTAAAATAACCATAATTTATCAAATGTTAAAATTTATTTAAAAAATAATTGTCTAAATTTTAAAGACTTACGAATACTGCTTGTCTTAGATTTGTTGGCATCAAATTCAGTGCCAATGATCTCCACCTCAACGAAAGGACTTACTAGACCTCTGCCAGATTTCATGAGATGTCGGGCCGCTATCACCTAAATAATATTAATTCATTAGTATTCAACTTAACGATAGTATTAAACAAATTTTAACATCAATTAATTAATGACTTACTTTTACAGTCAAAGTTATTGGTTGTATATTTTTAATTGTCGACCGATCATATGAGTTAAAGTTGTCGTCAAACATTATATCACTTTTTAATACATAACCACATTTACCATTAGATCTAAACATAGCGCCATTCAATTGCATGGCTCTGTCAGGTGTTTGATAGTTAAGAGCTGCCATTTGAATGCCAATTAACCACATCTTCATTGGGTCATAATTAGATGAATCAATTCTACCGCCTTTTGGATAAACGCGAGTGAATTGTGTCTTATTATACTTTAGAAGAAATTGACAATTCATTGGAGACAACCATTTATCGACTTTGGATTCAGGAAATGATGACATTTCAGTAAAATTTCCAATTTCTTTATACAATCGTAAAATAATATTAATTTTAGTATTGTTTACATTCATAATCATCACAAAAAATGATAAAATTTAAGACTTACTTTCGGTGTCAAAACTAACGGCTCGACAATAAATGATTAGATTTGACAACTCTTGTGCTATTCTCCAGTCTCTCTCAATTTTTTGATTATGTCTTATCTAATATTTATAAATATCTTTAATTAAATAATTTCTTGAATTATTAACATTGAAAATAATTTAAACATAACAAACCATTTCATTGAACATTTGAGAAGTTTCTCTAATTTTGGTGACCCATTCAATCATCTCATCTTCACATTGAGTGGAAAGAAATATAGCCGTTTGTGTCGGAGAAACCACAGAAAATACATAATCTCTTCCTCTAAATGTACCCTTAGGTATGACAGTACAGCCAACGATATCAATACTTCCTTTTTGTAAATTACCAAACGGTTTGCTTACATCTGATAACTAATTTAAATAATTTTGTATTTATTGATAGCAAACATTTAGTCAGTTTTTAATCATTAAAATAATATGAATGTGTTTTTACGTCTTCAATATTATCATGTGTGTTGACTTCTTCCACATGATTAGCCGGAAGCCAGTGTTGTTTTTTGCCGCCATAGTCCCCCTTCCACCACCCCCCGCCCTCCAATTTTATCACATTTGTAATGATTGCGTGTTTACAAAATGATAACTCATCCTCACGTTGAGCTCTATAGTCATACAGTGCTTTAACAGTCACTGTAAGACTGTTATTGGGGTCCATATAATTGCCTTCGGGACCAATCGGGTCCTGAATTCAAGTCATGTATTTTACTATTTTTAAGACTTAACTTCAAATATAACAACACTTACGGAACCTATTCGTCGTACAATCTCTTCATTTGTTGGATATTTTAATTTAACTTTTCTATAATAAAATTAAATACTTTAGTAATAAAATGAAAAATTTAAATCAATTAATTAAAGATTTACCGATAAAGTGGATGTTTTTCATAGAAGTTAATTAAATCAACGAGACTCTCGTATTGAGCATTTCCTATTAAGTAAAGCCGTCCCTCATGTTTGATACGGCAGTGCTTTATTTTATTTTCGGCACTTTATATAAAACATTTAGATTTTAAAACTTTAATAAATTTTTAATTACCGATATATCTATTATTAATACCGAAATGATATGGAAAATGAATTTTCTTCCTTTTCTGACGGTCTGACCAAAAAAGCTCCGTCATATCGAAGACGTTTGAGCATATCTTCAGCTTGAGCTCTGGTCATATTCTGGTGATACCATTCTTTACTTTCATGTGAGTTGGGCTGAGGCACCGGTTCTGTTAATGTTATAGAAAACTCTTGACTTCTAAGTGGATGTGTTTGATAATGAGTTATTAGAGCATAAAGTGTATCGAAAGTAACCGAATCTATTAAATGATATTTAATTCCTCTTTTTTCCTGTTTTTGTTTGATTCGGCAGTGATTTACTTTTCCTTTTCGCCAAAAGGAAAGTGAATAATCTCCGACAAACGTATCACTATCTCTGACCAAAAATGTGCCGTCACCTAAATGTGAATATCGGTTTAATAATGATTCTGCTTGATTGCGACCTCCGGCCAGTTTCCCGTGAAACCATTTTTCATCCAAATGTAATTCTTCCGCACCAATTAAAGTGCCATCTCTTTGGTTAACGTTATTATGTCTCTCATTCTCGATGTCGTCGTCTTCCTCTGAGTTGTGATCATTTTCTGTATAATACATCTTATCATTGGTTAACATAAAAAAGTGAGGTTTCCATTCCTAAAGATAATAAGAAAATTTATTTGTAATCTTTAATTAATTATACAATTTATATAATACCCGCTCTAATGAATCCTCGAGAAAGAGTATTCCATTCTTAACAGAGTTACTGATATCCATATCAGTGATAATATCTTCAGTGGATTTTGTTTGTATAAATCTTTCATCAGAACCTTCCGGTAATTTTTTGTGCTTTAATTGTAACAAATTTTTGTATTATTTTATTTTTTAAAAACTAACACAAAATACCTTTATTATGAATTTTCTCTTCAATTTATTAGGTGAAGGCATCGCTATCCCCTCCTTCTCAATTGGTTGAGTTAGTAATAAATCTTTAAAATTAAATATTATGGTAATTAATGCAATTTTTTAATTTTAACCAATTATAATAAACAATTTATTAATGCATAATAATAATAATAAAGTGATTTTATTATTATTATTAATTGGTTTAAAGAATGTAATATTATTTAGATGATTGAATATTTGGATTCATTAGTTAATTATTAAAATTTAGTGCAAATACTAAGTTAGCACCGGTAGAGTACAATTGCAACAATTTAAAAGCAATTACCTCCAAAAATGTCTTTAAACGCTTGAGCCATATATCTTTGTTGAGGTAAAGTGCAGTGATTTTCAATGGACAAAATGACCGGAAAGTCAGATGTGGTAAAAGCGTGTTCATTGATTGTCTTAATTACGTCAAAAAATTTAATTTTTGTGGTAAGTGTGTGGCCGTGATATATAAGTGGTTTGCCATCCGGTCCATCCCAACAATCAACTATCGAGTAATTATCCATTCATATTATCAGTACTTTAAAATTATCTCAATTTTGTTAAGTAATGTTTAAATAGTTACGTTCAATACAACGACAACCCATTCGCAGGCATCGGGCGTAAGCATCAGTAGACGATTCACTCTTTACTTGATCTCCAGTTAGGTATGTATTATGAGACGAAGCAATCCAGTAGTGAGTCAATGGTCGGTCCATATCTTGATTAACATCATTATGTTTTGAGTCCCAAATCTCGTTGTGTTTAGAAAATAAATAATTTATAAACTGTTTAACAGTAAAATAAACTTCTTTTAAATCACGACTTTGATTAAGAAAATCATTCATTAGATTTTGGACACTCTCGAGATCACTATTAATGATATCATTTTGTTCGTTAGCAATAAATTCGGCCAATTCTTGAGCAGTGATCAGTTTGCGATCATTAGAATAGGAGGCAAAGTATTCACAAAAGATTTTGTTGTCATAAATCAAATTATGATATAATTGCATAAACCCGTCGTAACCTATCTCTCCTGATCTCGTTTTATCCACTTCTTGGAAGTGCTCTTTGAGCTTATTATTCGCTAATTTATAGTTATTTCGAGTAAGAAATGCTTTCACTTCTTTGAGTGTAATTCTGAAAACAAATATCATTACAATTCAAAAGTCAATTATTATAATAAAATAAAATCATATTTACGCCGATTTTTCCGTAAGACTAAACTCTTTTGTAATCCAAAACTCTAATTGAAGCCAATGTGTAGCGCGTTGTGTATCAGTGGCCAGAAAGCGGAGTCCGTGAACCCATTGCTCACATTCAGAGGCTGTCTTGGCTTTAATGATCAAACAATCACTCAATTAAATTATTGTCAATCAAAATGTTAGGTCACATACCGGCACACGAAAGTGTCTTCAGACGGAATGTTTGACCATAGAGTACACTCAGACACTGTTGCTTCTGATAACCTTTGAGAGGGTCTTCCTCTAGCATTCTGTCCATTATCTTATTGATTGGTCCGATCCTAACCTCTTTAACTTCGCGTAAGTCAATGATGCCTTCAATTGTAGATTTCTGTGGATCCGTCCAAATAAGTTGTCTTGTCTTGAGTTTGACGGCAAACTTTCGTCTCTCGGGTTTTGCTTTATTGAAAAATTTGGCCAAAACTAACCCGTTTTCCAATCGCTGAATGATTGCCGACATTTCTTTGCGCCACATCTTGTCCGACACTGTAAATGTGGACGTGAGGTGACCACTTCGGGAACCATTCATCGCTGGTTATCAATAATCACTCAAACTATACATTAAATTATTTATTAATTATTAACTAATGATTCAAATCAATGACAATATGTTATAAAAACATTGAATCACTTAATTATATAAACACTTATTACTTCATAACTAAACTATTGATTGAATTAAGTATTAAATTTGAAAATAGTATCAAAATATATGAAATTAAGTAATCAAATGAAAACTCAAGTGTTGTCTGCAATTAATTCATTGTTTTGTTTGTTGTTTGACTGAGAAAACAGGTTTTCATGAATCAAATGTTGTGTTGTGTTTGACATATCATATGATTGTCAATAGGATTCCCAATAGGATTGTATGCAATCATCTGAAGGCTATTTAAATCAATCAATGCTTTAGAGATGCTGTTTGTTGTTGTAGTCAAACATAAGTCTAATACATATACATGTAATACATATACAGTACTGTATATAATGTTTATAATACAATATATGCGGCATATTATGCAACAGTTAATTGCATTTCAAATATAGATCAAACAAATTTAGAAATTAATGCATTTATTTATTTATATCTTATAAATTGCACATAAATTCAATTGAAAACACATTACTAAATGTAATGTAATGATAAATTTGACGCAAAATCATAACATTTGGATTTAAACAAATTCAATATATTTTTCAAAATATTTCAAATGATTCAATAAATTATTTTTAAATATATTGTTTATAAGTTATAAATTATAACTTATATATAATAAAATTTGAATCAATTAATGTGTAATTAATGTAAATTAATTTAAGTTACTTTATTTCTTCTTAAAATAAATTATTGTTTTATTGATATTTTAATTATATTTATTAAATTTATTAATATTATTAAATAATGAATTTATTTACAATTATTACAATTTATTAAAGTTTTCTTAATTTTCAAATCAATCAATGAATTGCTTAAGTAGTCTAAAGTGTATTAAAGTGTATTACATCACAACTAAATCATAACACATATACAAACATAGACTGTATTATACAGTAAAGTATACAATGAAGTAATTATTAAATTATTGGTTTTATTTAAATACATTTATGTATTTAATATCGTTTTTCAAAATACAGTAGAAAACCAGTTTAGAAAGCATTTCCATACGAACTTCTTATCCAAAGTAAAAATTTAAATCAAATGACAGTATGACAAAATAAACCCAACTTTAATCATTTTCTTTGCTTAACTTAAATTAGATATATTTAAAATAAACATCCTACATTTTGCTACTTAAACAACCTAAATTAAAAAATAAATTAAAAAATTTATTCACCAATTTCTCAATGTTGTTGAAGAGATAAAAATTTAAATGCAAATGCCTTATACTTCATTTTTGCTTCTTTAAACAAATCTAAACTTAAAATCCAATAAAATATTTTTATTTTATTTTGGCCGCCATTTTCTCTAGAAAACAGACATTTTTTCTCGACAGACATATAGAATTCAGACATGTACTCCTTTGATGAGTTCGTGAATATTAATAAATTATAAATAATATAGATTTGAATTTCTAAAATATTTAATATTGACAAACAATTATTAGAAATTTCTATTATATTGAAAATAATAATATAAGTCATGATATTCTTATATAATATATGTTATCAAATGTTTATTTATATTTTCCTCATTATATCAATCAATATAAGCGGAACTCTTAATAATAAGAGATCATTCATTTGATATCATAATCAATGACTTAACTGTCAAACAGTTATTTCGACTCTTTTGCTGATTTATGTATTAATGTTAAAGTATTGACTGATAGAAAACAAATGCTTTATTTAAGTATAGGATAAATACAGTATACGATAAATGTTATATTTAACAATATTTGATAAATAATTGTATTTATAAATTATATTATAATAGTTTGAAGTGAAAAATATAATATTTATAATCATTTTTGTATAATAATATAACATTTGTAAAGAAAGTCAATTTCACATCCGTTCCCTTCCCACTCCTTTTTCTTATAATCCAATCCCTCTGTAATCCCTATCCAATCGATACAAACTTTTCATATTTTTAGTCAATAATAATAATATAATGTATGTAAATATATATATATAATTAATATATTTTCTTATTTCTCTGAATTTTATTATTCTTAATTAAATTGAAAACTTATTATAAGTAACACTTTATATCATATGAGTCCAAATTGACAAAAATGACAATTTTTGACAAAAAATCATTTTCTGCAGTTTATTATTTATCATAAAATTTTTAAATAGTCTGAAATAACTCATTAATAAAGTTTATATCATAATTTAGTATAACCCTCTCTTAGCTTTCTATGTACTCCCTGTCCTTATGTGTGCTTATTGTCTCGCATTACCCTTTTGAGTGAAATTTTATTATAAATTATATTAATATTTGTATAATTATTATAAACTATTAATAGTAACTACATTTACTATTAATGTATAATTAACTAAATTTACATTAAATTAATATTATACTCTACAGAATATACTGTATATTTATTAAGTAAATATAATAGTAAACAAAACAGTAGCGAAATAAATGTTTGACAGTTTAGTTATTGATTATCATATAGTAATGTACTGCAAGTAAATACAGTAATACAATAATAAATTAATATTTTGTGTAACAAATTACTAAATTTGTTTTATTTGTTTTACTTTACGACATATAATTCAATTATATTCTTACAATTTATTATATATTTTTGTCATTTTCATTAACTGTACAATAAATTTATTACTATATATAATTAAAACTAACAATTTATCTACTGTACATAAAATATTTACTCTAATATTGTATTTGATAATTATTATCATATTATAAAAATAAGTTTAAAGATATGTGAGTGACTATAGTCTATATTATAAGACTATAGGATATAAAGTAAATATAAAAATATAAATTACTAAATTATAGTAGTGAATAATGTTGTATCTTATTTGTAAACAATTTATTATTTTATTGTTTAACCATTAATAGTTTAGCTAACTCAAAAAACTAATGTTATTTTAATAGCTATTAAATAAATATAGATGTTTAGAATAAATATATATTTCTCTATATATATATATCTTAAATATTTCTAAGTATTTTATATAATAAAATTTAATTAAATATAATATAATTATTATACCGATAATCAAATATAATTATATACTTTGAATTCCAGACATATAATAAATTTTTATAAATGACATATCCATTAGTATATTGTATGTAGAGTCTACTATATTATAGAAAGTATATTATTTTATAAAGTTATTGTTATTTTGACAATATAATATTGTACCTTGTGTATTATACGTGTATATATATTAAATATATGAATTTATTTGTAAAATATCTTTTTAGCAATTTTTTAAAACAATTTTGAAAAGAGTTTATACTTTATATGATAGATATTTGTAGAAAATTTGAAATACTGTACACTATAATTGTTTAATTATCCTAAAAATTCCAATTTAAATAAAACTATCAAATCAGCGAATAAATAATTATATAAATATTTAGTTTAATAAATATATTTGAATTGAAATGTTCTCACATTAATTAATTATGGATAAAATAAATTAAAATTGTTAATTGTTGTCACAATGTCTACTTAGTTTGCCTCAAAACTGAGATAATTTGATTAATTTGTCGACAACACTAAATATTTTATATGAAATTATCGGGTATTTTGATCTCTAGACTATAATTACGGCCATTAGTTGGGGTTAACTTACCATTTGTCTGCTCCCAAACTATTTGATGAAAATTATGTGATATTGAAAATTATTTAGACTATTTGTATAATTTAAGCACTTTTATTGAATATTTGAATGTAAATGACATTAAGCGCTAATTTAAGAAAATGACCTATAATTTAATGTTTATTTTTTAATCTTAGAATAAGCACTAAAAATCATCTCATTTACCGGTACTTTAAATTAAGAAATCTCATTTTAAAATTTATTAGTTATATTTTCAATATTTAATTAAAATTTTTTTACAATTTAATCTATACTAAAATTAAGTTAATTTGAAAAGTAAATATAATTTTTATATTAAATTATTTTTAATTATTAACATTTATGAAAAATTTTTTTTTAATCATAATCAATTTATATTATAATTTATAAGAAATGTTATGAATTATGATTTATATCATACAAAATGAGTCATTAAAGGAGAGTATGTTTGAGAGTCGTCGTCTTCATCGTCCACTTCGTAGACATACCTCCAGTCCCGAGAGTCCGGTCGGAATCGATATACTCTCCACTCACAGAAATCCAACATATTTTGGAAAAATCCACGGCTTTTGTTTAAAATAAATAGAAAAAATTAAAATCAATAAATTTATAAAATATAACAACAAATTACTTGAAAGGGCTATTCAAATGTCCGCTTTCGTCGCGTTTGAAATGCTTATAACGCCTACAATTCATTCGCTCGTTTGTTGTCATCGCTAACCATAAAACCTAATATATTAATAAAATTATTATTTAATAACAAAATTTACAAAATAGATATTGTATTTTAATTACTTGATAGAGTTGACAAATAACCAAACAAAATACCCAAACGCTATGAATTAGAGCATTTAGGGCACACCATGTTATCCAACCATTATAAGACCAGGCATTTGGTAACATTTTCCATAAATTTGATTCATTTCCAATATTCAAGTGATAAATAAAATCTATTAAAAAAATTCAATATCAAATTACATTATTTTCTATTATTAATAAAAAATTATTTAATTCTAAATAATATAACTTTCATCTTACATAAATAAGTGCCATAAAGATACCAAATAATCACTAAATAAAGTGATATAAGATACCAAATAAAATATTTGTGGTTAAGAGCACCGACACAATTGGCAATCCATGGACAGTGGTGGTCAAAACGGGCCACACATTGATTGCAAACCGAACAATGTTTTGATCGCAAAGGTTTCCTAATAAGACAAGTACTGCAAAACCATTGTGGATCAAAACCATCCCTTTCCGCCAACTCTATTATTGTCTAATTAAACAATATTTGCAAACAATAATCATCTGTATACATATTATTATAAAATTTTTCTGATATAATTAACTTAATTTTTGATTAAAATAGTTAAAATTATAAAATTTTACAGGTACTTTGAAATAATGTAAAGTATATAATAACTTACTCTATATCGTTGATCGTGATCTTTAGCTATAACACCGGGATCACCGGTACATGTCTTGTAAAAACTGTAGAAGAGTAGTGTTGAAGTAATGACAAAACCAAATAAGTAATAGACATCAAATACTATTAATAAAATACAATTAGTTTTAAATATATTTAAAAATATATTAACAAATTTGAGACATACATTGAGAAAAATAAGTTAAAAAAGTGATGTAAAGCCAAAATTTGGTTGAAATGTATATACTTATTGGCATTATATTATACATCCGAACATCAAACACAAAACGAATTAAACCATAGGAGATGAGACACAAAAGTGAAAATAAAACTATTTTTAAAGCAATTGCGATATTTAATTCAAAAAGTTGTCCAAATATGAAATATGCAATCAATGGTGACCCAGCCATCAGCCAATATCTTATCACTTGGTCTTTAAGTGATGGTATTTTTAATTGTCGACCCATAATATTTATTTTATTTATAACTCTGTCTTTATTATAAGCCTCCTGTAAGCGATTTGTGAGCCAAACGGGAGCATTCAATGTCTTAGCCATATCTAGTGGTGTATCTCCGGCACCATTCTTGGCGTATACGTTGGCACCGGCTTTCAAAAGCAATGAAACTGTAGTCGAGTTTCTCGAGAAAACGGCCCAATGAAGAGCTGTATTTCGATTTCGTTTATCACATAAAGAAAGACTAGCGCCTAATGTTATAAACATACGGGTCGGGTCACTCCTAAACATATAACAGATATATACCGATAAACTTATGGTTATATTTTGTTATAAATTATATCAATACTCACGCATTTACTCTAAATGCCGACCACATCAATGGTGTCATACCATTACTATCCGCTACATTGATATCTTGATTTTTAGCCAACAAATAGGCCGCAATTGATGTGTGACCAAACTGTGCGGCCAAATGAAGACAATTTGTACCTTCAAAAATAAAAACACCAAATCATTAAAATATCAAAACAATTAATTTATATACCATACCTTCACCATCAAGTATTGATGGATCAGCTCTATGTTGCATAAGAAGTATAACCATTGACAGATGTCCTTGTCTTGTAGCCCAATGTAATGGTGTTGACAGAAGATCACCGCCAACTGCATCAACAATAGCTCCCTTTCCGATGTAATATTTGACCAAATCTTGTCTATTATTAATGGCTGCCCAATGAAGAAGTGTAACATTTTCGGCATCTCTTTGATTGACATTAAAATCATTTTCAATCAATTGTTTGCATCGTTCAAAAGCGCCGTATTGTGTGGCCTTAACAATGTCCAAATGACTCACATCGGGACCCGATTCCGCTTTTTCCGAAACTTGATTCGGGCTTTCATTTTGGCTATTATTTGACTCCAAGTCATCAGACTATTCATATAAAACAAGTTTTTAATAATATCTCATTTAAAATGAAATAATTAGTCGACCGATGATGACATACCTGTAAAGAAGTGGTCAAATAGGGAGGTATTAATGCTGAACAAGGGTTGGGCTCTTCTTCCATGTCTTTAATCAACTATCATATCAATTGTCACCAATCGGTCATCACTTGTATCTAATTGTGTCCACTAATTGCTTCATTGATTACTTAAAATCATTGAATCAATCACTCAATCAATTAGTCTTTAATTTGTTATCAATTTGTAGACAAACTTTCAATACTTGAAGTCATATGAAAACACTGAACACTGCATAACATATGATATACTAAACAACGTATTCTTTATTTACATATAATTTAAACCCCAAATCAATTAAAAAATATATTCATATATACTGTATATAATGTAATCAATAATAGAATACTGTTTATGCGTTACGTTATATACTATTTGTATACAAAACGGTGAAGCAATGAAATAGCAATCATTTTTAACATATAAATAATGTAATCAATTATAAAATAAATAACATTTAATCTACAGTTAAGGGAATCAGTAATAGTGAACGTAATTGATGGACGAAAAAATGGAAAGCATGTCTTAAATGATGGTTTGAATCACTTTTAAAATGTAAAACTGTTTTCAATTGAATTCAATTGATTTAAATGTTTATCACTTTTAATATTAATTAATATAAATAATTGTATTATTTGTTTAACACATTAATCAACAAATTATTATAAATTTGATCTCTTTTTTGACCACAAATTGATTTTTATTGTGATTATTATAAGCATTAAATTTACTGTTAATTTATATAATAAATAGTTTTGCAATAATTATTAACTAATGGGTAACGTATTGGCCGCCACATCACCGCCACCGCCGCCGACGACATATGGAGTGCCGCCGATGTCAACTAAAGATGATTCGGTCGGCAAAGTGGACACAAGTACTGCAAATGACTTGAATCCGGGACCGATGGAAGACTTGCATAAGAAATGCAAAGGTTTGACCAAATGATCTGTCATTTGATATGTCATATCATGATTGATGTAATTGTTGGCCACAATAGATGTATTTCCGATGCCCTTCGACGGCGCCAGACTTGTCATAACTAAAGGACTGAGTAATCACTTCCAGTTGAGTCATAACATAACGATGTCAAACGGTGTTACAGTACCACCCGGTTATCGATTTGGTGCCACATATATCGGTACAAAACAAATATCGCCGACAGAGGCCTATCCTATATTGTATGGAGAGATGGATCCGTCGGGTAATTTGAATTCAAGACTTTTGCATTTAATTGGCGATCGACTCAAACTTCAAATCGGAGCTCAAATTCAAGATTCGAAGTGTGTGTCCTCACAGTTGACCACTGACTATAGGGGTCGCGATTTCACGGCATCGATGACTTTCGGAAATATAGATCCAATTAATTTGTCTGGAGTTGTGGTCAGTCATTATTTGCAAAATGTTACACCAAATGTCGCACTCGGAGGTGAACTCGCCTACCAGTGCGGACCACATGTTCCTGGAAATGAAGTGGCAGGTAATTGAAACATTCATTTGATTTAATAAAATACATGATTTTAATTAAACAATTACTTTTCAATAGTTTTATCACTCGCCGGTCGGTATACTTCACCAAATAATTATATACTAAGCGGAACGTTAAGCAATTCCGGGGCACATCTCTGTTATTATCAGAAAGGAGGCGAAAATATTCAGGTATTTACTAGTAGTTTAAGTAATTATTATAATACACTATATTTAATGTATACCTGTTGTTGGATCATAGGTTGGAGTGGAAGTGGAGACAAATTTACGAATGATGGAAAGTACGGCTTCATTTGGATATCAGGTGGATCTGCCAAAAGCTAATCTTGTTTTTAGAGGTATTGAAACAGCTATTGATTATGTTTTGATGTTTTATTATCATAGCTACCAGTAATATAAATCGATTTATTAATGTTTTCAGGAATGGTAGACACAAATTGGACAGTAGGTGCCGTCTTAGAGAAGAAATTACTTCCACTGCCCTTTACATTTGCACTGAGTGGTCAAATCAATCACATAAAGCACGCGACCAGAATCGGCGCCGGACTATATTTAGGTTAATATAGGAGTTAACTAATTATCATCTGTTTTACAAGTCATCAATTATTATATCAATATTAGCACCGCTTCTATTATGAAGTAACTTAAAATTGATTTATACATTATTATATATATTATATAAATTAGTTTGATTTAGATATAATGTGTTCTTATATTTAAGGACATTAATATGTTACGGTTTTTTTATTAATTTCTATTAAATTGCTTTTTATTGTCAAAAGTATTTTAATACAATTTAAATATAACTCAGATTCAATATAATAATAAGCAATTAAATGAATTATATATAATTTTTTTTATAAATTTAGTCATAATTTAAATTTAGTTGAATAAAAAATTAATAAATAAGTATTTTTCTATATTTTTTTCTATCAAAAATGGTGTTCTGAAGTAATAACAATAAAATTTTTAAACAAAAATAAATTTATATATACAGTATAATATATATTATATATGATGAATATAATTTATAAAATATTTTTCAAATGTACAGCTATTATAAAGGTATTGGCACAAAAAAATGGTATAAAAATATATTAAAATACTATATTTATATTATTCAATAATAATTTTTTTTATATGATTTTTGATTTACGTAATCAACAATTCATAGTTTTTATTTGTTTTTTAAATAACTTTTAAATTCTCAACAACTGTTTGTAGTTTTTTAAAACAAGTTTTCAAACATTTATTTGAACTAAACGTATGCCAAAAAACGGCAATCAAAACATTCTTTACATTTGATTTCAAACTTAATGTACAATTATACTATTTTAATAGCATATAAATTTATTTACTTTATTTTTTACAGAAAATACAATAAATATGTTTGCATAGAGTTTGCGACATATTATTACAGTGTTTTATATTTGTTAATTAAAAAATTTATAGCATTTATTTAATTTTAACGACGTTATGTCAAACTATTAATATAAATATATGCAAAACATTTATTGCTTTACAATTATCGGCTTAAAATATTAAAAATTGTTTTCAATTATTTTACTTTTGATTGCATTGAAATTAACTTTGCTATGAATTAAAATAATTTTTAATTTACGCTTACAATTAATATGAGTTATCACTTAAAACTTCAATCTTTTAGTGGATAGATATTTGTTTCAACACTAATACAAATACCTTATATTCAGCGCTAATAAAACTGTCAGAAACTAACTTTTTTTACTTTTATTAGATATTATTAAGATTTTTTTTGGTGACTTTCAATATTACTCAACTCTGGTTTTAAATGTAATTAAACATTACTACAATTTAATAGATATGCAAATAATTTAGTAATTTTTTAGTTATAAATATAATAAAATAATTAATATAAATGAGTTTTTTTATTTATTATGTTTCTGATTAATTTATATTTAATTAATTTTTAATTATTTTATTTTTATATTGAGTAAAATTATTACGGTATGTATTAATAGATGAATAATAGTAAGTTTATCATTGATTAATTATTTTTAACATTGTTTATATACAGAATTTTATTTTTAAAATTACATTATACCGGTATATATTATTTAAAAAATAATTATAAAATTTTTATTTCAAAAAAATAATATTATTATTTAAAAAATAATTATAAAATTTTTATTTAAAAAAAATAATATAATTATTTGTTTGTGTTATTAAAAAAAAGTATTGTATTGTGAAATTTTAAATATCTTATTTGCATTGTTTTTGTTGTAAATGTAAAATATTAAATTTATTTATACTTGATTAATGATAGTACAGTATATTGCATTCAATTACAACAAAAATGAATACTTTTTATATGTCATATTAGATAGTTTACAGTAAATTGTTTTTAAAAACTATTTTTGCAAAATAAGTTTCGGCTCTTTGAGGACAACCCTCTGGCATATAATGAAATGAATCTCAGTTTTACTCTCATCACTGATTTGTATCATTTGTTTGAATCAAAATAAAAATTGGGTTAAACTTAGATATATCTAATAAAGCTTTTGCTACCAAAACAGTTGATATGTAAACTCGTTTTGTTATTCATTACATAAAAGTTATAAAAATTTAATTTCACTTATTTTTTAATACTTAATTCAATTTGACACTCAATTGAAGTAATTTTAAACAAATTTCACAAAATGATTCAAAAGGTAAGATATTATTTAATTTATATCAAATTATTACAATTTAAAAAATTGTTTTTTTTTTAATAGTTTGAAGTGAAAACTTTTTTATTATTAATTTTATGGATAATATCATCGAATTGTCAAAGTTCTGAAACACAGACCAATGGTAATCAACCATTTTTCTTCAATTTACCACCTCTTCAGTTACAACCTTTACAATTACAACTAAATCCGGCGTCTTCTTCATTATTTTTAGTAGACAACAACCAATCGATTCCTATTCAAACACTTCACTCTGATTTACAACAAAACAATTTACTACAGAATACTAATCAACAATTGATAACAACAACAAACTTTGCCACAAATCAGGCTTCTTCTGCTAATTTGCCAAAGTCTATGTCTTCAGTCTCATCCGATCCCATAACTCTTCAATCAACTTCAGGCCAACAATTTTCATTCATTCCTTTAGCTTTTCAAACGCCAACTCCAAAGACTGATTCCCAAAAACCAACAAAAGCTCAGGTTTTGCAATCTTTGACTCAACAAAAACCAACATTTCAACCATTTTTTAAAACACAATCGTTTGAAACTCTGATAAACCAACAAAATAAACCAATTACTGCCACACAATCTCAATCTCGACTTCAAATTCAACCCTTAAATTTTAAATCATTAGCTACTGTACAAAAAAGTTTTAAACCAATTACTAAACCATTATCAGTATTTCAATTTCAACCCAAACTTCAATTTCAACCCCAACCCCAACCTCAACCTCAACCTCAACCTCAACCTCAAATTCAATCCCTATCCCAACCTCAATCTCAAATTAAACCCTTAAATTTTGAACCACTTGCTACTGTACAGCAAAGTTTTAAACCAATTTCTAAACCATTATCAATATTTAAACTTCAACCCCAACCTCAAATTGAATCCCAAACCCAACTTCAAATTCAACCCCAACCCAAACCCCAACCTAAAATTCAACCCCAATTCCAAGTCCAACCTTTAACATTCAAATCACTGAATTTAATACAATCCCAAACTTTAAGGTCAAATATAGAACCATTAACTTCACAATTTCAAACTCAATCTCAGATATTTAAACCATTGGATAGTTTAGAGCCGCAAACTTTTAAATCGCTTTTTATATCTCAACCAAAAGCAACAGCCATAACACCAGAACCACTTAAAACACCATTAGTTAAGAATATTGTCACTCAGACACCATCAGTGAGCCATCAGTCAACACAAACTACACGAAACAATAACAAGAATTTAATTAATGAAATTCCTGCTATTAATTCTGTTTTGAATGATTTGTCAGCCTATGTGCCGATAGAACTGCCGGCACAGGCATTCATTTTTCAAGGTGTAGGTCCGTCACCGACAAAACCAGTACAACACACAGTAAATGATGGAAATACACAATTTCTGCCACCTGTTATATTACCTGCTCTTACATTGCCCGGTGATAATAATATGTTTATCATTGAAGTACCAAATAATAATAATAATAATAATAATAATAATAATAATAATAATAATAATAATAATAATAATAATAATAATAATATAGGCGATCAAAATGCTAACAAAGTAAACCCTATTGAATCTATTGGAGCCAACATTAATACTCAAACAGTTAGACAATTGGTATCATCCACTCAACAATTATCAGCCCAACCCAAACAGCAATTGGTATGGTCTTCAACCCAGACACCTGTGTCTAATCCTACTCTGTCATCACAACAGCAGCAGCAGCAGCAGCAACAACAACAACAACAAACTACATTCAAACCACTCTCATTTCGTGTCGGAGTCTTTCAAACTATTGGTAAATTAGACAATGAGCAATCGGTTCCCAAAATTCAGTCACTACAACAAGTTCAACAAACAAATGTTTTACCCGAATCTCAAGCAAATGTAGAAATATTGGAAAATAGTCCGCTGACTACCGGTGCCAACTCAAACAGCCAACCCATTGAAAACAGAATTCAATTAAAATCAAATATTAATCCTTCGTCTGAAATACAAATCTATAACAAACAGCTTTTAAATTTTCTTAAAAATAAAGGCAGAATTGGAAAACCTCTGAGAGCTGTGGATCTGATAACTGAATCACAGCCTAATAACAAACAATTGTAAGATTGGTATAAATTATATACAATAAACAATCAATAATTTTAATGATTAATTGATTTTTAAATAGAGTGGACACAAGTGGTAATACTGGACAACCTATAGATACAGATATCGAAACTGATAAAAGTATTGTTACATTAAGCGATTCACTTGAGTTTGGACAACGACTCTCAGCAAAAAAATTTTTTGTTGTTTAACTCAATTTGATTAAAATTATTTAGTATTATTAAAATATATTGAATTATATTATTTTAAATAATATAATACAATTAATTTATACAATATTTTATTTTAATATTTGGCAGTCATTTAATTTAATTATTTTATATTATTTTATCAATTTATGTTCTCATGTATTTGTTTTAATTGAAATGTTTAAACAATTTTTTGAAAATATTGTCAAATATTAAGTAAAAATTTATTTTTTTTATTCTTTAATTGATTAATAAAATTAAGTAAATTTTAAAAGCATCCCAATTTTAATAACAATTCCTTTATTTTTAAAAATAATATATGAAAACAATAGATTAAAATAAGGAAAATGTATTAAAAATAATTAGTATTTTTCAGTCATAAAAATTATATGCAAAGACAAATGTAATAAATTACCCAAAAATCTCATCTTTTGAAAATATACTATTGAGATAAAAATTGTGTCAGTTATAGGATTGCTGTACTTTAATAGCTATACTAATAAATGTTTAAATACCATTAAATCATTAATTAATACATAAAAAAACTCATTTTTAAGAAATTGTGTTAATATATAACACCAGTATATTAATATTAATCAGAGTACTAGACTGATTGATAGCACCAAATATTTTATTAAATGTTTTTGAAAAATAATTTCCTGTTATTTTTATTGGATTTTTTACTGATTATATCGGACCCGACATTCAATTTGTTGGGAAAGTTGTGTTTGCATTTAAATGCAAATCACATCTCAGAAAATATAATATAATGATTATTTTAAAATTTGAATAAAACATTAATAAGATAACTAATCTTCATCTATCATTATAAGTTATATACAGATTTGTGCAAATATTATTATATTTCTAAGATAAATCAAAATTTAAATTAAAAAATTTAATGAGTTTTAAGTGATAAATAAATTTTTTCTGTATCATTTAGAATATAATTTAATATGAAAAAAATTATTAAGATATTTTAATCAAAATAAAAATAACATAATAATAATAAAAATTTTTATAGAATACAATATTTTTTGAAACAATTTTGTACAAATTTTAGCAAACAATTAATAACTTTATATAAAACCAGTTAAGAATGCTAGAAAGCATTTTCAGAAAAAATGTGAATAACATAAATATATTGAAAACCATTAGTTTGTATAATTATACGTAGAGTATCAAATAACTCAGTATGACAAGATAAACTCAACTTTAGTCATGTAGGATATAGAATGACTCAGTATGCCAAAATATACTCAACTTTAGTCATGTAGAGTATCAAATGACTAGGTATAACAAAATAAACTATAATCATACTTTTGCCGCCATTTTTTTAAAAAATAAAATAATAATTTTGATCTATTATATCTTATTTTTGATGTTCTATACAATTCTAAACGTTAAAATTTTTAGCTAAATTTTTTTTACTTTGGGCGCCATTTTGTCTATGTTCCCGAAGAAATAGATCATTTTTGATGCAACTTTTCAATACATTATTAGTAGTCCTCTAACCGAATCTGAAGTCAGAATTTTAAAATTTGCAAAATAATATGCTACACACACACACACACACACACACACACACACACAGACAGACACACACACACACACACACACACACACACACACAGACAGATAGACAGACACACACACAGACAGATAGACAGACACATACAAAAACAGACAGTCAGACACATACAAAAACAGACAGTCAGACACATACAAAAACAGACAGTCAAGTTTCTTTTGAAAAAAATTATCTAATAATATTCCAAACTATGATATATCGATAGTGTACTTACTATTGGATATTAATTTGATATACTGTAATGTAATGATAAAGTAAAGCACAAAAAATTAATATAATATTTTTTAAATACTAATTTAATTTAACTTATTTATATTAACTAATTTGATATAAACTTATTAAATAATATGATTTCAGGTAAAATCATATTATATTAAATTAATGAAATAAATATATGGGAAGTTGTTTTATAAAGTCATTTAGATTTATATCAAATGTTTGACAGTATTTTAAATATATTAAGTGATGTACAGAACTAATAATGTATTTATCCTGAAGTCACTAAAACAGTCATAATGTTATAAAACGAGGATAATTACGATAAATAATTATTAATATTGTCTATTCATATATAGTAAATGTCTTGTAGTACCCTCCTGGGCGCAAACCCACCGCAACTATTGCCCAAAAACAACACATCATATCCTATAAGACACAGATATTTACAGTAAATACAATTAAATTATACATTTTAATAGGATATCTCAGTTTTGCTTTTATGACCCAATATTTTATTAAGTATTACAAATTGTAATTTACAGTACATTATACAATACTATTGTACTGTATTATTAAATATTTTTGAAATAAATACAGTACTATATCATGAATAAAAAAATGTTAAATGATTTATTAAATTCAATTTATATATTATGAATTGTTTATTGTTTTATATATTTTTACTATTTATTTAACTATAATTTTTAATAACTCCTTAATTACATATATAATTTTAATATACTAAATTTCCGCATTTTATATATTATTAATAAATTACCATATTCACAAATTATTATTATTAGTTCAAATAAATATAATTTTATTATAAAAAATTTATGAATTATCGTAATAAAAAAATTATATTAGAACTAAATTTATTATAATCTATTATTCATAAGTATTTTGATTAATTAGATTTATTTCAATGATAATTGACAGGTATTGATACTAAAGTAGTTTTACTAATTATAATTATATTTAATAATAAGTAAAACACGTGTATTTCAAACACACAAACATTTAATTAACATTAAAAACTGAAGTTCTGTAACATTGGACTTAACCTAAACTAAATTAAATTCAAGAAAAATATAAACAAAAAAGTATATAACGAGACAATAATATAAGACCTAAAGTAAAGATAAAAACTGTTTAAAAATTTAATTCAAATTTATTGCTGTTTATCATTCATTAGGATTTAATTTGATCTCAAACTCGAACTTCTGTGAATATCATCGGTACTAAAGATGAGAACCAATTCAAAAGATACCAGTATTCTTAAATATCCATCAATTGTGTCCCAAATCTTGTCATATATGGACGACAACTTTATGTCCACTGGTTATCAAATTTCAAAATTATTTGGAGATTTATGTAGTCTTGAGATTAAGAAGCGTCAGCTTATAGTTCACACACACATTATTGACACCAACGGAGCAAAAGAGGGGGATCTCTCTTATCTTTTTAACAGTTTTATTCAATTGAGTCGAAAGGAATTGATGGTAAACCCAAAGGAACTACTGGTTCTGGTAGGCGGTCACCGGAAAGCAGCCGACTATCGGCAAAAATCAAACTCATTAATCAAATTGACACAAACATTGCCTAAAGATTGTCGCGTTATATACCTTCACACCGATTACCCGATGATATCAAACAGAGGTCACAATACTGTCCGCAACTATTCCACTGAATGGGAAAATACTACACCAGATGAAGACAAACTAAAGCTTCCGAGTGAGTACTTGTAATCTTTAAAAAGTAATAGTTTATACAATAATCCGTTTGATGCACAGGTATGTGGTGTTTCTTAGTACCGAAAACAGCAAATGGTATACAAATTAACTCTTATATATCAATACTGGAAGTGCCGACTGATGGCGTCAAAGCCGTAATATATGTTGTCTCCAATAAAATACTTAACAAACGTTCGGTATCTTCTCAACTAAAACACCAACTAATAGAAGAAGTGAGACAATTGTGGGTCCGTTTGGGTAACAATGTGGCCATTGCTGGAGGTGTCGTCATTGCAGCCAAACAATGGACAACCGGAACAAATGGACGATCGGCTGAAGCACTTAGCAAAGGAGGTATTAACGAAACCCACGTCTGCGACAAACTCATCATTACATTGAGTGGACAACGGGTGCGGACGGCATCTGTGATACTTAATGGTCGTTGTCCGATACTGGCCATTGAATTAAAAGACTTCAAATCCGCCCTCGGCTTTGATGTCGACAATACCAAAGATGGGACCACTTTTGCCATTTTCTTTTGCTGCAAATATTTGGCAAACAAACGATTTTTCGATATTTATAAACTAATCTTTCCTTTGGTACCACTCTATGCCTTCAAAACCAGTCGTCTTCAGTTTGGTAAACAATTTCTAGCAAATCCTGTGACACAAACACAGACACAACAAAACAGTCGTTTCAATGATTATTTTAAACGCTATTCAGGAACTTTGCTTTTCATTAATATTACTCATTAAACACATCCATCCCTGTCCTCAGCAATACTTTTCTAAAAATTGTTTTCAAATTGTCTTCAAAATGTCTCATTATTTTTATTAGTTTTTAATACAAATACTATTTTTGATTTTTCAATGAATGATTTTTTACTATGATTTATTTGTTTTATTAATAAAATATTTTAAGATTATAATTATGATTATAAACAAATATTTAATAGTTGGCAAAAATAAAAATTAAAAAAAAATAATATTTATAAATCAAAAATATAGGTCTATTTATATGTATAACATTTAATATTCATTATAAATTATAATACATGTATAATTTTAAGAATATAAAACAGTCTATAAAATAGTTTGCATTTTTTTAAAGATTTAATGTTTAGTTGATGTTAGAGAAGCTAATAATAATAATAATAATCTTTTTTATTAATTATCTTCACTTGACATCACTGGTAATCCGTAACAAAGGTCTAACGGATATCTGTTTTCACACTTCACGGATGTATTCGTTCAGCGATTTATATAAATATAAAGATTATCTTTTTTTTGTCTACTTTTTCAAGTTTTCTATTAAAAGTTTCTATTATTTATTATATTTAATATAAAGTTTATTACATAATTTGTTTACATTTATATAAATTATCACTAAATATCAATTTTTAAAACTATAATTTTACTATAGTGTCAAAGTAATGTGTAATACATTTATAAATATACTGTATATCCCAAAAAAACCACTAAAATCTAAATAAGTAGACAAAAAGATTATATTTATAACAATTAGTTTATATAAATCTCTGAATGAATCCACTCGTGAAGTGTGATAACACATATCTGTCCGCTTAAGACCTGTATTACAGATGACCAGTGATGTCAATCTAATTGATAATTAGCAGTAATTTGTAGTAAATAACAAAACATTACTGTATTGTAAAGTATATTATATAACTGTAATAAAATTATCAATTAAACAATTACTAATTTTTTTCATAACTAATTTGCAAATTTTAATTTATCTTTTAAGTCATACAAATAAAACAATTGTCAACAAATTGACTCATATATGTATAAATTAACATTAAATAAGCTAGGTAAGTGTATGAAACATATTAATTAAAAAATTATATACTATGTACATTATTTAATGATAATTTATACATCTGAGTAATGAAAAAATGGAAAATAAAAAATAGTAATGGTTTAATTGATCATGCTAAGTTAACATTGATAACATTTATATAATTAATAATAAAATGCGGATTAATTTTATGAAAAATTGTACTTTTAATGTATTAAACATTTAGTGATATATTATTTATATATTATTTACAGAATATTGTTCTAAAAAGTAGTACTAAATTAAATATATTGTTATATTGTATGTCATATCTACTAAAGTAATGCCAATAAAGTTATATAATATTATAACTAATGCTCTGAAAACTTATAAATGCTTTTCAATGGATTGTTAGCCAAAATAAATGCTTTATTTGTCGTTTAAATGACTTTAATGACCACTAAAGACATACAATAGAGAGGAACAACAGTTGCATTGATAGCCACTATCGGAGACTGTAATACCTGTGAGATAACAGTGCTATAGTACTGACAGCTGGCGAACGACACAACTGTAAGCCAATAGCACTGATAGGCAGTCATAGCACACAACAGACCACTGTTTTGCACCTATTTTACAGTCATTTTGTGCACTCAAATCATTATCACAACAATTATGTTCTAACATATGAATTGAGGCAAACTTTTACTATACTAACAATGCATTCATTATGATTGAGGGCTGCAGTAGTTGTGTTATATGTGAACGTAATTGATGTATATATTGCTTATAATATGTTTGTTGTGAACACATTTGGAGACATTAATGCATTCAATAGTACTTTATATGTATTAATAGTCTATATGTTTGTCATCATTGCTATGAAAAGTGACCTCAATTTGTATCCATTGTTTAGCCATCAATGATATCATCACTACTATTGACAGATCCACTGAAGCCATCACTTTGTGTCTCTCATCACATCATTAATCCCTTTATCATCCATTCATCCCATTCTTCATCCAAAACATCCACTTATTGTCATTCAATCATTTGTGTCATAATTAGTGATTCATTTATTTCAACCATTTTTCCAAAAGTCTTACATTTTATCACCGATTTGTTCACAATTTGAAATCAAACCTCAAGTGATTGTCCTCATTGTCAATATCACCAAAATTTGCGACTAATTGTTGCTATTTTTGTTGACAATTAAGTGTTATTTAAATCGGCGCTCAATTATCAACAAATAGTTGACCACCGATTTGACAGACAAAGAGTCGGAGTGGCCATTGAAGTGACGGACGTCTTAGTCCTTATTATTTTTATTTTTAGTTTAGTTGTTCTCAATTCGTGTCCAAAATTAATCCCAAAACGATTGCAGAGATTGAATCACTGATGGAGTTGTCAGCCGTCGGCGAGCGAGTCTTCGCCGCCGAATGTATACTTCGTAAACGTATTCGTAAATCACGGGTCGAGTATTTGGTGAAATGGAAAGGTTGGTCTCCGAAGTACAATACGTGGGAACCGGAGGAAAATATACTCGACGCCAGACTTCTTGAATCATTCAAACAGAAAAACAAGAAAAAAACCAAATCTAAGACTAATAGAGATCGGAACAACCATTCCGTGGCCAACAGTGGCAACAATAATATTAATAACAATATCTCTGATACGAGTGCTTTGAGTCCATCGACAAGTTCTGAGGCAAATAATGCCTCGATTTCCATCAACATTGATGAATGCGATGACAATATTGATACCAAAAGTGATGTGATTTCTTCTGATAATTTAAGTGAGAAATCAGAATCATTGGCAACGAATGCTACTGAAGAGCTCAAAAAGAAAGAGACAGTTAAGAGAAAATCAACACAAGAGTCAAACCAACCGTTAAAATCAGCAAAAGTGAGTGAAAACAGTAAACAAGTTATCGACAAAAGAGTCAACAACTCGTTGACGAACTGCTCTTCACAATCGTCTGTAAATAATTCATTGCAATCGGTGTCCGTCGCAAATACCAAACAACTTAATAAATCTGATGTAACGACAAATACAACCGCAAACCGAAAAGCGGCTGAAGTGCAGACAACGACACCAAAAAGTGTGGCTAAAGAAGCGCGCAATCAATCGGTAAATACAACAAACACTCAGCTGATGACGAATACAAAGAATGTTGAAAATAATGGTATTATCAGTAAAACATCGATTGCCACTCAAATTAAGTCAAAAGAGAAACACATTCATCACCACAAACACCACTCAACAACAGCTAAACATCAGTCAAAAGCTAAACTCAATGAATCGACTCTTGTTATTACAAATAACAACTTAAATGTGGACAACACTAACAACGCTAATCATAAAACCATTAGCAGATCCTCTCCTCCGCCGGAATTCTGGAAGAAACAGAACAAACTGGTGAACCAAATACTGATCACTGATGTGACCGCAAATAAAATGACTATAACTGTCAGGGAATGTAAAACATTTCAGGGATTCTTTAAGGAAAGGGTTAACACAACTGAAATGAAAAGCATTGCCGTCTCAACTGATTCAGAGAAACCTATTGTTATTTGCAGTAAGTAATGGAGTAATGTTTGCACTCAAATCACCATTTGGTACATCCATTTGGTTATATAATATAAATATATATAATTATATACAAGCACTATATCTTATGGATCTATATATATACATCATATATATAATATATATAGTATACTGATTACCAATTAATATAAATATATATATATTATATATACAGTACATTAAAAGTAATATTATTTTTCAAATTGTCATTTAATATGGAAGACAGTATAAAGTAATCATTTTTATTTATTCTAACCATAATTTTTTGTTTAACATTGTATGTCATATAATTATTATTGATTTATTTATTTACACAAACTATTTAAATATGTGTATTTAAATTTTAATTATATAAACTAAATCTAATATAAAGTTATAATTTTTGGATAAATTGATTCTCATTAATAAAATTGATTTTAAATGCACTTAACGTTTGTTTAACATTTCTAATGTTTGATGATTCATAAATATTTTTATGATAGTTTAATATATTATATATGCAATTAAAGACAACTAAATATATGTTGTTTTGTTGTAATTCAAGTGTCAAAAATGTCATTAAGATTTGATTTACTAATACTGTTATCATATGTTAAGCCATACAATGACTTGCATTGCAAACCAATTCCCTCCCACTTCTGTAATATAGATGTATAAGTGATATGAGGGTTAGCCTTCAGTATCTATGAAATAATGCTATTAGTAATGATAGTATGGTTTACCACTAAATTTATATAAATAGGTTTTGACTTAATTTGTCGGCAAACATATCATACAAACATTTTTAGTGTTCACTCCGGCAGTCAATTAACTTTGCATTATTGCTGTTATTATAAAAATAAAAACATTTTGTGATTACATTGCGTGCAATGATGTGCTCCCATATGTACATCACTTTATGCTATATTAAAATAATGTAATCTGATTTACCTTTATTGTCGACATTATTATTATTATTATATAATTCTGTAGTTTATAATAGCAGTAAATTAATGCGCAAACGTTTTAAGACATCAGTTATTGATTTGTCACTTGTTTTATGTGATTGATATTAACCAACCAATTGCTCAATCTCTGGATCTCTCTGACCATCAAATATATAAGACATATATATGATGTATAATAAAAATAATTATTATAAAAAATAAAAAATTTGTTTTGAATTGTGTGCCCCACCCGTCAAATCGTGAATGTTTAAATCAAATCATTAAATGTAGTGAACAAGAGTTAAAAGTTTTCCACAAAAAAGTATACAAACTTTTTATACTTAAGTTTGTTAACACTTAAGTCAATGTTTAATATGAAAAAGTCATTTAAATAACATTATCTCGAATTATGGATACAACATATCAAAGCACAAACTACATCAATGGTCAGCCGGGTCTCTCACCCGACCATCAAAACAGATCAATTAATGTAACCGATATAAGTGAACATTTGAGTAGTCAACAAAGTAATGTCCATCAAAGTAGTGGTAAAAGTAGACCATTAATAGAATGGATAAGCGGTATAATATCAGTAGTTTTAATAAAGTATTGGATATGGATAGTGGCCAGTATGTTAATGGTTATGTCCCTAAGCGGGGATCGTATTGTGCTCTACCGTATAGTATATATGGCATTATTTCTCACTTTTGTGCTTTTATTTCAGGTTTTTTCTTATATTTTTTCTGTTTAAACTTTTTTTGATACAAATTTAATTAATTATTTTTATATTCTGGTTATTTATATTTCCTGAAAAATAGTTTTCATATTCACTGTGGAAACGCTTTTTGTATAGTTTTTGGTTAATTGTTATAATTTATTCAATCATTACATTACTGGCGATATATAGCTATCAGTTTAATGGAGTTCCAGAGTTTTGGAGCGACTCATTAAAAGTGAATAATCAACTGTAAGATTACCATTGATTATGGTTTAAATTTATTTGACAATTAAGATATGAATAATTTATAGACAACAAGATCTTGGACTTCAAGTATATAAACAGGACATATGGGTGCTCTTCAAGGAGTTGTTTACACCGACATTCTTCCTAATCATAACCATAATTCAAGTCCATTACTTTCACCACAAATTTCTTGCTTATATCAACTCTGATAAGCAAATAGGCTGTGAATCGCCGACAACTACTAGTCAAACAACGTCACCACAAGATTTAGTCAATGATAACATTCAACTTAATTTGGATATCGATAGCGACGGGCGGACAGATATATCGTCAACCGATACACAGACACAAAATACTGTTAAAACTTTATTAAGTAAATCACAAAAATCTTCTCAAAGTTTGCACAGAAATAAGGTTTTTGATCAACAATTATCTGTTGAGTCTTCCGAACCTAAAGATTCAAATGAGTTATCTTTGATTCAAAATGAATCAAAAACAGAACCACAAGAAGATTGCAAATCAAGTTTTGAAGAAATAAAAGAATTATTAGCAGTTGTTTGGGTCAAACTCGAGCCAATTGTTAAGTTATGTGTTGAAGTGATTTGGAGATTAATTGAGATTCATATCATAAAAGTTGTCACATTTTGCTCTGTAGTTGTGGCCATTTCTGATGTATACCTAAGTTATTACAATACCTGTATATTTAATTTTTTATAATAACTTTATGTTTACTGATTGTGTTGACACATAGGTATCAGCAATGAATATAGTGTTCATAATCTTAGCGGTATTGTCGATGCCTTTCAATCATTTGGAAACAATTATTTGTCGATTACTATCAATTTGGGCAACAGTTATGATTTTGCTTAAAATGCTATTTCAATTACAATTTGCACAAAACATTAAATGGGAAACTGTTTGTGTAAGCGTTTATATAATATATGATTAATTATATATAATATAAATTTTTAAGTTATTTTTTTTAATGATTAGTCAAATCAGCAAAACATGACATTAGATAATCGTCTTTGGATTGGTTTGCATCCAACCGATAATATATTTGTTTACCTTACGGTCTGATACTTTATTTTTAAATTATATTACTGTTTAATTTATAACCAATTTATTGAATTTGAATCTAAAAATACAGGAATACATAATACTTATAGTGGTTTTAGTTTTGCGATCGGTTGTTATAATACGACAATACGAACACCGTTTGAAACATAATAAGTGTCCGCCAACTGGTGTTGTCTTTGCTGGTGTCGGCCGTAAAGATGCTGACAAAGATCTGAAAGGGTTGACAATGTTTTGTATAAATTACTGTTTCTACAAGTTTGGTGTTGAAGTATGTTTTATATTGTTAACCATATCTATTGGTTCCCGAAATGACATATTTAGTGTTTTATACTCCTTTTGGCTTTTGCTTATGGTTTTAATGAATAGAAAAAATGTTGAGAAGATATGGCCTTATTTTGTAGGCTTTTTAGTTGTTGTACTTCCCTTACAATATATAATATGTTTAGGACTTCCTCAAGGACTTTGTATAGACTATCCGTGGAAAAACATTCCTGGTTTTAGTGACCGATTGAGGCGATGGCTATTTTTGCCAAATTATAATGAAGATCCCGGTGTCGGCAAACTTTACTTAGATTTCTTTATACTAATGTTTTGTTGTCGACAATTGATTGGTTTTAGACTTGAAAAAAGTCTTACCTGTTTGGGTGGCAGTAATATTGAGGCACATCTCGAGAAAAATATAGTGTCGACAAACATGAATAGTGTTCCCGACTTCTTTGCCTTTGGACATACAGTTCTCGACTCAATTAAGTCGACATTTTTCTTCTGTTTCTTTTGGATCACATTAGCCATTATTTTCATGGCCGGGACACTACAGGTCAGTCTATTTGCATTGGGATATGTTTTGGCCTGTTTTCTCTTCTTATGGAATGGTAATGAGTTTTATCTGAAACCCATTGAACTGGTGTTCCGACTCTGGAAGACCATCATTGCCTACACAGCTCTTGTTATTCTCAGTAAAGCAATATTACAAGTAATTTATGTTTACTTTATATTTTAAAAGTTAAATACAATTTTTTATAATATATTTTATTGTGTTGTTATTAGATTGTTGGTTGTGTTTATATAACTAGTTTATTGAAAGATTGGTGTTGGGTCGTCCAATTGCTAGGTATTGCTTGTTTGGATCCATCAAATTCAATACCAACAGAGTCTTTACCATTGGATGGCACGTGTAAACAGCCCTCTGAAGCGGCAGGTCTTCTATGGGATGCAATTTGCTTTGCATTTCTAATAATACAAAAACGGATATTTTGCAGCTATTATTTTACTCATTTGGTTCGTGAAGTTAAAGCACAACAAGTTTTGGCCTCAAGAGGTGCTGAACTCATACATGAAATTCAGGCCAAAGAGGTGGCCGACCAAGAGTTGGCTGAAAAAGAAGTAATGGAAAAGATTAAGCAAAAGATGGATCGCATAAAAGCTGCCCAACAGAGGATGTTTGCAGACAAAGCCAAGAGTATTAAAGCACACAAACAGGGTATGCATTGTTAATATCATTAAAATTATTATACAGTATATACAGTACTGTAATATTAATCTATCTTTAAATAATTAAATTCATTGTTTTATTATTTGATAAATTGGTTTAAATTTAATTTTAAGATTTAATGTTAAACTTTGTTTATCTAAAAAATGTATAATTATTAATGCAATTAATAGAAGATTACGATTACGACATCTCTCCATATTCAACAGCTGAGGGCACAGTCTGTCAATCACCTGAGACTGAACCCCTTTCTCATACACTTCCAACAGTATATTCACCGACACCCAGTCTTCCCACAATAATGTCCCCACAATCGGCTACAACCCCACAACCCGGTTATTTAGAAGTATACTCAGTAGGTCCACCTATTAAGTCAATAGATGCCCGCAGTTCTATCATTACGTTTCCATCAATTAGTCTGAGATCGTCATCTCTCGGTGAGGACTCAGTGCCCATATTTTCTCCCACTCCTACTTCCCCTCCTTTCCCAATAGCATCGGGTCTTAGAGTTACCACAATAACTGAGGCGCATTCAGAAATGTCCTCAATATTTCAATCATCGACCCGAACACAAATACCTCTACAAGTTTTCGGTGATCTTCACGAGTCTATATCTCGCGTCCATTCGTTTAAACGAAAGGTTTCCACTCGATCTCATGGCTCATGTAATTGTCTTTAATTATAACTACACTTCACTCCTGCACTTAAAAATTATTTTATTTTTAAGCACACTTTTATGTCCTTAATAATAATTATATTATATTAAATTAAATTTAATTTATTTACTTTAGTTGATTAGTTATTGGCTATTATACAATATTATTGGTTATATTACTTTATATGGTGTATACTTGTATTGTTAATTATTTATTTAATATTTTTTTTTGTCTATTTTAAACTTTATATATTAAATTATTTTATGCTAATTAACAAAATTTAATTAATAGCTGTCCGTTCGGGAGGTTATTACATGTTTGACGACACGGAATCAGAAATGGTTGATCTCAATGAAAAGCCAAGAAAATCTTTGATTCCGGATCCAGAAGGCGATGAAATGAGAAATTTTGCAAAACTTCAAGGATTTACTGCCGTATATGAAATGATTTTAAAGAAAAAAAAGTTTTATTAATTTCTAAAAAAAATAATTTATAGTTTTGCGCTAAATTAATGAAAGGAGAAGTCGACGAAACAGAGGCCACAATTGTTTCAGAAGAATCTGTAGATATTGGAGAGTCGAGTAAAGATTCGGCAATTGTCTCACTCGATAGAGATCCCGACGCATCCATGTCTACAGCAATAACAACTGTCGAACAGTTGTCTTCCAGTTCCAAACCATCAACTCATGTGATTAGCTCTAAGAAGTCTTCCAAATATTGGAAACAAGATGTCAAAAATGAAAATGAAAAAGAAGTTGATATTAGCGACAGAGATGAAAATGAAGAGAAAGAAGAAGAAGAAGAGAAAAACAAGAAAAAAGAGTCAATATTTAGTAAAATGAAGAATATTTTGCATTTATTTATTATGTTTATAGAGAGTGCACTCATTTCAATGACTGCTAAACTAAATACATTGTCTCGCGATTATCGATATGTCGCCCGAAGACTATCTATCGAAAAGAAATATTTGAAGAGAATTCTTGAAATTGAAGAATCAAATGGATCCAAATATGACTTTATGGACAATATTTGGAAAAAACGAACTTTGGCTAAGATATCACAATCAACACTTCCGAAAGAGAGAAGTTTTGATTCAGTCAATGATGTCATCTCTAAGAAGAAGAATAAAATCGGAGAATCAGAGAAACCAAATTCTGATGAGTAATAAACTGATGATTATTATTATACACAACATTTAAGATGTGGTACTAAAAAAATATAATTATTATTTGATATTATCTTAATCTTAGAGCAATCATATCTATGGAATCGGATTTAGAGGACTCATCCTTCTTGAGGGCCAACGTTTACATGCGATTCGTTAGATCCGTGTTTTATGCAATCCTTTCTCGCAGTGAAGTTATGTGTTATATAATAATAGTTTTCAATCAAATCACTTCGGCTTCAATTCTATCACTTCCACTGCCATTGTTTGCATTTCTTTGGGGATCACTATCTATTCCTCGGCCTTCAAAAGCTTTTTGGATTACAGTGATTACATACACTGAAGTTATTGTTGTTATTAAATACATCTTTCAGTTTGATTTCTGGCCGTGGCTTCGGGACCCGAGAATACATTTTTCACCATTTTATTGGCCGCGGATTTTCGGTATTAGTAAGACAGAGAATTACGCTCAGTATGATCTGGCATTACTTCTCGTCTTATTTTTCCATAGATTTATGCTTAAAGTAATGTTTTTTTTTTGTTAATATTTAGTATAAAATTTTACCTCAATATGATTGACATAATTGTATGATTTGTTAAAATCAATATAGAGTTTAGGACTCTGGGATTTGTCTGAAGCAGAAATTACAGCTTTTATGGAAACTGTTGAAAGAAAGACATCAATGTTTTTGGATCAGATGTCTCAGACAAACATATTGGCTAAATTGAAATCCGATAAGAAAAGAAAATTATCGGTAAAAAACCAGAAAATTATTGATAAATGTGAAGCAAAAGTTGAGAAAAAGACAGAACAAGAGTTGGATATCGAAAAACAACTTTTACTTAGAGAAAGAAGTTTATCCGACAGAGAGAGGGATCCATCCTTTTGTGTCATTGGTTTTTCAGAAGTGACGACAATCGATGAAACACAAGAATGTCAATCAAAAGGATTTGTATCTCCGATAAAGTTTTTAAATCTAAAAACAATTAAATTAAGGTTTAATATATTAAGACATTTTCTATATTTTTTGTGTAATTTAATGTATTATATCTTTGATTATTAATTATTTTTAGATCACAAAAAATTATAAAACCGGTCCGACATTTCATGCATAGTGTTCTTCATCCTCCATATCGTATATCAAAAGATGTCTATTCATTGATGTTTTTGTGTGATTTTGTCAACTTTTTTATACTTGTATTTGGATTTTCAGCATTTGCTGTAAGTATGATATATATAAATATGTGTACAATATTATGTAATAATAAAAAACAAATTTATAAATTTTATTAACAATTATTTTCTATAGAGTGGTATCAGTGAAGACGTGACATCTTTTCTTGAAGAGAATAAAATTCCGATACCTTTTCTGGTGACACTTCTATTGCAATTTGCATTGATTATCATTGACAGAGCTCTATACTTGAGAAAGTATATCAAAGGAAAGCTTGTCTTTCAAATACTGTTGGCATTAGGTATTCATATTTGGCTTTTCTTTGCGTTGCCAGCGATGACTGATAAGTATGTCTTATATAAAGATTTTAAGGATTTTAATTGAAAATTTGATGAAATTATTGAAATTATTTATTTGCAGACCATTTACAACCCGAGAGAACTGGCCGCCAAAATTCTACTATATATTCAAATGCATATACTTTTTATTATCTGCTTATCAAATAAGGAGTGGTTATCCCACAAGAATTTTAGGCAATACTTTTTGTAAAAAATACAATCTTATAAATTGGTATCTTTTCAAAGGGTATATTAATTGAATATTTATCAATAATTAGATTTTTGTCAAATAACAAAACATTTAAACAATTATTCAGATATATGGTAATCCCGTTTCTATATGATTTGCGAATGTATATGGACTGGATCTGGACGGACACCAGTCTTGTATTGGATGAATGGTCTCTAATGGAAGATATATTTGTTAATCTTTATGAACGAAAATGTGAACTCAAATTGGATGAAGAATTTCCCGAACCTCGCGGTAAAGCAAAGAGAAGATTCTTTAAATATTTGTTGGGCGGCGCGTGGGTTGTACTCATTATTGGTATTATTTAATACGATATGCTATTGACTAAAACATAATGATATTTAATTTTCTAAGGTTTAATATGGGGTCCGTTGGGATTGTTTGCTTTGGGTAGTGCTGTCGGTTCAACCAACAAACCTGTCGGTGCAAAAATTGAATTAGAGTTCGGAGGATATCAACCTGTATTTCAAATGAGTGTTTCAGAAAATGGATTGCAACCGATTGATGACAGACTTTTTGATTATTTAAAAACCAATAATGATTTTGTAGGCAATGCTATGGCACAGGCCTTCATCAATGGTTATGATCAAAGCGATATTATGGTCGTACATCTAAATGGTAATTCAACTGCTGTTTGGGGTATTAGTCCACCATCTGCTCAAAAATTGTCTGAAGACCTTTTGAACAATACTATTGAAGTGACAGTAAAACTGACGTATTCTATAATTAGAATAAAAAAACAAAAAACTCAAGACATGGATGTAATCATTTCTGATTCAAGAATTCGTAAATTACATCCAATCTCTGACTGGCTTTTGCGCAAAAATATAGCCGAAATGCTTAAAAGCAATATAACTGGTGAACAGCCGGCAGTCATTCCAAACATATTTCCAAACTATTTAAGAGTTCCAGAAAAAGGAAAGCCTACAGTCGTGGACAAACTTATTAGGAGTAAACCAAATCCAGATAACGAAACTAAAGATTTGTATGAATATAGAAATGTTGGAATACTATTACAACGAGCTCAGGGATCCACTGGTGATTCTAACCTTTGGTGGGAAATACACGACATCTGTGACTATTCTGATAACCGTTTTTTGGATGAGTTCTTCAAAGAAGATTTGCTTAAAAGCCAGAATTGTCAATATTTACCAATTGTTCTCTTTAATGACAAAGTATTTATAGGATTACTGGCCTTTCTATCTGGTTATGGCATTATTGGTATTTACACTACTTTTGTATTTTTGGTGTCCCGTTGGGTACGAGGTCTCAACTCAGAGGCGTCATTCAAAGTGATTTACACCCGAATGCCAAACGTTGACCGAGTCTTACAGCTCTGTCTCGATATATATTTGGTTCGTGAAAGTCATGAGTTTGAACTCGAAGAAGATCTTTACGCAAAACTTATATTCCTGTATCGATCGCCTGAAATGCTTATCAAATGGACAAAACCTGCTGAAGAGCTGCCATCACAAGAGACACAACACCAAAAACATCGACATTCAGGTCATCAACAATAAAGACAAATGATTTATAATTAATTTATTCAATAATCCCTCCAATTTGTCTAAACTACAGTATATTCATTAACTTAAATGTTTTGATAACTTTGTATATTTGTATAATAATTATAGCCAATGCCCACAACATAGTCAATAACTTTAATAATTTTAGTCATATTTCTAACAATTTTGTAATTACTTAAATTTTCAAAATAAATTTTACAAATAGTTAAACAAATTTTATTCAAATATTGAATTGTCATTCATAATGAAATTATTAAAAACAATTTAACAAAATGCATGATTAAAACCTCGATAATATGGTTATATAGCATATCAGTATAATTGAGTCAGTAAATCATTTTATATTATTTATAATACAAAAAATGGATAAATTTATATTAAATAAATGCTTAATATATACTTGTAATAGTATAAAAAAATTAAATATATTAAAAATGAATAGTAAATAAATGAGCAAATAATATACATATCAAAAATAGTTATAAGTATTATTATTATTATTATTATAAAATTGTTGTTGTTGTTGCTGATGATGTTGTGATTGTTGTTGAGGTTGATGTGATGTTTGAGTCATCACTTGTCCCATTTGTGTGGGATGTGACCAATAATTGTCAAAATTTTGTTGATTTATTTGTGAATGATGTGTATTTTGAATATGTTGTTGTTGTGGTGGCATTTGATGTTGTTGTTGCTGCTGTTGATGTTGTGGTTGTTGTTGTGATTGTTGCCAATATATTTGTTGATTGAAGTAGTTTTGTGATTGGCTTTGCATTTGTGTTATGTTTTGTGTGTCAGTTGTAACCACCATTTGTTGCGGTTGTCTCTGTTGTGGTGTTTGTACTAACAATCTTTGTGATTGTTGAACCAATAAATGTTGTGCTGGTGGTGGTGTTTGTTGTTGTTGTTGCACTTGTGGTGCATTTTGGGTAATTTGAGACAATTGTTGGTTTGAGTGATTGATAACCCATTGTTGTGTTTTTTGTTGAGTCATTTGTTGTGCCTGTTGTGCCATTTGTTTTAATTTAATGGAAGCGTTGGCAGCAGCCTGTGATGCCTGAGTACTTGTTTGTGTTATTTGTGATGGTATGGCATTTGCACCGGTAGTCGCTGTCGTGTTATGTTGTTGTGGCACTTGAATAGACAGCCGAACAGACATATTGTTTTCAGTCTTGGGAACCATTGTGAAAGCCATTCTGGGCACTGAACCGGTCGGTACATTCATACGAACACCTTGTGGTGGTTGTTGTTGAACCTGAATATTGTTTAATGGTTGTTGTTGTGGTATTTGTTGTAGAAGAAGCTGTTGTTGCTGTTGTGGTGGTATTTGATGGCGAGTATTCACATTTGCATAGTTGTTGCGAACAGTATTATTATTACTGATAGAAATTGGAGTAAAATTAGTATTATTTACATTATTTATTTGAAGAGAAGACCGATTGGCAATGTTTGACACCATATTTGGCTGAAGTCTTGGTTGTATTGGATGGTATGCATTGGATTGCATATTAGTATTATTTGCATTAAAATTAATTTGGTTTGAATTTATGATTGTATTGCCGGTTATTATATTTGCATTACCATTGATACCAATATTATTAATGCTATTATTTGTGACATTAATAACATTTGAATGGTTCACCAATTGGTGTTGTATTGGCTTTATAGACATAGACTGCGCTGTATTTAGCGATTGGCAAAAATCGGATGACATTTGATCACTAAATGTCGGGTCATTGAGATCTTCAAGAAATTTAGCGATGAAGTCTTCATCTCCAACATCATCAGTAAGACTCGGATCATTAAACAAGTCTTTCATAACTTCGGTTCCCAAGACATCCATATTATTGATTGCATTGTTATTATTTGAACCATTGGATGAATTGGATGTATTGTACAATAGCTTATCAATTGCATCAACCGTTACACTTTGAAAGTAACCATTGTCTTCAATTTCGCGCTTAATTTCGGGAATTGAATTGTTTGCAACAATTATATGACAACTATTGGTCGGTACACATGTAGAAGTAATTAATGGTTTTACCTTAATATCCATTTGATTGGTTTTTGTGTTAAATTTTGAATTATTACCAAAAGATTGATTACTCGAAGATAATTGTAAGTTCTTTGTCGAGCTGTTTGTTAATCGATTATTCGTCACTTTTGCCATTTTTGTTGGTTTAATGTCATTTGATTCACATTTGTTGTCACAACTGTTTGTCGATGCGTTTGATCTCTTGTTGGCCGTCCTTTGAGTGGCAGCAGAGTTGAGTGACTTTTGTTGTTTAGATTTGTTGTTAGAGTTATTTGTATTATTATTGTGAAACTGTTGCTGAAGTCGTGCCGTTTCTTCTCTCATCTTCATATTCTGTGCCTCAACTGTCACTTCATTCTTCTGGTAACTCAATTGGTGATGTTGTCTATACTTCCCGACTCTTTGTTTTACTCTTTCGGGGATATTATAGATATTATGCGGTGTTGAGGGCGATATCATCGACTGATTATGATTTATAACCAGTTGTGGTGTCGGGGGTGTTGTCGACTGTTGCGGTTGTGTCTCAATCAACATCGTTGTCAACAATTATAATTGAAATCAACTGTCAAATCAATATAACACTTCATATGTCTTCATTTTAGGCACTTATGGCAAACATTGGCACCAATTGTGAGATCAATACAATGACCGCAACACTCATTATCAACAATCAGTCGTCAATCGCTTCAAAACTATTCAAAAATCAACTCATTTTGTTATGAAATGCATATCAAGTGATCAATTGGTTATGACTTTCATGACATACAATCAGTGGTCAAATAAAACCATTGAAAGACAATCAAAGATTTGGTCACAAAATCAATGTTTTTGTTATTATTGTTGTTATGATTCAGTCATTAATAAAGCAATTGATTTGATATTCATATGAATGTATTGAATGAATGTATTGAATGAACGCAACGTATTGTCAATTCTATTGTGTATTCAATCGAATCAAACAAAAAGACACTCCTTTTCATAGCAGACATCAATTACGTCCAAACATTCAATACTTTTACAATACATTTGTTATTTCATTTGATGGACGTTATTGATTATAAAGAGTTTTAAGTAGTAATAAAAATTTCATTAATTTTTTAAAAATAAATCTATTTATTATATAAAGGTTTTAATTTGTTTAATATAATCAATTAGTAATAATTTATTAAAAATTTAAATTAACATTTTTATATTACAAATTTACCCACTTACATTTATTAATTTACTAATTTTGTATATAAATTTAATTATTACTTCTTTTAAATAAATATATAAAATTTTGTCAAAATTAAGCCTAACATCACTAGTAGTATTGTTAATAAACATTTGTTTCAAAAATATTGAAATAATTGATTGACTTTTAACACAACACACAGTCATAGTCTATGATTCATAGATTGTATTATATTTTTAGTATAAATATCACAGACTTTGTGAACGACTCGTGCGATGAAAACATTTGCAAAACGCGAATAATCGGTAAACAAAAGTTTGTCCAAAAGTGGACAACCATTAAGTGAACTGCAATTATGAGTTCCCGATATAAGCAGCGAATGGTTCAGTTAAGCGCCCGAATATTCGGTGAATACCGACGACCAGATTTGCCGTCAGAGTTGACCCGCGACCGCATTTACGACGAAAAAGTACGTCACGCGTGGCATTCATATCATCACCGAAATGAAGTGGTCATCAAAAAACTATCGGCGCTACCAATGGATTTAGACTGTCATCGCAATCATCTCTACTATCCTCCACATCCACAACACGTGGATCTCATCGATAAACTCCGAGAGTTGGGATTATTTCGGTAAGTCTTACAAAACATTAGTATTATATTTGACGACATTTTAATAATTGTCTGCTTATTGTCCATCAGTGACGAACATTTGGACTTTAAAGATGAGATCGAGAGACAAAAGATCTTAAGAGGAAAAAGGATTTGGAAATATGAACCAAAAAATAAGAAAAACTAATCATTTTATTAGCGTTTAAATTACAATTAAATTGTATTTGTTTTTATAGTCAATAAATATATTTATTAGCTCTAAAAAAGTCTGTCAATAAATTTTTCATTAAAATTATTTGATAATTTTGAGGACAGATATAGGATATACTCTACTTTGGTTTTGCTGGCATACAGTTACCGGTAATGGTTATCAATCAATTTGATTTACCGGTAAATTAATAAACAAAATATAGTTAACAAATTTAAAGTCATTTAATTATAACATTGTGAGTATCGATACAGTATTTAATAAGAAATTTAACAAAATATGTAATCGAATTGGGAATGAAATAAAATTTAATAAATTAAAATTTGTAACATTAATATTATTTAAATCATTATATAAATAAATAAATTTAAAAATTGAGTCTTTAATTAGTAACAAACTTAAACTGGAAGACTCTTTGCGGCTGCTTTTGTAGCTATTTTAGTGAAAAACATGAGACCAGTTTGTCCACCGGGAAGATAACTCATGACATACCAAATGAGAGCAATCACTTGAATCAGAGCAAAGATTGCGGTAAATAGTGTGCTCTGAACCTATCAAAACAAATAATAAGTATTATTATTATTGAAATACAATTACCGGTAAAATACTGAGATATTAGTATTTAAAAAATATTGTATAATTTAAAATTAAAGTAGATTTTATAAATTTATAGATATATTTGTTTTTATAATATAAACATAAGAAAAAATATATATTCAATTTTTATCATTATATTAACGTTTTCAAAAATACTCACAAAAATGAATTAAAATATAAAACAGAAATGTTATGTATTTATATAATATCCATAAATATATATACAGTATATTTGATAATTAAGTGATGCAAACCTTGAGAGCAAAATATAATGTTGTGATCAATGATCCGAAATATGTTAGAGTAAAGGGAAGTCTCTCTTTAGAAAACAAGTGTTTCATATGACTTATTGGTCCCCAAAGTACTGAAAAACTGAAAACATATGTTTCACTTTTAATTACACTATTTATGAAAAACAAATAAATGTTTAATTAATACCTTAAAACAATGAAAAGTGAGCCCAATGTGAACAATAGTGCAAACTTTCGGGCCTTAAACACAAGCACTGGGATGTATAGGGATGACTGTTTGTAAAAGATATTAATTATTTATATAATTATTTAAGATATTTTGAATATTTTAATTGAATTAGTGATAAATACCAAAGTAAAACAAAATAAACCCATTAATACAAATACTATGAAACCAATGATACGTTGAGTTCGTGACTAAAAGATAAATATAATAATAATTAGTTTTATTGTAAATATTTTATTAAAATTTTTGTCATACAAGAGATGGCAACCAACTGATACTACTTTCTTGTTGAGTACTCGAAGATAACGAAAAAGATGAAAACCAACTTCTTTTAGCTGACTCTTGTCGTTCATTACCACCAATTGATGCGTCCAGTTGTGAGCCATCATTAGCTACTTCTTCTGTACTCAACGGCTGATAAAACCATTCTTTGGTTTTGTTTGTAGTGAAGAAGTTCTTGACATTTGATGTCAATGAGGAAGAAGTTTCATCACTTCTTGAATTAAGATAGTCTTTGAGATCAGTTCCCAAACTTATTGATGTCGACATGTCTTCAGTTATATAATTTATATGATATTAATTAAATCAATTAAAACTTTATGTCATATGTTTTGCTGTCAAATAGCAATCATTATAACAATACACACATAAAGAGGTCTCTCATGGACTCAACACTACAGTCATTAACATTAATGTAATTAAAATTAATTAAAATTAGTTAACAATTCATTTGATGACAATTTAATGGATATAAACATATGATTGTATAAAATGCCAACAATTTTGACGTCAATTTAGGGGCAAATCAAGAGTCAATTAAATGACATTCAATTAAAGCGCTTATTGTTTGACAACAAAACAAATCACGTGATTATCTCTGCAATACAGTCATCACTTGTATGACTAATGCATTGCATTAACGCTGAGAAAGCAATACAACAATAAATAAGAGTAAATAAAACGTTTGATTACATCAGTGATCGCAAATTGAGCACAAATTTTGTTAATATTAATATATATTTAATTAAATACATTATATCATATAATTAATAATTCATAAAATAATACACTTTTAAATAAATAAATATATATTTATGATATCAATTATTTTCAAATGTGACAACACATTTAAAATATCACATAAACTAATTTATATCATTAATTTTTTTACAAAAATACATTTAACAAATAATTAAAAAAATTTATTACAAATAACAATATTTTAATTACAAAATTTTATGGTTTAATAAAAATTAATTTTTGAACAAAAAAAATTGCTTAAAAAATTTAAAAGTATAGTTTTATGTAATTTTAGATTTGTATAGATTTAATGCATAATATTTACTATGAAATTATTATAGGTTTTAAAAATTAATTTATAAATTATTATAGGTTTTAAAAATTAATTTATAATTTATTATATTATATAATATTAGGTTTAAATAATAAATTAATATAGTTTTGTATTAAATAATGAATACATTTGAATATCATATGATTCATAAAATACGACACATTTATGTATGTGTGGTATAGACTATACAGTAGTTAACTATAGAGTCAATGCATAACCAATGGTATAGTGAGTGCTATAATATAATAGTGTTTTAAGTCGTCAGTCATTTTGTGTTTTGTTGTGTTTATCGACAAACAAACAGTTATTGCGTTACAACTATTGTGTCTATTATTTGCATTGATTTGATTAAACATTACAACTGAAGACAACTTTATTTATTAGATCATTGATTGTCTCTATTATTGATCCAAAAACAATATGAAGTTTGCCTACAAAGAGGAACATCCGTTTGAAAAGCGCAGAGCAGAGGGCGAGAAGATCCGTAAGAAATATCCCGATAGAGTACCCGTAAGTTTAACCACTGATTACCATTGATGACAATAAGTATGACAACAATGTCATCAATTGATTTGTTATAAACATTAGGTGATTGTAGAGAAGGCACCGAAAGCACGTATCGGCGATTTGGACAAAAAGAAGTATTTGGTTCCGTCGGACCTGACTGTCGGTCAGTTTTATTTCCTGATCCGTAAGCGAATCCATTTGAGACCCGAAGACGCACTGTTCTTCTTCGTGGACAATGTGATCCCTCCCACCTGTGCCACAATGGGTACACTATATCAGGACCATCACGAAGAGGACTTCTTTTTATATATTGCTTATAGCGATGAGTCAGTCTATGGACATACATCTCAACCCTCACTGACTCTCGAAACCAATCATTAAATATGTTTTCTCTCTTTATTTTGTTTATTCATGTTATTAATACTTTAAGATATTATAATAACAATTATTATTATTAATGATATATATATATAAATATATTGTCGCAGATATAGCTAATGAATAAGATGTCGATATAATTAAGATATGATATGATATTTAACTAATTGTCACATAAGTTGAGATATACTTATTAGAAATAATAACAATTTATTGTATAATAGGATGTAATTTGTATTTGTTTTTATTTTTTGTGTTAATATTTTTCCTCCTTTATTGACATGATTTTTGCGACAATTGAATGCACCAAAAGTAAGTAATGATATACTATTTGCAATCGAGACTTCAGTTTTAATTATAAAAATGACATTTATATTAAAAATTTTTGAATTTGAAATTCTATGTAAAATGATTGTAAACATTAATAAAATATAAGAATACATATAATGTTAATTTGATTTTTTCTGTAAGTTAATAATAAAATGATAAATTTCATCAATGTTTAGTTTATTATTATTTATTATATAGAAATAAAGTGTGATTTTGTAAATTATATTATTAAATGAGTGTAATATAAATGCGCGATTATGGCAAACACTTGAAATTAACTATTTTATTTCAAATGGTTAATCACATGATTTTTGCTGATATATGTATTCTGTATACAGTATATGCTATCTATTGATAAGATATATTTAGTTTATAATAATATTATACTGTATTAGTAATACAATAGTACCGGTAACACAATTGTACTGTATTATTGCACCATGCTTAATTATTAAAAACATGATTAATACTGATAGAGAAAATTAATTGAATTTTAAATGACAAAATAGATTTGAAATTTGAAGCTAATTGAAACCAACGTATGTTTTTCAATAATATATTTTTTCTATGATTTACAACTAATATTTATCTCATAAAACAAAATCTCATTTATAAAACATATAAATATGATAATCCTGGTCAATGCATTTAACTATAGTGTTTTATTAATGTATTTTATGTTTGCAGCAAATGATTAATTATTAAACAACTTATTTTACTTATAATATTTTTATTGGTTAGAGTTATTAGTTTAATAATTAGATATTGATGATAAAAATGGTTAATTTGACCAAATGTTTGTTACATAATCAAAAATCAAATCAATTAATTAAAATATTATTAAAAAGTCACAAAAAGTTAAAACTAAATTATCTAAATCTATAGATTAATAATAAAAAATATGAAGTGATTTTCAATATTGAAGACTTGTTGTAAAAAATGAATAAATGAAAAGTTTTATCAAACAAGTTGTGATCAATTAATTCAATTTTTAAAGGATTAAAATTCTCTATACTATAGTACCGTATAATACACCATAAAAATCAGGGTTGCTAAAGGGGGGTAGGGGGTAAGACGTCTTACCCCCACTGAGATCGAGAAATTTTGGCTTTTACCCCCCCCCCCTGAAACCAAAAAGTTAGGGGCCCCCTATCAATTTTTTTCAACTATGTAAAATTTTATATTAAACAAAAAAAATAAATATTAAATTAGTTTTAATATAAATTAATAGCTTATGTATAGAAAATAAATAGATACAAATACTTAATTACATCAATTTAACATTATTTACACTATTTAGGGCACTCCACAAGAGAAAAAAGCTCTTAATAAATTCCCACCAATTTTCAAGAAAAATAATGATATTTTATTTTATTTTTTAGCTCTTTATAAATGATAATATATATTTTATTTCATATTAAAAGTCAAAAACTAAAATTTTTAGCATAAATTTTAAAATAATTATATTTTAATATTTTTAAACTTTATATTAAAATGTGTTAGTTATGTGCTTTAAAAATGATAATTATGATATTAAATAAATATTACATAAATAGAGTTGGGGCACTCCACAAGGGAAAAAAGTTCCCTAATAAATTCCCACCAATTTTCAAAAAAATAATGAATATATTAAAATGTGTTAGTTATGGTTCAATATAAAATACTATAAAAAATATATTCTTAAATTAAATTAATTATTTAGAACTAATTAATAATTATTATATATATTTTTATTATTATTATTATAACGTTATAATAAATACAGTACTATATCATTAATTTTTTAATTAACTATTTTTTTAAAAACTAAATAATTATATTTTTTTAATAATTATAATAGTTATATATATATATATATATTTATGCAATTCTTAATATTTAGAAAATGAGAAATTAAGTTGAGAATATTATTATTAGTTAATTTATTGGGAATTTATAGTTAATTTATAGGGAATTTAATGGGTATTTATTGAGAATTTATTGAGAATTTATTGAGAATTTATTGAGAATTTATTGAGAATTTATTGAGAATTTATTGGGAATTTAGTGGGAATTTAGTGGGAATTTAGTGGGAATTTAATGGGAATTTAATGGGAATTTAGTGAGAATTTAGTGGGAATTTAGTGGGAATTTAATGGGAATTTAATGGGAATTTAATGGGAATTTAATGGGAATTTAATGGGAATTAACTCAAATTTGGAAAAAATTGTCGTTTAAAAATGCAATAAAAATTGTTCACCCCCCCCTATACCCCTAAGCTTTTTCGAAAATTTTGCCATTTTACCCCCCCCCCTATACCCTCCCTGAAATCCAAAACCTTTAGCAACCCTGATAAAAATGCTAATATCAATAACATATTATCAGTTAATACGATTCAATAAATATTTATGATAACCGGTAATAATTATATTAAATAAATAATGAAATAATCGGAAACACATTTTTTTTATTAAACATCATTTGATTCAATAATACATAAATTGTAGATTTGTTGGAAATTAAATCAATTGAAGCCAAAAGCATTTATGAATAGACAATATATTACAAGTTTACATTTGTCAACACACATAGTGTTGTTCATCAGATTTATTGCAAAATTAACAAAATTATGGCAATTATATATTAACATATTAAAATAAAATAAAATAAATATATTTAATGTTAAAATAAACTTTTAAAACATGAAGCATGGTTATAACCATTAAGTTGTTCACTAATAAGTCAATTGTAAATAAATTATTTAAATATGCATTTTAAATATATTTTAAATATTGTAATTATTATGAAATACTGTATATTGTATAATATGTATAATTAAGCAAAAGGCTGGTCGAAAAGCAATTCATTGTAATAGATGTAAAATAGGATTAAATATCACTATAAAATTCATAATAATTGTGTTTATTTAATATAAACATTAAATTAAAGTTCAATTTAATTATGATAATTATTTCAGATTTGATAAAATCAAATTGTTATTAAAAGATTTTAATCATTGCAATTGTTAACCATAACTGCATAAATTGACAAAAATTATCAATTTGTTGCACATTTTTCAAATAAGTTGTTATAATATAAAATTATTAGTAAAATCTAAAATTATCATAATTTTTGAACAATAATTAAGTTAATAGAAATGAATTCGCTATCAAATTAGCGGTCATTGTTAATTTGAAAATGCAGATGATATTACATTTTTAGTAGTAATAATAATAATATGATAAATATTGCAAATATTGTAATTAATTTTTCATAGTATATAATGTGATGGAAGCGCTCAAAAAACAAACGATAGTTTAACTTAAAACTATTAAAACAATCAATCAATCACTAAATTAAACCACAGGTTTAATGTTAAACCACTCTATATTATGGGGCTGTTATTTCTTGCACTCTTTTTGCGTTACAATTACGGCATAATATATGGTCATCCAATGGATAACACCCCCGACCTTCTGCTTCTGATGACAATAACAAATCGCAGTCCTATTATTCATAATAAAAAAAATGTTTAATTAAATGTTTACAATTTTTTAATATAATTGTTTTGATAATCATTATAATGTTAATACAGTAAAAACAAACTGAAACAATGTAAAGTATTATTGCAAAAGATATATGATTTTTAAATGACAAATTGTTTTATTATTTTAAATGTTTGTGTTATATGAAATTTAATACTTATATACAAAATACAAAATTAAACAAATCACTACTGATATGATTAGCGAAGTAAAATTAAAAACAAATAATGATTTCCTTAATTCTGGCAATCACTCAAAAATATTTCATATATGTCTCAACTAGTATGACATCTCATAAAAAACAATAAATAAGATTTGTATAAATTCAAGAATATATTGTATATAAGTTATATTCTATATATTTAAAAGAAAAACAAGAATTACTTTAAATATGAGAATATTTATTATATATCTTAATATAACATGTTTTTGGCTCTGAATTAAATAAACCATTATACAATTATACAATTATCATTTATACCAAAATTATAGTTCAATTTAATATTAAAACAAATGTTTTATATATATATATATATATTATTAGAACTTTCTAAATGTAAATAGATTTGATATAAAATCATTTCTGAACTAAACATGTTATAAAATATATATGAAGGTTAGGTAAAATTATAAATATATAAAGTGAAGTTATTTTTAAACTATACTCAATATATTATATTATACCTATTATTCGTATATAATATTATATTTAATTTTATTATATTATATTTATTGTAATAATACTAGAAAATTATTATTAACATGTGTTCATAAGTTATAAAAAAGTATCTAATAAAGTAAAATTATTTAATTGTCATATTTAATAAAATTTAAATTAAATAACAATAATTAAGATTAAAATTACAGTACTTCCATTTATAATATAATGTTATTTTACTGTAATAAAAGTCATATTGCAATCACTTGTAAGTATTTTGTAATTTAAAATTAAAAAAAAATAACTGACAAAATCATATAAAATAACAATCATTAATCTAAATAATTAATTTTTATAAGAATTAATATATAAATAATATGTAAAATCAATTTATATGACTTACTTCACATTTGTAACAATTTACATGAAAACTGCGATCCAATGCAACTACTCTTACGGTTTCTGTTTTTCCCGGTTCGGGAACAATGGGTTCTTTGCAAACACAGCAACGGGGGGCAAATTTTCTGCAATTATTTCGTATAATAATATTTAAAATTTTTATATGCAATTAGATTATATATTATTAGAGAGACTCACTTATGAAAATCATCGATACAATGGATTTTATTGGTAGCGTCAACAGTAAATGGTATGCCATCTAAACATTTGCTACACACAACACATGTGAAACAGTTGGGGTGATAGGCCTTTCCTGTGGCACGAAGTATACGATCCAGAATTGGTTTCTCACAAACACAACACTTCTCTAATGTATTCTAATATTTTAATAAATTATATCAATTAATTACAATACAGAAGCAATTGATGATAAAAGACAAACCAAATAGTCGTCCTCACAGTAGGGTTTGCCATCCATCGCATAAAAAGGTTTACCTCTTAATTCAATATCTGAAACCAAAACATCAATTATTTGTTAAGCTATGAAATGTCAATTTTATAACATCTTAAATGCCAAAAATATTTTGGAGACAAACAAAACATTAAACTCATGTATAATATGAATGTTTGAAACTATTTTTGTTTTTTGTTAAGGGATTTCTTGTTTTTTGCTAAATACAACTTATATTTAGATTATAAAATCTCAAGGAATTAGTGAAATATGAATAGAAAAGAGGAACTGGAGGTTAGTTTAGGCTATACTTACGACAAATATGACAAGTGAAGCACTGAATATGATATACTTTTTCCATTGCCGTACAACCACTGCCTTCGCCCAACACTTTTTCGCCACATTTATGGCACATACCTATCAACACATATATTAAAATACAAAAAATAATTGTCACATCAATCAATAGTGCACATCACACAACTAACAACAACAATATATCAATGATAATTAAGGCCAAGTGGCCACAGGTCACCTATAATCGGTGATTCTCCTCCTGAAGACATTGAGGAAGCAATTGAGTAGAAAAAAGCAAAATCTTTTTTAAGTCAAGTTATGTTTTCAATAAGCAATTATTTTAAAATTTTTAATTAAATAAAATTTAAAAAAAAGGATAATATGTTTGCAAATTGAGAGCAGCGTTGGTGTCGAAAATGCAATGAAACCGAAATATTTCTGTCAATTCATGAATATTATATACAATACATTGTTTACACACAAATACATTATAAACTTAAATAAACAATTAAATATATTAAACAAACTAAGTTATTATATATAATTAAGATCATATAAATATATATACATATTATACAAGTAGTGTACAAATTGCACAAAATAATAATTTGTATTAAAATGTCAATCAAATGGTGAAAATATAAATCTTTGATATTGTAATTAATTACAAATCAATATATTTAGTTACAGAATATGTTTGTCATATAAAATCATTTTTATGAACTTTTATGGCAAACACATAATAATATGTAGTATTTAAGTATAGGGTTTGAATGTCAAACAAACTTATTATTTAAATTAGAAATAAAAGACAAAACAAGCAAATAAATGGTGAAATCAAAACAATTGAGTTAACTAACCGAAGAAGTCGGGATCGGATGAGTTTTCCATACTTTTGACTAACAGATCAGTCAAGTGGTCGACTTCGTCTTCCTTATCAATAGACGTTTTGCTCAATGGATTAGCTGACAGTGAACTTCTTGAGCCAATGCTGTTGTGTTGTTGCGGATAATATCGTTGACTGTATAGTGAAGACAAACCACTGGCAGTGCTATACGTGGATCCGTTTGACAGTTGGCTTGAAGGCCGTCGAGTGATTGGCTCGTAAAGAGAGTTTGTGTCGTATGTGCTCTAAGAAGAAGTGATAGATAGTGACAACATATGAGACATTTAAACGACCAATAGATAGATTTGGTGTCAAAACAAACTGCCGGCTCTTTGCTAACAGAGCTCATGTCTATTACATCACTGTTAGGGATGTAAGACATCGGTCTTAAGAGTCTTAAGCGACTCATTCCTAAATTGGTCCGAAACTATGAATAGACAACCAATAGTCTGCCTCTAAAGACATCTACAGCTATACATCTATAGGTTGTCTATATAGACATCATATGTAGTCTTCACCCACTTTCACATTCATACTAACCTTCATCTCAAACACCCTTTCCATAGCTGTTGTGATACTTTTTGAAGACAACAACAACTAATTACACAATCAATTAATTATCACCAACTCATCCAACAGTCAGCTCAAGTCAACTATGGGTGCGATATATGGGTGCGACTGTCGTATACAATATATCATAGCTATAGTACAGTACTTATCATAATATCAATACATATTATACACAAACAGGTATTACATGCGATACATACGTCACCTATGAATACATTATATAACACACAATACCATTGCATTCAATACATTAACACTTCATCTCTATTGGCGCTAATGTTGTGTCAAATAAAACACTTGTCTATTAGTCACGTGACTTATATTTTGGTTTATTAACATAACTGTAGAGATATTACATACAACAGTATCTTAGATACAGTACTCTATGTATAATAAATTAGCTTTAATTTCATTATTGTTTTAATTATAATACTATTAAATTAAAATTATGTTTTACTAAAGTAAGAATTTATTAAAAATAATTTCTAATTATTTCTATTATAATTATTTTAGTTAATAAATTATTTGAATAATTAGCTTAAACTTTAAAACTCAATTTTGATATCATCATTAAGATTATAATACTGTACATCAATAATATTTATCATACATTTATCATATAACACTTTTTTAATATTTGTGTTAAAACTAAATTTATAGTTTTTTTGACAAAATTTCAACTAATTTTATGTTAAGTTGAATTGTAAATAGTTATGACAAAAATATTTTTGTGGCAAATTAATTAAATTAAACATACCTTTAACTGTTGATATGATAATGTTGAAATGATAAGTTGCCAAAACTAACATAAATTGCTTTTTATATTTATAATTTCAATTTTAAATTTTTACTAATATTGTAGTTGTAGTAGTATTAATGTTTACGTAAAATTTTATGATTAAAATTAAATTTTAAACACAAATAAATTAATTCAATTTTATTTTTATTTTAACTGATATGATAGACCAGACTTTTTAATACATCTTATAATTTGAAAAACTAATGAATAATTAAAAACTTATAACAAAATTATTTTAATCGCTATATCTTTTCTTAAGAAAGTTTATATATTCATTAAGAAATTATATATTCATTGTTTTAGTAATATTTAAATTTAATTTATTTTTTGGGTAAATATTTTTTATCACAAACAGATTTTTGTCGTTAATAAATAAAAAATAATATTAGATTTTAAACTAAAAAATCAAATGAAACAATAAACTTGAAATATATTTTTTATTAAATATAAAAATATTTCCCTTTTATTATAAACTCAATTAAGAAAAGAGTCAGCGATTTAACAATAAGTGTAAAATTAATTCATTTGTTGGTTTATATATATTGTAAGTGAAACTCAGTTATATTTAAAAATTATTTGATGTGAATAAAAGTTTCTAAAAGTTTCAACAATAATTAATAACAATTAATTATAATGAATAGTGCATTGATTGCTAAAATTGTTATAATTAGTTTGGTTAATAATATTGTGTTTAAATTATATAAAAAATTAAAAATTAATGTAATTAAGGAATGTTTAACATAATTGTTTGGATGAGACAGAAAATATGAATTACATTATTATATAAATTTATATATAATGTTAAATTTGAAAAATGATAACAAAAAATGATTTGTTTTATTTGTAATCATTTGTAAATTTTAATCAAAATTTTCATATATTGTGCTACTTTTAAAACGGCAGTGTATTTGCTTAAGGCCTAAACAAAGTAATATATATTTTTCTCATATATGGCCACAATATCGATGCGCTAATTAAGCATTAGAAATACATAAACAATAATTAGAAATTTTATTTTCTCTCTTTATTTTTTTGTATATAAAAATCTTTTTCATGTTTAAAATCTTCCACTTATTTAAAAGTTAATTCGCATTAATCAATGTTTAAACTTTATTAGTAATAACAATAATAGTTAGGATTAAACATATACTGTAGATTATGAACAAAATTATTATTGAAACTATTTTTTTAAATATATATATTTACACTAATTTTCTAAATAATAAAATATTTATATTAATTGCAAATCTCATAAATTTATATATTTGCTTAAATAAATTCTAAATTTATTTGTATATTTATTATATTCTATATAATAATAATATAATTTCAAATATAGAATATATGAATAAAAATAGAAATGTTTAAAGTATTTTTATTTTATTATATCTATTGTTTTTACTCATATATTTAGCTGAATATATGGCAATAAAATCTTTTAACTATTTCTTTAGTTTAAATAAATTATACTATAAATGATCAAGCTGAGATATATCAAATAATTATCATAAAATTTGAAATATCAACTGATTTTTAAATTTTTTATCATTAGAAATAAATAACTTCATCATTAAATTATTTTTAAATTTAATAACATCTGTAATAAATTATACTCATCTTTCAATAACAATAATAATTTTTATAAATATTATATAATTAATAAATTTTCTTTATAATAATAATTGTTCGAAGCATTGAATAGATTGTGAAAAATCGCTTTAAATAACAATAACCACTTTGAAATGTAATTAATTTTCAAAATAATAGCTGTATTAACATTTATATTATAAATTTTATATGCAATGCAAATGATATAGAAAAAAAATTAAAATAAATAATTTTCATTACATTTAACTATATACTGTATTAATTGTACACATTTTAATTTATTATTTGTATAATGATAATTATAATAGATAAACAAATTTTATATATAATTGATCGAATCTCTCAATAGACATATAAATTGATTCAAAAAAAATTCAATTATAATTTGTTCAAATTCTTTATTGTTATTATATTAAGCGATCAATTTATCAACAATTAAAAAGATCACATTATTTGCAAATTATATATTTATATATTATCTCACACTTAAAATTCGCTGCTTTTGAGAAATAGATGTAATTAATATAAATCTTATAGAGAAATCTCAAATATACTTTTTAAAGCCAAATAATGCCATAAATTTGAGGAACATTGAGCGTCAATTTAATTAACAATATATTTACAATTTATTTTTTTATTTTATTTTATGTGTTCATTAAGAGCACCAATAATGTAGAGTATCTTTATATTAATATATAAATTATATATATATATATATGTGTATATAATTGTTAACAAACTTAACATTTAATACATTTAAAAATGCATTTTTATTGTTTTATTATGAATATTAACAATATATATATTGAATAAAAATTTCCTAAATTGACAACAAATACATGTATTTTAAAAAGACTTATTTGTTTGGCGCTTGTGACTTATTTGTAATATTATATTATTTAAATTAATTTGTTTTAAAAAAATTGGCAATTGATTCAAAACAATTAATCATTTATGATTTGAATGCATTTTGTTGACGGCTTATGTCTTGACATAATTAACCAACAAATAATTATTACAATATTATACAATATGCTTGTGTTGTATTGTATACAACAAATACATTGTATATTTGTATCTCAATGTTTGTTTGTTAGCATTTGTTTTCATATGTATAGTTGTGGTGAAAATTTGTCTAAAATATATCCGAAATAGTCGGTAAAAAATAGACACTAAGAAAACACTAACAACAAAATCGACTGACAGTTGCTTTAAGTGCCAAAACGTTAGCAAATCTCTAAATGAGAGCATCATTTCAAAGCCTAATGTCAGCTAAAATGGTTACATATTTGGATCATTCAAACCGTTCAAACATATCTAACCTTTTTTACTTTCAGAAATATCCCGGATGTTCTGCAATACAATAATAGTGTCCATTGTAAATGATGCCAACCTCCCGAAGCACTTCGCCCCTTATGGTGGCCTTAATGACCCAATTATGTGTATCTTGACTTTCCTTTTCTCTCTCTAATTTGTCGATATCTATTATTTTAGAGCTCAGTCTTTCTAATATGACACCGATATCCTTGATATTTAAGTGTTTCTTGTGTTCCATCGATAGCTGATCCACTAATAGTAGATATCGTTCGCAGACCTGTTCATCTTCTCGTTCAGTTGTTTCAGACTCGGACTCCGAGTTATTATTGTTTGAGATCTCAATTCTTGTGGGTTCGGTGTCCATGAATCTGACGTGACCTTTAACTGTTGAGGACTTCTTAGGGATGGCTCCAGTGGCTCGCATGGCTTCAATACTTTCTGCTGACGATGATAGACCTGCACCTAATATGGGAATACTGATCCCTTCCTGAACTGGTGATGTAGCTGCAGATCGGGTTACCTTTTATTTAAGAAATTAAGAAATTTTATTAACCTATTGTAGTACTGTATATAATACTGTATATTACGGTATATTAATTACAAACACCAATACATACACTTATATGTCCCCCTCCTCTATGAAGTGCAGCGCAATGAAAGTCGCAGAGAGAGTGGTCGTGATCTAAGTCATGTGTTGGACTTAACTGCTCTATCCTTTCAAAGTCATCTTCTTCCTCATCGGTGGACAGTGTCCTAAATGGCAGTGTTTTTGTGATTGGTCTCTGTTGAAGACCATCAAGTGATACTTTGGCACGACTGGTGCTGGCAGTTGAGCTGAATGGTATACTAGTAGTTGGGTATGATTGAGCATCAGATGGCTGTGTCGGATGAATCTCGACCCTCCATGAGGTGGGTTCCGCATAATCGGTTCCCTTTCTGAAGCGCTCTTTTTGATCCCAATTAAGGACAACTGTAACGTTTCCCTTATCATCTCTGATACTCCAAGTGGGCGGAACATTGACCAGTTCCAGAGTACGAAGAGCATCACATACTATCTTTGGGATCGCATTTATTGCTACAACAAACACAATATTATAAAAAAATTATCAAATAACACATATAATACACATTATTTAGAATGTATTATATTTATTATTATTTCAATTCAAATATTTCATAGAAATAACAGTACAGTAAATACAAGATAGGAATAACAATTCATCAATAATTGTGTAATTAATTGTTAGGTGTACTCTATTTTTATTACTTTAATTGTAATTTACTTTTAATAAGTAATTTATACATTATGTTATAAAGAGACATAAATTTAGTAATAAAAAATCCTGCTAAATACTGTATTGTTTTATATGGACTGTACAATATTATATACGATTTTCTATGACATGGCACAGGTAGGCAAACTGTGAGATGTGTTATTTGATACTATAATGTACCAAATATAGCAAAATTATTATTTCATATAAGTTTTAGATTGAAAATAATTTTTGACTTAAAAAGAGTCGACGATTTTTATCACTGATGTTATGTTATATGAGATAATCGATCAATGAATATGTGATACATTTTAAAAATATTGTTACATTCAAAGTGGTTATCAAATTTCAATATAAATCGATGCAAACTATTGAACGACAATTCAATATTTCTTTAGACTTTTCTATTTCTTAAGCATAATATTTGATGAGATAATCAATGAAAAATCGATATTTATTTATTACACACACATTATATCACATTGTAATGCTTACATCATTGCGCCTTATGTGACAAAACTAGCATTCAATGATTAATTATAACATTTATTATTATTTCATTATTATATTTAAATAATAAACTATCAACTTTTTGTTTAAATTGATTTCATTTTTTAAATTAAAGTTGTAAATTATTACACTATATAAAGCATAAAGATTTTAAAAATATAATTACTTATTATAACTTATTATTAAACACTATTAAGGAGACAATGTGTATGAGTTTAAAAATATTTTATTAATATTTTATTTGAAATATAATGTTTAAATATATTTATTTATACTGTATATACTATGGCAAAAAAATGATATAATAATACTAACCGGCTTTAAGTGCTTCAACCCCTGGAGGTAACCACCGTTCCTCGGCTTTGAGCAACAAAAATATGGTGTCTTTTTCAGCCGTTTGGAAGTATGTTTCATCTTCGACTTCAGTTCCATCTGATTCTAAGACAACCCTAAGATCGGTCACATTATCGTAGCCTAACTTGTCTGCGGCCCTCACTTTCAACTCGACAAGTGATTGTGCGACCACTGACTTCCGTATCTCTCTATTTGATGACCAGATCTTATACGGACGTTCACGTCCCGGCTATTCACACAAATTGACACAATATTTAACCAAATAATTTACCAAAACTAATAAATAAATAAATTTAAAAACTTTTGTGCAAAAACTAAATCTCGTTTTTTATATTTATGGCAATTGAATACTAGAAATGATAAAAAATTGTTAAAAATATTATTTGTGATGACTTTTATATTGTCTAACCAAATGTGTCTAATGTAGCATAACTTACATAACACACATCAATATCATTGTAAACAAAACATTAAACTCTATATAATACTACTGTATTTCAAATATAAATACTGTATAAAACAAATGTTAAAATCTTAGGTAATTTTGTGGTAGAAATATATTTATAATATCAACATATACTTTATATAGGTATAGATAAATATATAAATTTATATATATATATATATATATATATATCAACAGTCAAAACAATTGAATAATAATAATAATAAACAATTTTCTGCTTATATTAAGCTTATCATACAATTTATGACTTACAAAGGTTGTCATTATGTCAATGATTTGCTAAATACATAACAATTGAATTGCAATGAATTCATCACTTTTGTTGTTGTGGTCAACAAATTGAATGAAATCTGCAATAATTGATATTATATTAAAATAAATAAATAATTTATATAATAATAATTAAAAGATGCATCGCTTACTTTTAAACTAAATTTATTACTAAAAATTAATATTTTGGCACTAATTAAAGCCAATATTAATCACAATATATTAAATGCTTCCTTAAATCCATATTATTATTATTAGTAATAATAATAATAATATTATTATTATTATTATAATTATAAGTATTGGTATTAATAATGTTAACAAATGGGAGGCAAAACTCAAGTGATGTGCAAAACATTGGATATTAAATAAACAATAATTAATTTATAGATTGCATTCAATAGTAAAATGAATGCATTAAGTGATGTAATGATAGCATCAGTTATACGACAATTGATTGCATTATTTTGGTTTTGAAATAATAGTTAATAATAAATAGTGTATTCATATAGTGATAGTCATAGTAATCACATTGCGATGGATTCAATCAATTGGCGAAGCATTGCATTCATTGCAATAACACTTAGAGTATAGACTCTAACGATTAGAGTATAGGGTTTAAGGCAAATGCTATACAATCTTATCCAATGCTATACACATACATACATACAGTACATACAGTATGTATTAATACTGTTGTGGCAAATGGCCGTCCAATGCATACCACCGGAGCACAGATCAACTGAGCTGAGCTAACACATCCATCCCATCCCATCACATCCCGATCCCTGTGTCGTAGCACTGGTAGCTCTACAACAACATCACACTCTCACAGATACACTCTCTGAGCTGACTATCGATTAAACAATTATTAATACATATAAACTAACAAATGGCTTAATATATATATATATTATTGTAATAGTTGAGCCCTTTTTCCATTCAAATGTCATAACGTTGACGACTTACTGTACACTCAATAATAATAATAATAATATTTGTTTACAATTAATGTGTAAACAAATGAACTCAAAATGTTTAACAAAAAACCCATTAATTAATGATTTTTGTTATGAATTTGTTTATCACATAATTTCATTGATTAAGTGATTGACTATTGAATTGATGAACAAAATGAGTGAAAATTCAAATGTAAATTAATTTTACACTTAATTTATATCTTAATATAATTTAAACAATTATTTGTTTTTCAGATAACCGATGAATCAAAGACTGTCGACCAGTTGACCGGCAATACGGAAGTGGTTTCCAAACCAGTCGTTCCTATCAATCACGAAGTTATACGCGAAGATATGGTTGAAACAGCTGTCAATTTTCTTATGAATCCACGAGTTATTGACAGTCCATTGACACAGAAGAGGACATTCTTGTTGAAGAAAGGTTTGAGTTTAGAAGAGATCGATGCGGCCATTGATAGATCCACTAGACTTAGACAAAGCCAAACATTGCCGTCACTTCCAGTAAGAGCTATAGGTCTGCAAACTGGATCACCTGTGCAACCAATGCCATCAGTGATGATTCGCAGCACTCAATTGATATCAAGTTTAGCCCTCTTCGGTGGTGTTATTTACGGAGCGTATGTTTTATACAAACGTTTTGTTGAGCCATTGCTTTTTGATAGACCACAAAAACCACATCCATATGTTTTTATTCAGCAACAGTTGGAACAGTTAACCAACGCCATGACTGTAATGCAAACAAATATGTCTTTAATTGAAACAAATATAAGAAAACAAATTGAAGACGAAATACGAATAGTCAGAGCGCCTCAAGACGTCACTATTCATGAGCTTAAATCAGAGTTGTCATCAATTAAAGCATTGCTTGTAAATAGGAGACAATTTGCTGCCACACCAATGGCCGGCATTCCTCAGTGGCAACTCAGTGATAATAAGACGTGCAATAATAATATTAATAATAAAGTTGATGACGAATCTGATCAACATATAAATGGCATGTCTAGTGATGATCACAACTCTGATGATAATTGCAATAATGTAACAAATTGTTTAACTAATGGTTCATCAATGGATCATATGGTTAATGAAGTGCATTCAAATGATAGTCTTCATGAATCAAATGACTAAATAATTTGGTTGTTTGCTATAAATTAGTCGTTTTTATAATAATAATAAATGAATTTTTTATAATAATTATTAGATTATTAGAGGTTATAGGTATGTATTTTTACGGTTTTGATTTCTCAAATAATTATTTACTGATTCATAAATGTATTTTTTATATATTGATTTGTGTTTATTTAAAAAAAATGAGATTATGATATATACTTAAGGTTATGATTTGAAATCAATAAATTTTATTTTAAAAAATTGAAGTATAAAATACTATTTACAAAATATTTTACAATAAATAAGTTATGAATAATATAATGTAAAATATAACTATTTATAATTTAGCGATAAATGATATGAGATTTAATTATGAATAGTAATGTTTAGTCGATTCATAATAAAGCGCTTTCTTTCTTGTGATCTACAATTATATGCCTTTGTTTATGAAGAGTAAAAATGATAAAACAGATCAATATTGTGGCCAAAAGGGCTAAGATTGTCGTAGATGTGGTCAGAAAAGTGATGAGCACTTCAGCAGTTGAACTAAAGAGGAACAGTTGTGTTACGGAAATTGTATCTTTCGGTGATTTGTTTGTAATTGTTTCCACTTTAGACTTTATTAATGAAATATCATTGTTTGACCACAAGTTGTCTGTTGTTGGTTCCAAACCATTGGGATCACCAAAAGCAGCAAAGTTTGTGAACGATTTAACCAATAATTGAGTCATATTCTCGTCATCTTTATTTGAAAGTACAGGTGAGTTATGGATGAGACCAAATGCCAATAAGACATCATCGCCATGAATGGCAGACTCTATAAACTGGGGAGCAATCGAAAAGGACGGCCGATATTGCAATTCATACATGAATGTGTTGATTGGAGTATTTGTGACATCATTTTGATTTGCAATTTGTCTTTTGAGTACCAATTTATTAAAGTTCTTCATATGGGATGTGATAAAGAGTGTCGAACAGAATTCCAAATACTTTTCCCGAAGAGATGTGTTTTGGTTTTTGTTGACCAACGATGAGATGAAAACTCGGTTTTGATAACTCATTGAATTATTTTTCTCGTTTTGATTGAAAAACATTTTCATATCGTTTTCAATCATCTCTAATAAATCATTTTCAGTCAATTTATTATTTATTATTTTCTCATAAAATCGAGTTTTGGCGGCGAAGTGAGTCAGTAGACATAGACTACCCTCGACTTTATTGGTGCCCAACATTATATCAGTAACACCGTTGGCAAAGACACCCTTTTCTAAGACTTTAAGCGGTTCCTCTTCAATCAATTCCAAATCAAACGTCGGTTTCCATCCATAAGAAGCCTTTTCAAGTATAGTCTGTGCATTAATTCTGTTGAGACAATCTTTATCTTTACATTTCAAGTTTTCTAATAATTGGTTGGCTTTAATATAAGGATTGTCTTCAAAAACCCATTTTCCGACTGCAATACCACTTAAAAGAATGGCTCGTTTAAAAAGTGATGGATTCATATCTCGGACTACGGGTGAGGTCAACAATATTGATATAGACATTGAACCAGTGAAGCGACCAAATACTGTAATGTTATCGGAATCACCACCGAAAGCGTTTGCATTTTTTCTGATCCATTTGAGAGCCATTATTTGATCCCAAAGACCCATATTTCCAGAGGCCAACCCATCAGCTTTCAAGAAACCAAAGACACCAACTCTATACTGAACTGTTATGACGATAACATTTCCTAATGATGCCAAAAATGAGCCGTCAAATTGTCGGGCGTCAGCAAAGTCATAGCCTTCTCCTGGAAGCCAAACCATTATAGGTAATGATGTATGCTTTGCTGTGGACAGTTGTTTTGGGACGTATATGTTAAGATAAAGACAGTCCTCTGAGGTCTAACAAATAAAATAAATAATTTAGTAAATTATATTATTATAATAAAATTAATTACTAATAGTAGAATTTTTAAATTTGTAATTTTAAACTTACTTTATGTTCTTCATCGACATTAAGAAGTGGATTAATAAGTTGTGGTAAATGTCTCATTTGAATACAAGTTGGCGCCAATTCTGTCACATCTCTTAATATTTTGCTTTCATTTAGTTCTTGCGGTCTCTGAAATCGCAAATTACCGACCGGTGGCTCAGCATAAGGTACACCTAAATATTGGTAACCTTCGACTCGTTTGGTTTTAATCACATGAAGACCTTTTAGTTGTCCAGATGTTGTCGTAAGAATCGGAGTTTCCGATGAAATTATTCTCTGATGAGTACCAAGACGTCTGATTGAACCGTCAGTAAAGGAGGCGCCCAATTGGACGACTACTGCTATTATCGCAAACTTTATAAAATAATTCATTTTTAAAATTCAATATTAAGGAGTTTGTATATAACTTTGTTAAAGAAAATCACTTTTTTGAAAATATAATTTTTTGGTGGAGTTGTGCTGTACTTATATAGGGAATGACTGTTCATAAACAAGGGGACCAAAGAGGGAAAATAATATATAATATGGTTTTACAGTGAAAGTAAAACTGGAATTCAATCAATAAATTGCATCAAAAAAATAGTGTTTAGTATTCATAAGTTGTAATCAAGTTTAGTGACCCGATTAACACTAACCACTTATAGGCTTATCCTTACATTTGATAAGACAGAGATATTCTACAGTTCACTGTCAAGGCATCGCTCGATGGGTACACTATGTGTGCAACTAATGTATGTTTGCGTTAAACACTGGTAACCAAAAACAGCGAATAAAATCTGTGACAACAGCCATATCTCTCCCTTTTATTCCGCCTCTCCTTCTGGGAGTCCATGTCTTACCTCATATTATATCTAAAAAAATATAGGCAACAGTTATAAGTAAATCATTTTTTTATTTGTTTTAAAATTTTTGGGAAACTAACAAAAAATAAAACAACTAAAATGCATATCTAATGTCAACTTTGATAAATTGACTAACATTGCAGACATTACAGACATTACAGACATCCAATATAAAAGAATTATGATTTTATTTAATCAAATAATTTTTAACTGACGATCCCTACAGTCGGGTCATTCATCTGATCTAAAAACACGAGTCAATTGAATGTTACGATTCACGTAAGCATACCATTGATATGAACTGAAGGGACAGTCAAGTAGGCAATGGACGAGTGCTTGAGATCAAAGACCATTATATATGATGTAATCGCTATACTAATTGAAAAAGATATTTGTAATATATTATAATACAAAAGTGTCATTGCTTTTTCAGTTTTCAACATTGTATTTGTATTTATATTTATATTATTATTATTAATCTATTAAGTACTGTGTACTGTATTTAATAATAATATAACTCAATATAATTTTAAGACTATCAATAAAATATTGCATACTATGATAAGAAAATATGAAATTAGTTTTTGTAGTAAATATTTTATGCAAACATATAAAAAAATTGGAGTATAGTTTTACAATTAACCCTATTTACTATAAAAAATATTGGATCAAACAAAAACAATATATTAATAAACTAATTAAATAACCATTGTATAGTTAATTATCTTTTTACATATAAAAAATAATAATAATAGATATATATTTCTCATTAATGGTTTGTTTATTTTATAACACTTTGTTTATTCCGAAATTATTTTGAAAAATGATTACAATATTACCACAAATTATTACTAGTTTTTTACATTAAAAGTAATTTTCCATTATCACATAAATACTTGTGATAAAGTACTGTACTATAGTTTTATATATTTAATTTATTTATAGTGACCCATAATATTTGTGTGTTTTTAAGAAAGAAAGAGAGAGAGATTAATTTTTTAACTAAAGTTTTTTAAGTTTCGCAAATTGTGGTAAACAAGAGTTCAGTGAATTACACCAAAAAATGTTTATTTTTCAGACAATTTTTTAGAATAAATTTACTATAAAATAATTTCTTTATATATTTTTATAGTTTCTCTCTCTCTCTCTCTCTCTCTCTCTCTCTCACACACACACACACACACACACAAACACACACACTCACTCACTCACTCACTCACTCACTCACTCACTTACTCACTCACTCACTAACTACGATCTATTTATCTATCTATCTATATCTCAAACTGTTTATTGAAAGAGTATTTAATTAATAGCTAAAAGCCATTTCATGACAGGAAAGGATGAAACACCACAGGAACTAATGATATGAATCTCATAATTATTTATAAATAATTGTTGTTTACAACTGTTGAATGACATTCACACCTCTTTATGGAAAGTCTGTACTTTTCAAAGTCATTTTGATTTTGTATTTTTAATTAAATATTTTTTGAACAATTTGTTGGAAAAATACTTTATATATGCATCTAATAAGTCAATAAACAAATAAATATGTTATAATAATCTGTATATATATTTTTTGATAAAATTACATTGGGTAAAATAAATAAATAATTATTTGTTGTTTCATTGTGGTTAAAAAATATATTAATAATTGGTACATCTGTTTTAAATAAATTTATTATCTATTAATTTTGATGCAAATTTGCTTACAATCAATAGAATAAATTCTTATTATAAATATTTATTAATAATTTTAACAAAGTGTTAACAAATATTTTATTTAATTAAATTTCAAGTAAGTCTAAAATATTGCACTTTATAATTGCTTTCTTTATCACATAAAGTTCAATAATTGTATTTATTTTATTTAAAATTTGCAAAATTAATTTCATTAATAATTTATATTAAGTGTAAATATATTCTTATATAAATATTTGATACAATTTAAACAAAATTTTTAAACATTATATAAAAATATATCTTTTTCATTATAAAATGAGTTAATGAATGATATAAAAATGTTATACATATGTATTAATAGATGTTATAGTGAATAAATGAAAAAGAGACCTTGCACTTTATCATTATATCTATAGGTACATTAAATAATGACTATAAATGAAACATTGAATCCTAATACCAATGAATTCAATGATCGATGATATGAAACATAAGTTTAATGACATTTGGAGTTGAATTTGAATTAAAATAAAGAAAATTTTCTGGAAATCTATGGAAATGTTTGGTAATAACTCTATGAACCAATAGGTTAACGAAACTCTGTTAAAGTTTATGCCATGAGGTTATGCACTGTTAGTTGATGAGGTCATACCATTTCAGGACAATAACACATACCATTGCTTGAACTTTTATGACATTTTTCTGAAATGTCAAAAACACTTTTGTACTCTAACTCTCACTAAAAATATGAGTACAAATATTTGCTGTTATCTAAAAATTTCTTAATTTAACTTAAAAGTACCAAAAAACTATATATATATCTGAATACCTGTATATTAAGCTAATGTAAACCAAAATCTCAACATTTACCCAAACATTTAACTCTCACTTATACTTTGAAAACTATATTACAATCGCATTAGCCGTCTCTGAGTTTAAAGTAAAAGTTAAATTTTCAAGACTTAAAAAAAATATTTTGTCTTTTATTTTTAAAACAAATACCTGATTACAGATAAGTTTGTCAAAAAGTTTCAAATATTTTTGATTATGATATACACGTGGATTACACATCCAGATTGCAAATATTTTTTATAATTCAATACTAAATTTTAAGAAATGCAATAATAAACTTTTACAATAATTTTTTGTAATACTATATGTAGTATATAGCTAACGTAATAAAAATGTTACAGAAATAAGTCTAAATTTTTCTAAACTATTATTGATATATATAGTATGTATAATTTTTTATTAATAATTTTTAAAAAATTTTATTTTTCTGCTATATTAAAAACTATAAAAAATATTTAATGATTTTAATATGTTATGTATATTTTTTAAAATTTATAATTACAAACTTTCTCTGAAATTAACTTTAATTTGTTTATTTTTTAAAATTATGAAAAATATTTATTTAAGTATTGCTTTTTATTAATCGTAGAAACTTTAAGTTCATAACATATCATAAAAGATAGTGTTGTCTCTTAAGCTGATTCTTACACATGTTTTATAAGTACTTTATTGTCTTATTTGGAAAATTTGCTATTTTTAAAGTTCAATAAAAGTAAATTTATAAAAATATTTTGAAAAAGTAAAATTTAATGTTTTTTGTTGTTTATTTTCCAAAAATTTGACAACGAAATTAATAGTTTTATATATAAATTGTAAACAAAGTCAAATGTGTTACAAAATCAAAACATTTTTGGTTGACTTTTAGTTTAATCCTTTTGAAGGCTAAACTTATATAATATATAACAGAAATTTTAGTTAACAGATAATTTATAATTTTGTTTTTTAATGTCAATTTACTTTTTATTAGCATTTCTATACATGTATTTTATATATATATAATTTTATATATACAACATATTTTAGTTTGTGACGGGTGTGGGGTTGACTTTCCCGTCATTGAAGCGAAGCTGTGATGAAAAGCCAATGTAGAGTGTAGTTGTTGATGAATGAGATGAAAATTATTAATAAATAATATTAATTAAGGCGAATGTTCATTAGGTGCCGTCACAAGTGTATACAATCACTTTGAATTAAAACTGAATTTTATTTAAAKTTAAAAATCACATTGAAATACATAGGGAGTACAYGTTTCCATTACAATATAATATATAGTATAGGATATTATATAATGAAAAGCATGAGATGCGTGCTCTGTGATAGCAAGCGAGTAACTGATAAAATAATGGATGCTAAGCATTATTATATAGTGATTCTACTAATCAATAAATGTACTGTCAAGGCTATGCTTCCAGAATATTCTATAGTTACGCAACTGTAGATACAGTGACGCAACCAGAGCATAGGGATGCTATGATTGACAGGTCTATGGGAGTTATAATGTAAAATGTAATATTTGGTTATAATTAGTAAAGTATAATTAGTTATGTGTTGTGTTTTATATAGTTGTGTTAAGTGTAAAGTCTAGAACACGAATATAACAAAAAGTCTACAAAAATATTAAAAATTACTAAATTATTGACTAAATAAGATTTACAACAAATAGAGAATTTCAATCAGTTATATATGGTAAGTATTGTATACTTATATAAATGGGAGCACTGTACTACTATATAGTAGTGTACGCATTAATAGTACAGTGTACCCCAACATATAATGTTAAGCACTGTTGACTCTCCACTGCTATAGCGTATGAGTCAACGCCCCTGTAATGGCGGCTTCCCTGAATGCATGTGTTTGTATATGTTTGTATGTGTGTGTATGTGAATGTATGTAAACATCAATTGGTAAGTATGTTTTTAAATTAATTAATTAAATGTATATAAATATATATAAGTATAATAATTGTGGTTCATCACAAGTTAATTTAATTTTTACAGAATATAATAATTTAATATTAGTGATATTTTTTATACACATACAAATTATATAATCTTATTTTATTTTTACATTTATTTATTGTTGTATAAGTCATTAATTAATTAGCAAGTAATTTTATAAAATACCTAGACATAATATATTGATTTGAATTTAAATAATACAGTAATAGTTACAATTTAGTTATAGACTTTTGTTATTTTGTCAATATTTTGTTTGATATATACAGTAGTATATAATATACACTTTTATTTATTATACTTTTATTTTGTTTATGTTATTTTATTTACTAAAATGCTTGAACAAATATTATTATTATAAATTTAATCATAATTATTATTTAAGAAAATTATATATTTAATATTATTTATTTATTTATTCAATTAATTAATCTAAAAAAATGATTAACTATAAAATGTAATTTTAATGTATTTATTAGTTTAATGTAACACTGGTTTTAGTCGGTTTTACAAATAAGATAAAAAATACTGATAATAAAGTAATGTCAAATATGTATAATTTTTTTATATGTAATTATAATATGTAAGTGAACTAACTTTTGAGACAAACTTATATTGTGTCAATTATATGGCGCTTAGGTATCGGTAATCTTATAAATATATATTGTATTATTGATAGTAGTGTATAGACTCTGTAGATTAAAAATATACTGTAAATTACAATTTGTAATAATGTATTAATTTTAATTTCTGATAAATTGATGTTTATGTTATAATTTTTAAAGTTTAAGATAATAAATGTTTATTTTATAATATTGTTGATCATTATGGATAATGTCAAATGCTATTTATAAAAATTGGATTTTATGGGTATATTCGATCATTCAATTTATTATTTGATCATATAATTGATTAATTTAGTAACACAAACATGAAATTGGTCGGGAATTTGAAGATAAAAATTGGGAAATCGGGTAAATGGTATGTTATATTAATTTTATACCGTAGTTATAAAATGTCATTATTAATCCATTTACACTTTACTTATCAAATGATACACAAAATTTAATACAATATACCGTATATTAATTATATTCGTTAATTATAACTTATACAGTAGTTTGAAAATGATATGATTTTAGTAGTAAGTATAGTATGTATTGACATGTGTGTGTGTGTGTGTGTGTGTGTGTGTGTGTGTGTGTGTGTGCCAAGCGATACATTTGATTTGATAATATATTTAAGTTAAAATAAAAATATTAAGCAATTTAGATAATTTTGTAGAAATATTAAAGAGTTAATTTAAGTTTATATAATTATTATCTATTTAGATAGAAATTCTATTGAAATATATATATATATATATGGTTAGGGAGGCCCCACTAAATCAAGGTCCAGGTAGTGCTAGATATGGATCATACTATGTGTTATATCGGTCAATGAATCCATTGACTCCGATACCGATTAAGACCTTCAGAAGTACATCAGGTGATGATATTTAGTTGCAATCATTGAGTTTCTATGAATCAAAAAATTCTTGAATATTATGATTTTTCTCACAGCACTTATAGACTGATGTTTGTGGTATTGATTATCAATTGGTTTTAAATTCATAACTAATTATTAATATAATATTTATTAAACTAAAATGTAAATTACCGTATGTTAATTATTAATATTTAAAGTATAAATTACCGATAATTTTATTTAAAAGTAACTAAAATTAAGTAACGAAACTTTGACTAAACCACTATTAAATATATGATCTCTTTAAGCAATTTAATAATAAAAATAAATATAAATTTATTAGTTTTGAATAATAATAATTATTATTATACTAAATCCAGTGTCATAACAAATCTTTGGTCACATTTTTTGGCAATATTTCAAATATTTATTATAAAATTTTGAGTTAATTAAAGTAAATTACATATTTTATAAAATGTATATTAATGATGTCATTGAAAAAGTTTAATAACATTAGGGCCTTGGTCAAATTTAATCATTTTACACTCAATAAATCATTGTATTTCAATGTCAAATCATATATGAGACTCAATTATATATATACAAACAGTTATTATTAATTAAAATGAAATTAATAAATTTTGTTATTATCATTAACTGTGACAGTCATAGGTGTGAGCAATTGAAACCCGTGACTTAAAAAGATAAATATTATTAAATTACAAAATTGAAAACAACTATTGATGTGATTGCGATTAATATGATAAATCAGTTTTAAATATTAAATGTATTTGTGATTATCATACATGAAAATTATGAAAAATCAAATGATTGAATAAAGTATAATTTTTTTTAGAAATTTGTATCAATTATTTTATTAAAACTTACGGTAATCATACTAACTGAAAATTATTTATTATATTTTTAATTTATTTAGTTTTGTGATAAGTATTTTAGCAATGAGTAAATTACACATATTTCCATATATAGATATATATTAAAAACACAATCTCTAGGTTTTATAAGTGTAATCAAATTAATAATAGATTTTAACATTAGCTAGTTTTAGATATTTAATAACAATTTCGTGTAAATTCAAACTTTTATAAATGTTTTTCAATGCTTTAAAATTTTTTTACAAATAAATAATTATTAAATTGATAAATAACTAATAAGTATAAAAAATTAAGTAATAAAACATTTTTGATTATTTATATAGCTTTTGATTATAATTTAAATAATATAAATTACTCGTAAATCAAATGGTAATTTAAATTACAATAAAATAGATTAATAATAAGTAAATGTTAAACAATAAAATTGTTTATATATTAAAATATTTGTAATTTAGAGTCAATAGTAGCTTCAATAGTGTTGATATCATTGTCAATATCGATGTGATTATTATAGTCGACGGGAATGACATGTTTGCCATCATTTGTTTGATAACACGCGACATATTCTTCTCCGCGATTAAAATCAAAGTCATAGACAATCCTTTCTTCCTTAACATTTGATTTCATAAATTTTAAGAAACGTTTTAGAAGTTCAATGCATCGACCGCTAGACCAATAACTGGCACCCGATTCGGGTATTTCCGATACTTTTCTCACTTCAATGTCCTTTAAATAGTTGTCGTCGATGTTTGCGATAACTATTTTATCCATTCCTTGAATGAACGCTTTGGACCAAAATCTCAATAATTTTTTCTTCTCAAAAAATTGTTGATCACGAGATCCACGGATCAAATTAACTAACTTTAGGTCGACTGACTGTCCATTATCATCAATTGCGTCCACTTCGTTAAGTGTCATCAGTCTATGTGACCCCAATTGGACACAATTGATAGCAAAATGCTTGATATACTCACTCTTGTCGGTCTCGTCCCGATCGGTGGCTAATTGAAAGAAATTAAGCAAACAATATGACCGTCGGTTGACGCGATCGGAAGGATTATCATATTGACTCCTCTCGTGTCTGGTTTTGTAGAAATATATCACATCTGAAGTATATTAACAACATTTCAATTCAAATAATACTTCTGATACTAAAAACTACAAACCGTTGACCATTTCTGCTGAGATTTTCCAACCAATATGTGTGTCATATATGGTGGCCATAATGTCTGCAACGGGACCGCCAAATGAGACAAACTTTGGCTTATATTTAGTAATGAGATTATACTCTTTGGTTCTCTGAAGATAGTGATACCATTTCTTTGTGCGATAGATCTCATAATCAGCTATTAATCCATTATTAGCCAAACACTCCTTAAATCCGATCTCCAAATCTATTCTTTGAAATTCAAACAACTCTTTAATTGTCTTCAGTTTTGGAAACTCTTTGCTGTCTTTTACTTCAAGTCGTTCATCGATAACAAAGTTGTCGACTCTTGTTATGTCTAATTGTTTGTCACAATTATCTATTACTTTGTTTGATCTCATTTTGAATTTGTCGACCAAAACTGATCGGGGTTTTTGATTGATATGTTTATCAATGATGACAACATTCATCAGATCATCGATGTCTTTGTGAGGTTTTTCGGTAGCCATTGTGGCCACAAATCAATCAAATGCCGACAAATGTGTTAAAACACGTGTTATTAATAGTGATTCACTGTTTGACTACTTTTGACAATCGCTTCAAACTTTGTTCAAATAATTTAAACTTTTTGTCAGTTTTTAGTGTATTTCTCTAACTTTCAAAGATTAATATATTGTTTTAAATTATATTAATTAATAGTAATAATAATAAAACTATTTATTATATAATTAATAGTAATAATAATAAAACTATTTATTATATAATTAATAGTAATAATAATAAAACTATTTATTATATAATTAATAGTAATAATAATAAAACTATTTATTATATAATTAATAGTAATAATAATAAAACTATTTATTATATAATTAATAGATACAGAAATTAAATATATATTACAGTTAATACTGTATACAGTATTATGTATATATACAGTACTTTCTATTATAAAGTTTACAAATACAGTACAATATTTGCCATTTTTGAAACAAAATATCTTTATTAAAAATTTTAATAAAAGTACTGTAGTTGTCGTTTAAATGTATTTTTTAGACAATCAAGTATTAATACATTTGCTATTAATACTGTATTACTTTCTAATAATTGTAATAACACTTTACATGATGTTCATAATTATATGGACTTAATATTAATACTAATTTAAATATAAATTGAAAAATACATGCAATTATTAATATAATTTATAATTAAACTACTGTAAAGTTCAAGTAATACAGTATTAAATATTTAATGATATAACTATTTTATCGGTAGTTTAATAGTAATGAGATTTAAATTAACAAGTACATTTCATATATATTGTATATATGATACTGTATTACAATTATCAGATCAGATGAAATATAGTAAATTTTTAAATAATAATTATTGTTTAATTTTAAAAAACAATTTTAATAAATTGCTTAATATTTAAATTGCATTTTTTATTGTTATTAGTTATGTATGAAAAATGATATCAATATTATGTAAATAATTATTTTTATTTTATTTTTTTAATATTCAAATATAACTTGTAATTTACAAGTTGTAAACCACAATAAAGCAATAAAATGCAATATTAAATTGACATTTCATTTAAAAGTAGTATAATATGACAATTACCGGTAATTCACATTTGAAAATAAAAAAAAACTAAAAGTATTTGTTTACTATTTGTTAAGTTAATAGTTTTTAAAAATTTTGACATAAGAGTAATGAAAACTTTGTATTATTATTATTATTATTATTAAAGAAATTAATGTGTTGTTTGTCTAAATACACGAATAATCATAAGTCTCATAGATTTTGGCCCAAAAATACATTAGATTTTAGTACTAAAAACATCATTATTATAGCAATTTGGGTCAAAATGCTTGTTGTGAACTATTTTCTTGTAGTTGCGATAAATTTTCATCTATTGTTTTATTATTGTACTTAATATTAGTATATAAAGTACACAAGCAAAACATTTACTTAAAATAAAACAAAATATTAAATTATTGAATTTTTAGAGACAATGTTATAAAAATTTCGAAATCATAATTATGATAGCATTTACAATAATTATTAAAATGTCATAACTAATGAAATTAAACATTAATAATGTGTGAAAAATTTAGCGATGATCTCATAATATATTATAATTGTTAGAAAAAGAATTTCCACAAAAATAAATAAATTTTAAATTTGATTACTAAAATGTCTTAAAATATAATTTTTTATATAAATAATTAATTTAAATAAAATACTATATTTAGTAATAAATAAAAAGAATAAAATATATGTGAAAATTTGTTATTTATATTTGTATATTAATTGTATTACATGTACTGTATAAACCTTTAAATAGTTAAGAGATTATTATTTAAAATTAAATGTAATATATATTTAAATATAGATGAAAATTAAAAAAAAACCTAATAAATATTTACTTATATCATTTGATATTCAAAACAAAAAACATAATATAACTATATTTAAACCAAAAATGTGAAACAAATCAATCATTATATCCGAGAATATCTTTTATAAGAAAAGATGTCTTTTCATTTGGTTTTTGTGTCAATGATTTGTTTTCCATATGATTAACATTTATTTGATTATTAAACATATTTATATTTGTATTATATTTATAGTTAAATTTGATTGAATTGCATTGAACTTGTGTTAATGTAGTGGATGTTGAATAGATTGCTGAACTACCAGTGCTGCGAGTCTTAGTTTTGCCAATTGTTTTACGTAATATACGATTAATAGATGAGACACTTGGAAGTGATTCCCGAAGACATATACCATCGTATTGTAGTTTTTCCCGTATTTCCCACGCAAACAAAGATCCGTTTTCTTCTTTATATTGTCTTATTTTGCTTATCACTAATGGTGTCGATACTCGTGGTTTACTTCCACCTCAAATAGATTAAAATACATTACAATTATTATTTAAATTCAATTTCATTAGTAAATAAATTATATGTATTTTTTATATACTGTATCATTTATATTAAGATTATATAAGTAATTATTACACTAGTATATTTATAAATTTTAAAGTTAAAAAATATTTGACAATATAAAAAATGTAATTACTTTTTAAAATGTTTGTATAAATAGCTAAAAATATAATAACTCAATTAACAATTAATCTAAAATACTCTAACATTGAGCTAAAGAGTAAAAATTAATTTAAAATAGTTTTTGATATAAAAGTTTTTGTTTGAAATAAAAATCTTGAGGTCATTCTTATCAGTAATAGTTTGGAGGTTAGACAATGTGTTAATGATTTTATAAAAATTAATATATATTTTTTAATAAGTAAACAATTTGATTGTAAAGAGTTAAAACTAATAAATTATCAATTTTAAATAATAGTGATTTATTGTTAAATAAAGCCATTATTTATTTATTTTTGTATTTTTTAACACTATCATCTTATTATTTCTATACATTTAGTAACATAAAACTATTTGATACAATGTTTGTATTATCTTTTATTTTACTAATATTTATTTACATTACAAAATATGATAATTCAAAAAATATAGACACTAGAAATTTTATAATTAATTTTAAAAATACAGTATATGCTTTATGTAATATTATTATCTTAATATTAAATAATGCTTATAATAACCAATCATTAAAATACAATTTGCAAAACATTTAGTTATTTAATCAAATATGCAATTTAACACATTTTCAATAACTTTATTAATTATTAATTATTTTGATTTTAGATAAGTAATTGATTTTATTGTGAATTTTAATATATCGATATTTAATTGCATTATTTATATTTACTGCCTTCAAAAATGAAGGTAAGGTTATGTATTAATTTAATTTAATCGGATTAATTGTCATTTTAAAAGTTAACATAATATTTCAAAATGTTTAAAAATTATTAAAAATAATAATATAATTGTTAATTTAGTTTTTAGGACTTATTTTTGGAATAAATTACTTATAAAAATTAAATATTTATTTTGAAGGAGTAGTGTATAAGCATTTGTGTCATTTTATACACGTTTAGCTATACATTCCTTGAACTCATTATAATATATGTAAAAATTTAAAATAATTTACTTTTTTATTTTAAAAATATATAGTATTTTTAAACTTTAAATAAATACTTTTCAAAATTATTATTAAAGATTAACTAATAAAATATTTTTTTTTTATTAAATATCACTTATGACAACAATTATCAGTTAACTTCGTGGACACTATTGTTTTGGTACTCATGACTGTTAGCATTTGCATTGATTTTTTCATTAGTATTATAACATTGATTGTAATTTAATTAATTAACATTCATATTAAAGCTTGAGTATAGTTATAATTAATTTTAAATTATTAAAATTGTTACATCATGTATATTTAATATTTTTAATCAAGTCTATACTCAAACAATATTCAATTTATTATTATACTTATAACGCTTATTATATACTATTACACTTAAGTGGATAATAATGTCCAATAAATCAATTAATAACTAATGTCAAAATAAGCTTACATTTATTACAAATTTTAAAAATGCTTTAACAAGCAGTTAAATAACCAGAAAAACTAAAATGTCATACCAATAGCACCGGGTAATATAGAACCAGTTTCTGTAAATCGGGACAGTATTTTGCTGACACACCCGTGTGAGACCAGTAGCTGTCGGGATATATCGCACGGCCGATACCCACATAAAGCCATTTCCAATATCTTAAGCCTCACATGAAATGGTAAGGGTTTGCCATTAGAGAAGACACCACCCAATTGATTGACACCGGCCTGAGAGTGGGTCGTCAATGATGTGATACTTGTACTACTCATCTGATTCATACAAATAGATATACTTTTCATTACTTGTATGACTTTTATTTTAGTGTTCATATATTAATTATCAATAATTTTTTAAAGCAAAAATGTTAACCATTAGTTTGTTTGTATTAAATGTTTTTTTGTGATTTTTTTGAGTGTTGTCTCTGTCTTTAAATAGTGGCTTTTGTTATCTATTAATCCGATGTGAATATCGACAGATGAAAGAGTCGTTGACGAGATTGGATGACAATACTATTATGAGTAAAAAGCATTGCATCAAATGGTCATTTAATTTCATCTCTATTTCCTTAATTTCCTGCTTTACAACTGTGCTGTCATCGCATCGCTACTGCATTGCAAGCAAAGGGCACTGATATGTAATGTTTAGGTGTGAGAGGAGAGAGACGTTTACCACACATATCGCTAATTCTGTGGTATAGTCGTCGACATCAAAGGGAAGTTACAAATATTAGATAACGAGTCCAGTCTTGCGTTTGTTAGACGATTACCACTACTTTTATTGCAATTTTTATTACTACTTATGTCTGAAGCATTTGTAATGAACTGTATATACAATTTGTTAATACAATTGGATTCAAACATTTGTTTATTTATTATCATTAAATTTATTGTAACACATTTAGTATTCAATACAATACTTATGTCAATTTATTAGGATCTCAATTCACACTTATTTTATGTGATAATAACATTTTAATAAAGATTGTGCTGTTTTAACAAATTGAAAACAAAAAATCACATTTAATTAAGAATTTTAAAAATATTTAATTAACGGTTCAATTAAAATTTAATTTTTAAAAATTGAATATAATAATAATTGTAATATAGTGGCTTATTTATATAATATGTATATATAATTTTTATAATTTTTGTTTTCAATTATAATGTTTGCATATATTTTAATAATATATTGTTTTAGGGTGTAATTCAAAATATTTATGTAATGTTTAAATTAAAAAAAAACTGATGTCAGACAACTCAAGTCTGCTATTCCAACAAAATAAAGTTTTTTTTATTATAGAATAAAAGCTAATTTATAAATAAATAAAAACCAATTTAATGTTCACTATTTCATAGTATTAATTGTTTATACGATAGTATATTATAAATAAAATTCAATAATGAAATACATTAATTCAAAAATTTGATGCATTAGATTATTTATAAATAAGCAATTTTTATATTGATAAAATATATATATAAAAATTAATTTTGAATAGTTAAAAACAATACATAAAAATATTTGACATATAAAACAAATGAAATGATCAAATACAACAATTAAAAATTGTTATCTAATTTATACTTTTGTTTTTATTGTTATTAAAATTAAGAAAATATAATTAAAACATATCTAAATAAATTGTGAGATGCGTTTATACATTTACATATTGACAAAAATTAGAGCATATTTTTACAAAAAAAATATATATATATAATAAAAATTGGCTGTATATAAAATACATCGTGTTTGTAAGTAAATTAATAAAACAATAACACATTTTTAGTTATGTGTATGTGTTTTAAACTGATGGCATTCATAAAATAATAGTATAAATCATTAAATAAAATGAAAAGTCATTTTTATAAAAACCTAAGGCCATGTGGTATTTAAATAATTGTATAAATTATTATAAAATATATTGCAATATATCATAGGTAAGTTTTGGCAGTTTAAATATCTTATATTATTTGAGACCTGTTTGAGGCCACGGTCACCAAAACATATGTGTGTTTATAATGTGAAAGATATGTTTGTTACCAATCAATTCATTTAAATGGCAGTCATTTAAAATTTCAATATTGTTTGTTGTATTTAACAAACAGTGCCTTTTTTAACATATGGGTAATCAATAGATAGTTACCGTATTTGTTTAAATTGTTTGCAAACTTGCAGTTTTGCACAATAAGACAATTGTATGACATTAGGAAAGGCAATAATAAAAGGATAGAGAGGTGTAAATGTTGAGAGTATATGTAGGTCTCAGGCGATTACATTCACTGGTTTACTGCCCACGACATCAATCAGTTGTCGGGAATGGAAGACAACGACTATAGTCCGCGGACCGGGTCTTTGTGGTACAAATCTAAGTGAATGTGCAATCGATTCTCCGGGTTGTATGTCTCTAAATTTGATTTGCATGGGACGGGTAATACCCGGACCCTCAATAGTGAAGGCACAGTCAGTTAAGACACGATTAATAGGATTTGTCATTTGTATTTCCAGACCATACTCTCTGCCGACAACTATGTCTCCTCTGGTATTGATATGAAGCTGTGGTTTCTCTATACTGAAGTCGTCTTCTTCACTCCACGTCTGTTGTGTCTCTTTAACCGTTGCGATCGCATAGATCTTCATCATTGAATAGTCAACCAATTTGTCGATATAATCATCAGAATTGACACGAATTCTAAATACTTCCTCTGTTTCATTAATAATTGTTTAATAAAAAAGATAAACAATAGTTATTTGACTTTTATTTATTGATACAAAAAATAAAAAATTTTCTCATTTTTTTAAATCAAATATTTTATTATTTAGTAACTTTGAAAAAGTAATTTTTGTATATTCTTTCTGTTTTGAAAAAAATGTATAAAACATAACACATATTTTAGTATAATTTGTATGCTTATCCTTGAAATAAATACTCAATTTATATAATAAGTTTGAAATGAGAAAATAATTTCTAACTGCTTTAGGTTTATAATGTATTGATAATTATTGTTAGTTATTGTAAAAATTTGTTTATTTAAATACTATGGGAATCGCTACTTATAATAATTGTCTGTATTATTACATAATCATTTTTATATATAATTCATTGTTTGTGTGATAAAAAAGTCGTCATTGAAAGACAATTATGAGGATATTTATTTGATAAGAAATATTTGTTTTTTGTTTTTAACTGGGCTTTAAAACAAAAGAAGTTATTATTATTAATATTTGATTAGAAAATCAATGGCTTGTTATTGTAATTATAATATTACATTTTTATTGAAAAAAAATCAAATAAATAACTATATTTTCAATAGTATTATAAAAAATGATTATGTCAATATCTGATGTTTTTTCTACATAATTTTATATTAATATATATAAATAATTTAAAAAACAATAATTAATTATTAAATAAATCAAGTTTTATTATTAAATAACAAAATAATAAAATATCTGATTAAAGTTAATCGTTAAATTTTATGTTTAAATTTTCATATCCTAGAGATATGCCGTATTTGTATTTTATATTATTAATCACTCATTAATAAATTGTATAATTTAAGATAATATATTATATTCAAAGTTGTTACTAATTTGATAATTGCTTCATCAATTAAAGTTATTAAATTAATTTTTTATTACTTAATTATTATATGTTATGACTAATTCCTAACCTAATACTCATATTGTATAAAGTAATGAATAAATTAGAAATATTAGTAAAACAATATAATTATTATCTAATATTGGAATATATATAATGAAAATTTCAATTGACTTACTTTGATAGGGTTGTAATACAATGATTTGTCTGTCCTGTTTGATTTTTCGGGCCAATATTCCGGTCAAATAAAAACTATTGCACGACAGCGACAATGTGACTGTCCTAACACTGCCCACTCTGTTAGTCATTTCCACCTGAATGTAGAATGGATTTCCAATAATCACTTTCTCGATGTCCAACAAATCAAATTCAATGTCTTCTTTTCCGGGCTGAGGTAACTCAAATAGAAACGATAATCCGGCACCTGTACCACATTGGTTGCAAAATAATTGATTTTTTAAAAAGTTTTTTCACTCAAATATATAAATATATATATTTATATATATACAATGTATATACTCAAATAGTATTTATGTCTATAACTAAAATATAAAAACTATAATTATATTCTGTTAATTGCTAAAATTTTTTAATTGTTAAATAATTATTAAATAATTCAATATTCAGAATATTATTTGCTTATTAAAATGCTATATTTTGTGCCTATATTTATACATATATACAAATTTTATTGTATTTGAAAAAATGTCAAAATATCAGACCTCTGGCAGCATTGAGGACAGCCATACGTTCTTCTTCTGTTCCCTCTTTGAACTTATATAAGGCAGTGATATCTTCGGCGTCAGAAATGCCGCCGTAATCACTATCGACTCCAACTCTTTTAGTAAACAATTTTCGACCGACACTATTGATCAAAATGTTTAATTAATTAATTTACACCTTTGGWTGCATATATTTATATTAAAAAGTAATGTTTTGTATATATATATATATATGTAAAAATTGAAAGTATCAATTAAAAATTGGATAACCTTGGTCAATCGTGATTTTGATTTTTAAATAAAACTGATGATAAATATAAATTATGTATAAATTTGTGAAATGTTTGTATACAAAGTTGAATATATGACCTGTTTTGAATTGACCTTCATCATTAATGTTTAACATTATTAACTTAATGCACGATTACACTGATATTGCATTTGGGCTATTATATGATCAAATAAATTACTCGTCTAACTATTACTTAAATTAAGTGCTTTACTATATTTGTTTCTAAATATAAATAAATTTATGTTAAAGAGGGGGCTATTAGAGGTGCAATTGAGTTCAATCTCCTAGGTTAAATTGTAATATGAGCCTGCACCTACAATATAGCAATATTTCAACAAGGTCATTATAAATGTTATTGTTATATTAAATGCATAAATAATAGTCTACAAGTTTTTGTTTTTATCTAATTTCAAATATAATTATTGATGTTTCAATTGAATGAATGATCAAAATATTGACTTTTGACTGTTGTGTGTTTATATGTAATTTTATAAGCGATTAATGGTTTGAAACATCAAATTAAATAGTTGTCTGTTTAGTTATGTTAGGAGTTCAAGGAAAGTGAGCCTAAAAATCAAAAGTGAAAGTGAGGGTTTCAGAGAGAGAGAGAGAGAGAGAGAGAGAGAGAGAGAGAGAGAGAGAGAGAGAGAGAGAGAGAGAGAGAGAGAGAGAGAGAGAGAGAGAGAGAGAGAGAGAGAGAGAGAGAGAGAGAGAGAGAGAGTTGTGTTTGGATGAAAAAACTTATTAGCATTAAGTCATTAGCTCCGGGATACCCAATACAAAGGGACACGACTGAGGGTAATGTATGGCAAAACAACAGTAATTGATTGTATGAAAACATAAAAGGAGAGGCAATTGAAAGGAATTTGTCTTTAAAATAATGGTTTAAAGTATTAAAAGGTTGGTTGAGGTGTGTGTTTGAGACATTGAACTGGTAATAACTAACTGGTATTTATTGGTCTTGATTTTTCTCCATCCGAGTTCACTGGTTTCGTCCAACTGCCAGTGCACGACATCCGAGTTCACTTCAGCGAACACAAACGGCACGTCATATGCCATACCGACCTCCCCCTTACGTATGGCCTCTAGCGATGCCGGGCCTGTTTGATAGAGACCACTGACATCACTTGACTCTTGTGGTGTGGCGTCAATCACCTGCCAGCCCCCATAACCCGGTGGTAAATCGGGTCTATAATAGTATAAAACAATGTACTTATGTTAATATACTATATATAAAAATAAATAAATGATTATAAATAAACAAATGAATAACTAATTAATTGAAGTACAATACAGTATAAGTCTAAATACTTTATAAAAAAAACTATTAAATATATTATATTGAAATACCTTGACATCCAAACATCAGTCCAAACGTGGAAATTCCAGATGGAGTCTGAATTGACATCAGAAATAGGTTCTCCATCTTTGGTAAAAAACTTATCGACTGTAAGACTGTCATCCGTGTCATGAGCTGATACAAAGTTTGTTATGGTTCGGGCGGGTATTCCCAATGCTCTACTCATTGTTGTAGTAGAGCCGGCAAATACCCAGCACTGACCAAATTTGATTGGCTCGCCATTAGATCTCAAATATTGTTCAAAAATAGGTGCACTACCCGTCCATTGCCACGGAGCGTTACCATCATTATAATTACCCGACCAATTACCCACTAATAATCCATTATCATCGTGACTATTGACCATTGCGGCTACCGATCTGACCACTTTGACTGGATTAGCCCGAGCAGAGTAGTCGAGACGAGTCTTTTCCATCATAAACATTACCGCCGGAAGTACTGAATCGGCAAACTATTTATAGATATTATGCAATAAAAAATGTTTTTGTAATTTAATGTATTTTCGCCACTAATAATTGATTTATAATTTATATATAATTATAATTAAAAAAAATAAAATCATTTCAATTGTCATATGATTTTTGTTTTTAAAATCAGTGCATAAAATATTATTTATTGTTTTTGAATGAGTTTTTTAAACTTAATTAAAAAAGTTTTCCAATCAAACAATAAAATTATATTAGTTATAATTTAAATTTAAAAAATAATTATTTTTGAATTTAAACAAAACAAATCCAAACTCAATATCACTTTCAAGTTCATAGCATTTATAATAATATAAACATGTTTTTCTAAGAAAGATAACCCATTAATTAAAAATGACATTGTTTTATAAGATAATATATTATTTAAATTAAATTAAAAAATTAAATGATATTATTTATATAATGCAATTAAAATACTTTGCCCACCAAAACAAATAATTATTAATAATTTTCAATAATTTATCTAATTTGAGTTAAATTATATAGTGTAAATTTGTTAAGCAATTAATTTTAAATGTATGTTATAATAAATAAAAACATTTAAAAGCTTAAATTACTAATAAAGAAAACAACAATAATAAAATAATTACATACCTGTCCATAAATCCATTGTCTTCCCTTAGGTTTAGAGTGCGATCCAATATAAATTTTGCCGACATCGTTGAGGACATACTCCCGACGCTTGGTATCATCGGGTAGAAACACACCGTCATCTTAAACATATAAATAGTTTATATTATTTATTTTAAAAAATAAACTAAAATATTTAGTATATAATTTACAATATTTAATAATATTATTGTAAATTAATACATTAAATTAATATTTTTTGTGTCGTTCATTAATTTATTAAATATGAAGTATATTAATGTAAATAACTAAATGTTTATTATTTATTTATATTATTATAATAAAATAATTTTTTAATCAAATTAAAAATTTAGCACATATATACTATATGTAAATATAAATAACTTTGTATTATTAATAGATATTTTAAAATTCATAATAATTATTATCATATGAATATATTAACTTAATATAAGTTATAAATTATTTGTAAAATGCTAACAAAATAATCTAAAATAATTTATGTGCGATTAATTTAAAGTGTAGTGTAATTTTTTAATTTTACTTTAATTAAAATTACCAAGTTAGCATTAAAGTAATATTTTATTTAAATAATATTATCAATTATTTTATATTTTGAACTAATTAACAAAATGACAAAATAAATAACTAATAAATATATTTATATCAAAATACCTTTATTCCAGGCATTGAACAGAACATAAATATTTTCTTTGACATCAAACGATCTGATATTTCTGGATCCCTGTTGTTTAGTACTGACCCTTAGCTTCCATATCCCGACGGCCACATTGGCCGGAAGGTGCACATGAATTGTCAATTGATTGCCATCGATGTGATGACTTCGGGCGTCCCATTTGCTCGAGTCTTTGGTAAAGTCTTTGTTGTTAGAAATGGGTAAATATATTAGAGTTCCCTTTCCTATCTGTGGACGAGGACCTAGAAATTGATTTAATTTTAATTTATTGATTGTCGATAAATATAGATTTATGATTATTGTATACTATACTTAAAACATATTTTCTAATTTATATTATTTATGTTTTATATATTATATTTAGTACAGTATAATTTATAATACTATAAAGAAATTTAGATTAAAAAAATAATTATATTAAAATACATTTTTAAATTAATTTTTAAAAATTTATATATTATTTTATAAGTGTATTCAAAATTTAGTTTTTATCATTGAACAATGATATTAATCATAAAATAATTAAATTGTTAATAATTTATTACTATTTTTAGTAACTTGGTTATCTCAAGACTAATGAAAAACTATAGTAAATAAACTTTTTATTTTAAAAAATAAATATTAATTAACTGTTATTTTCATGTAATAATTGTATTTGTTTTAGTGATCTTAAAACATACCAAACATAAATTCAAGTCTAATTTTGTCACGACTTTGATCATACGGTCCGTTAAGTCGAAGCGCCAAATAAAAAGGATCTCCTCTTCGGATGACAAGCGATGGGTTGATATTATTGACAATTTCGTATTGAGACGTGTGGTGTGTCTTTGCATTATCTCTAGGAAACAGCTCAACACTGACCACCTCATTGGGTGCCGGACCGGCTGGTCATTCAAATTATAATCAAATTTATTAATATATACTTATTTATCTTATATATATATATATATATATATATATATATATATATCTAATTATAAGCAGATCAATATAATTGTTTCAAAATAAATTAGTCTAAAAAATGTGTTTTAAAGTCAATATCAAGTTCTGTTATATTGTTTTATTTGATGGGAAAAGTTCAAAATTTATTGAAATTAATACAATATACTGTATTTTATAAATAAAGTAATGATATCGTGAAATATATTTTTTTTATTAATAATTCAAATGTCAATCATTTATTTATGTGATTTTGTTGAATGAAAAATATTGTGTGTTTTATAATAGAGCTCTGGTTTTACAAGCATTTCATACAATTTATTAATGTTTTTCGTGATTGTAATTATGATTTAAATAAAAAAAAATAAATATTATTATTATTAAAAGTAATACAAAATTCCAGTCAAACGACTTTCACTTCACGTCAAATGCCAATACATTTAAGAAAGAAAAAATAGAGAAAAGAGAGAGAGAGAGAGAGAGAGAGAGAGAGAGAGAGAGAGAGAGAAAGTATCGCAAAAACAACAAAAGAGATTGTTGTCAGCACTTGTTGTTGTTGTATAATATTAGTCAGCACTGGTATTAGTGACTTTTAAGCTGTTTATTATGTTTTTCAAATCCTTTTTAGTTTATTTACTGCTAATACTAATGTCATTACTATGAGTAGGAGCTTTGAAAAACAGAATTATTTTTGTTGTTTTTTTTTGATTATATTTTTACCACAAAAATTGTCATTGTTTTTATGATATTTTCATATGTTTCATGATATTATTTTCTTTTAATAATATATACATATTTTTTAAAATAATAATACATTAGTTAAGCATAAAAGTTAGAAAAATAAGGGAGTCGTCGAACTCATACCAACCCCTTAAGCTCTATATCAGTGATCATAACAACTGTCCATAAAAAATCTCATACATATATTGTAGATATAAAGTATATGGAATATGTACAGTATATACAGTATATTTATTTGAGTCCTTTTACTTTTTAATTCACAGAAAAGACTATAAAAATATTTTTAATTTTAAAATACATATTTTGAAAGACAACTGAAAGCTTAGTCTCATTAAAATTCTATTTTTCATTGAATTTTAAACAAAAATTATTTTGTTTTAAAAGTGATTTTAATACATTATTTTCATTACTCTCTCTCTCTCTCTCTCTCTCTCTCTCTCTCTCTCTCTCTCTCTCTCTCCTTAAAAGACACCTTCAGGAAGAAAAGTGTCGATAAAATCAAAAGCAAAACATTTTTATTACACCAATGAGTGTATTACTATTTGTTTGAAAGAGTTGTTGAAAATGTAAGTAAAAAAGTTATTAAACCTGGAATTCAATAAAAATAACTACATTTGAAATAAATACTATATTTTTCGTTTTAAATGTAAATATAGTACTGTATTTTCTTTATTAATACATTAGTGTATTTTTGTATTGAAAACAACTTTATTTGTTTGTTAAAACACTTTTATAACGGGATAACTATTTATAAAAAAGCTTTTTTTAAAATATATATAAGATTTCTAGTTCATAGTGTATGTGTTAACAGTATTTGTTTGTAATATTTTTTGTCTCAAAAATACTTATCAACAAATCAAAGACGAAATATATTTTGTATATTTAAGAGAAAGATTTGTAAAAACCAGAAATGAGAACAATTGAGACAACAATATTAAACAAAAGTAAAACAATGGATATAATACAATACATTGAAGTTGTAATAAACATATTAGTGGTAAAAACAGTTATAATATACAATAAAATGATTATATATGTGTGTGTCATATGTCTTACCGATGGGTGAATTATTGATGAGCTCTTTATGAAAGAGAGGATAATGTGGGTAACGATATGGCACTCGGAAGGCATGACTCGTAATTGGTATAAGAAATAAATTAATAAATAGCAATGATTTGATTATCAGTGTTAATAACACAGAGTTTTGTGGCAATCGATGCGCTGATTGTTTGCATTTTGTTACTAAACAAGACTTTGATTGACAGTTAGATCTTTGCAGTGATGATCTAAAGACTAGTTTTGGCCAATAATTGCATTCAAACATACGGCTCGCGTTGGATGATAACCAACTGATCCATTCACAGTCACCGCTCATATCTGGGGACTGACTACCAAATGGTTTAGTTTTACTTTTATTAAAGTTTTATCAATTATCACAAAATTATTTAAATTATAATTTTTAATCAATAGTTTCGTTTAAATTCAGTTATAATATAAGATAACTTATTTAAATACTTAAAACAATATTTTTAAAGAAAAAGTTATATTATATTAAATCACTGTCTGTTTTATCGAAAAGTGAAAGCATTTAAACACAGATTTATATTTTATGTGATGTACGGACACAACAGCCAGCACTGGGAGACTGATAGTGAAGCGCAACACAACAACTGGTTGATTGCTCAACAAGTTTGTTGGTGTTGTTGTGCCAATAGTGGAGGCACAGGTAGCACAAGCACTGGTGCTTCTTAGTCAAGGGCGAGAAAGTAAATGGCGATGCGATTGAAGATTAATTGGGATGAATGGGAAGGACTAGTCATTTGAAAGTAGGAGTTTTGAGAGAGAGAGAGAGAGAGAGAGAGAGAGAGAGAGAGAGAGAGAGAGAGAGAGAGTGAGAGAGAGAGAGAGTGAGAGAGAGAGTGAGAGAGAGAGAGAGAGAGWGAGAGAGAGAGAGAGAGAGAAAGTCTGACAAATATCAGTTGTCGTCATAATAGTAATGAAGTGATCCGTTTGTGTTAAGAATCCTTGGTTTTGGGATTAGCTTACGGTACATATAAAGCATATAATATTTATTTTAAACATATTATTATTATTACTATTAGAGAAAATTACGTGTAAAATAATTTGATGGCAATTAAAATACACTTCAATCTGATTGTCTTCATATGGCAATCATTGACATTGAATTTTGCTTAAAATAAGTGCTCTTTTTGTGTGTTCACACAAATATACATTTCATTTTATTTTATGTGAAGATATTTCCATTAAACAAAACTTATTTGACATAACTTTCAATACTTATATTATTTTTTCATAAATATTTAGTTAGTATTGACAGTATTTGTTTTGTTTTGTTAAAATTTCCAATCTCAAATAAATCTATAATTTATATATATATATATACTGTATATATTATGGTATTAAGTAATGTCTTAATTTTAAAATAATATAGAAAATATATAGATTTTAAAAAATAAATTAAAAAAAAAATTATTATTCTGTTATAATATTTTAAGTAATACTACAGTGATTTTTGTATAACATAGAGTGCACTTAATAATTATTGATAAAAATTTTATACTTGAAATAAATATAATTTTATGAACAGTCGTTATTAAAAAAATATTTTCAAATAAATGATCACAAATTTACTTTTGTCTCATCAACTGAAAACTAATTAGTATCATAAAAATAAACACCACCCTAAACTTTAAAGAAATTTATTTTTCAATGTTACATATTTTTATTATATATATATATATATTATAAAATTATAAGTATACTGTCGTAATATAAAATAAGTATTGATATAAAGACTAAAAAAGTACATTTTTTATAACACTTTAAGCACTAATTAATTATTGTATAGTAGTTACTATTCACTACTTATAAAACTATAATCTCTTTTTTATTTTAAATTTTGGGATTTTCCATATTTATGATTCATTATATATATACTCATAAATAGAAATACTATAATATTTTTAGTTTTTTCACTGTATATTCAATAAAATACTATATTATATTGTAAATGATATGTTTCTGATTATTATTGTTTAAAATATTTTTAAGCATAATTTTTAATGTTCAAGCAAAAATTATGTATTTTATTATATAGTATTATGAAAATACATTATATCGTATAAATAATAAGTTAAAATATGTAATTTATTTTTACATATAAATTAATAATAAACTTACAACATAATGAAATAATAACTATTATACACTATATTAAGGTAATATTACCTAAAAAATCCCATTATTATTTTATAAGATTTATAATATGGTATAACACTTACAAAAATGATAATAGTTATTTTTTTATTGATAGCTTAATTTAAGATAATAAATCAATAAATCACTAAAATATTTAATAAACTAAAGTCAATCATCAAACTAAGAATTATTATTGTCACAAATTTAATATTTTATTTATATTATTATGTAAATATTATAATAAAAATTAAAACTTTTAAAATAAATGCCAATGAAATAAAAATATTGTATTTGTTTTTTATTATTATTAATTACAAATGAATGAAAAAATATTTATATTAAGAACATTATGTGTAATGATTTGAGGGAAAAATATTTATGAATTTCCCACTTAATAGAAACAATAGTCTCAACTGAACACTGAATAAAAACAGTGGGAGATTGGGTACTATAGCTTCATGTACTCAATTCATTACTATTAATAAATTACTTTTATATTTTAACAAAACATTAAAAAATAATTTTATAAAGTTAACGTTTAAAATTTATAAAGATGATAATTATAAAAAACAATTTAATAATAATATAATATTTAATAATAATTAATTTTTATATTTATAATAACTAATTTCTAATATTAGATTGTATATTTTTAGCAAATAAATTTTTAAAAATTAAAAATTATTAGTATATTAGAGTTTTCATGTTCGTGTAGTTTTATATAAATTATATATTGTACAGTTTTTATCTAGGTAAAACTACTAATAAATAATTTTAAAAATCAACAATTAATGAATTGACACAATAAATATAAAAAAAATATATAAATATTTCAAATGCTATACAAATAATTATTAAAAAATTTTTATTATAGATTATTTTGGTTTTTAGGTTACAATTACTAAGTTTTTACATAAAAATTAAATTTCATTTCAATTTTAAACAAATTAAATCTATTATATGAATAAAATATTTAAAAATATTTTTTTTGCGATATATATATATATATATATAAACTAAATTTAAATAAATAAATATATTGAAAACTTTTACTTTAGCATTAAATTAAATATAAATTTTAATAAAAATAAATTAGTTAAAAAAATAGTGTATATCAACTTAAAATGAAAAATAATCAAATGTATAGTATAAGTGTAAAACTTGTAATTTAATGAATAATTAAAGAAAACTAATTTCATATTGTTATATAAATATACAGTATTTGTAAACAATAAACGTATATAAGTTGTAAATTGTATAAATTATAAGATTTATAATTTTCGTTTATTATTTCATAAAAAAGAGGAAAATATGTTAGATATATAAGTATTCAACTAAATTACAAAATTGTATTAATAATAACAATACCGGTAAATGCTGTTGTCTTAACAGTTTATACACATTGTTATAGTATTTATGAATAATTATAGTTAGGAAACAATAAAATAAAGATTTCATTTAAAATAATTGTATAATTGAGAGCTTAATAATACTTATTATATTGCAAATGTGTAAATATATTGTATATTAGTTAATAAAAGATTTTTTCTATTTTCTATCATTTTATTTGTTATATTAAAACAAAAATAAATAAAAACAAATTTGCATTTATATATAAAAATTTTATATAATTAAACTGTATTATATTATAAATTATATTTTTATAGTATACTATTAATTATAACAATTCAGTTAATTCGTAAACAATTAGATATTTTTTTAATAAAAATAATTTGATGGAAAGTCATAAAACTTAATGACTTAATTGTCTTTAATTTTAATGAAATAAAATAAAAAACTTGGATAACATTTGATTCATTTAAATACTGTATAAATTATATAATTACCGTAAATATAAAATAATTTGTGTTCAAATATTTTCTATATATAAATATAAACTAAATGTCAAGTGTTTTGAGACATTAAATCAAGTATTGTTTTGATTTATATTAATATAATTAACTAAATATCTGAAACTTTGATCCATTTGTCGATCATATCATTGATGTGTTTGTTATTCCAATCCAAACGGATGTCATCCAAATGGTTATCAAAGTCAATGAGATTTAAGTGCTTTTGATCCTTAAATATGAACTCTTGGACGGCGTCAAAGGCTTGCTTCGGGTTATCAAAATGATATCCACCCGATCGGGACTTCCATTTCTGGTCATTGAAATGGTAGACCGTTAGGGCCGACTCGATCTCATTGTGATCGTCCAATGCTTGAGCTAACCCTAGATTATTGACCATCACTACCATCGCTTCCGAGTTATTTTCGAGTAACTTCTCACCAATTCGTTGGGCAAATACAGTGGGCGTCGAGTCGAAGAAGTATTTGTTTGCCTGATATAGACCGCCGATTTGGACATCACTTGATTTATAGTAATTGGATATCTGTGTGAAGACACCAAAACAGTGAGAATCGGTACTCGAGATATAATAAATATATATATATATATATACCAGACCTGAATGAGTGCCGTTTCCAAGACATGTGTCAATCCATGTCCCGAATGAATCAGAGGAATGCAGTCCAAGATCTCCATCACTGTTTGGTTCGACGACTTCTTTGACTTTTGACAAACAAGAAGACCACAGACTGTTGAATGCGGATATTTGAGTGAATGCATACACATCTTAACGTAACAACGGGTCCATACAATCACATCCATGTCTTCAAATGACACAACAATTGGCAGATAATCGACACTTGAGTTATACAACCATTTAATACAACCATTCAATAGAGTCATTCAATTCAATGCTTTCATTCAACTCATTAGTCATTGCTTTACGGCTTAAATGTCTATATATTTGTCACTTATTTTGTATAACAAGTCATACATTATTAACGTCTATAACAACCAAATGAAATGTACGTTATATATGAACTAAACTTAAACATTAAAATATTATATAATATTAATAATAAATAAAATTAAATATTATATTAAATAATGAAAAGTAAATTACAAAATAAATATTATTTTTGTTTTTACAGAATTAACAAATAAAATATAATATTAATGGAAATATTTGTATTAATACAATACAATAGTTTAAATATATTTAATTGAGTGTAATATAATATGAAATATCATTGAGATATTGATTATTATAACATTAAATTGTGTTATACTGTCTAATCAATCATTATTAAAGTTATAGCAAGTTTCCGAGGTTCCCTATGGGAAGTTCCCTATTAAAAATCCCTTCAATTTTTTCGGAAAATATGAAAAATATTTTATTTCCCTCCCTTTCATCGTTAGAAAAGATAAATATATTTTATATTATTGCAAGAAATAATACAAAAACATAAATATTTTGCAAAAAATATATTGAAAAATTAATTTAAAATTAATAAACTTAGTTATAGTTTTTATCAATATTACTCAAAATACAGTTTAAAATAATATTAGACTAAATATAAATAAATAGAAGAATAAAAAATAGTATTAATAGATGTTTATTGAAATAACAGTTTGTCGTACAGATATTATTCAATTTATGTTAATTTTATGTTCAAAAATGCATTTATTTGATTAATATTTAACCAATTGTTACCTTTTCTGGTCGTACCTAATGATGAGTTTTACTGAATTAAAATAAAGAGTGGAAATTGTGATATCAGAGTATTAAAAATCTAAATTTTTATAAAATTTTAAAAATTAATAAAATTCAATTACATTTTAAAAAATAATTTACAATAATAATATTTTATTTAATCATAAATTTAATTATACAATACTATAAAACTAAGTAAGTATTTTAATAATATAGTATTAAAAATTATGAATTTATTTAATTAATATTTATTACATTTGATGCATAGATTTAAGTGAATTTTCAATATTCATTAAATTTAATACATTTTGTTATCGCATTTCATCACAAATAGCTATACAATGTATACAATATACGGTATACTTTTATGTGTCATTTATTTATTTCAAAATATTAATACAAAATCAAAAATTATTTTAAACTTTAATCAATCAAACAAATTATATATCAATAAATCCAATGAGTGTTGTATTTGGGATATGATTTGTATATATTTTGTTTATATTATAACTTTACATATTATACAATATAAGATGTTTTTTGGCATTTTATGACTTTCAACTGATTTACTAAAAAACAAAGAATTTATCACAAAAATGATTGACAAATAGATAATAAAAATAATTTTCAGTCATTGTATAGTTATTTTTAATGAAATATGATTAGCAAAAATAACAATAATATCTAAAAAAGATTCTAAAAATATAAATTACTACAAATTTTATATTATATTTTTAATTATTTTTTCTATTCATGTAATAATTATGTATTGGAATAAAGTATGAGTTATGAGGTAGACGTACAACAAAATATTACTAATAATAATAATGGCTACTTAAATAGTAGTAAATTAATTTATGATATTTATAAATATTATGATAATTTAAATATAAGTGGCTTAAAAATTATTCATATTAATGTGCGAAGCCTAATAAATAAATTAAATCAAATTAAGATATTTTGTGGTATAGTTAAACCCGATGTGCTGTGTATTAGTGAATCATGGCTTACACATGATATCTATGATATTGAAATTGAAATACAAAATTACAAACACTATAGATGTGACCGATCGGGACAATCACGCGGTGGCGGCATTATTGTCTATGTGGCCAACAATGTCACCGCAAATATCACCGAAGTTGAAAACAAATTAATATGTGAATCATTATTATTAAAATTTCAATACAAAAGTGCAAAACATTTCTATTTGTTGACTATTTATAATCCGCCAAACAATACAAATTTTAAATCAAATTTTTTAGATTCAATTGAACACCTATTAAATGATGAATTAATAATTATTGGAGATCTAAATATAGACATTCAAAACAACGAAAATAAAAAATGGATAAAACATATCACTAATTATGGTTTATTACAACTCATTAAAGATAATACAAGAGTTACTGAAACAAGTGCCACATTAATAGATCATATATATGTAAATCATGTCTCAAATATATCTAAATATGGTGTCATTGATATACCAATCGCTGACCACTTCATCACATTTGTGGTAAGAAAACTAAATTATCATCAAAAATATGTTAAAACTCATCAAAAAATAAATTATAAAAACTGGAAAAATGCTAATATCGAAGAAATAAGTAATCAAATATCAAATATAAATTGTTATAACACAACAAATGTAAATAAAATAACTCTTGATTTTCACATAAAACTAAATAATATTATTGATAACAATATTCCCATTAAAAAATGTTGTGTAAGAAAACAAAAGTTAGAGAAATGGATAGACAATGAAGTTTTACAGTGTATTAGAGATTATAATAAAATTAACAAACAATATATTTATGAACTAAAATCAAATACACTATCAGAAGAAATTGCAAGAAGTTATAGACATATAAGAAATAAAAGAAATAATTTAATTAAATACAAGAAAAAAATATTTTATGAAAACGAAATTCAAAAATGTCATAACAATAGTAAAAATTTATGGAAAGTTATCAAAGATGTTGTGCCAACTAAGTCAAACAAAATTAAAAATATCATTAATATCGATGAAAACACATTAATAAATCATTTTAATAATACACCAAAAAATTTGTTTTCAAATATTCAATATAATAATACTAATACTAATGATATCACATATGTTGAACACAATGCAAATATAAAGTTTAAAATTCCGTACGCTTCAGACGATACTTTAAATAAAATAATAAATAATATGAAAAATACAAAAAGTAAAGATTGTTATGGATTTTCAACAAATATTTTAAAATTATTTAGATGTTGTTTTATTTTCCATTTAATTAATATATTCAACAACTCTATTAAATCATGTATTTATCCTAATAATTGGAAAATAGGTAAAATTATTCCCATATATAAAAAAGGACTAAAAAGTGAACCTGGTAACTATAGACCAATCACATTATTATCAATTTTTGGCAAAATATTTGAAAAGTTTGTTGAAATAAATTTTCGTAATTTTTTAAATGAAAACAATTTATTATCCAATTATCAGTTTGGTTTTAAAGCTAAACATTCAACAAATGATGCATTAATATCTATTTTAAATGATATAACTAATGGACTAAATAATAATGAAAAAACTATATTAATAACATTTGATCTAAAATCTGCTTTTGATGTTATAAATCATAAAATTTTAATTGAAAAACTAAAAAACTATTGTGATATCAATACAATTAAATGGTTTGAATCATATCTTAAAAACCGATATACATTTGTAACTATAAATAATAAATTATCAAAACCATTGGTTTCAGATATAGGTGTTCCCCAGGGCTCATGTATAGCGCCGTTACTTTTCAACATATTTATGAATGACATAACAAATCTACAGCTAAATGGAAAGTTATATCTATTTGCCGATGATATGACTCTTATAATTAAAGCAAAAAACAATTTGAAACTTCAAACTAAAGTAAACAGTGATTTATCAAAAATTAATAATTGGTTAAAAAGTAATTATCTTATATTAAATCATAAAAAATGCAATTTTATTGTTATGGGAAAAACATGTAATCACAACATTAATGTAAAAATTGACGAAAAATTTATTATTGAAGTAAAATCAACAAAAATTTTAGGACTAACTATTGATCACTCGCTTAACTTTAATGATCACATAAATGATTTATGTAAATGTTTAAACACTAGACTAAAATTATTGTCACGATTAGCGCATATTTTACCTGAAAAAACATTAAATTTTATCTACAAATCTATTGTTAAACCAAAACTAGAATACGGATGTATATTATTTGGATATACATATAACACACATTTAGATCCGTTAATAAAACTACAAAAACGATTTGCAAGAGTAATAACTAAATCAAGTTTTACGGATAATTCTCAACCTTTGTTTCAAAAGTTAAATTGGATTTCTTTTACAAATTCTGTTAAATATAATTCACTAATTTATATATATAAAGCTATTAATGGATTAGTGTGTAATCTCTCAACAATTTTGTTTAAATACAACACACACCGTACTAGTTCACGAGCGGGACGTGATTCACATTATATTAATTTACCGAAAATTAATAAAAATTATATTCAAAACAGCATTTTTGTAAAAGGAGTTAAACATTGGAATAATTTACCGCTTTATATGAGAGAATCACAAACTCTTAAAGATTTTAAAAATTATTTAAAAAATTTTAATTTTGATAATATCTAATTTTTCTTAATTATTTTATAATTTTAATTTTAATTTTCATATTTATTGTTATTTCATTGTTGTAATTATTAAAGTCTATTATGGCTTACTATGTATACCAGTTTTATAACTGAAAGTGATGCCAATAAAGTCTTATTATTATTATTATTATTAATTATATCATATTAACATGTTATATATTTTAGGAATTCTATATAGATAAATTATTGATAATAATAATATTTTATTTTAATTCTAATTAGAATTAAACCTATATAATATAAAAATTGACTACACTATATAATATATAGTATATATTTTCTATTTAAAACTATTTATAATTAAGATCTTTTAAAAATTAACACATAATACGAGTTTTAATAAATTAATAATTTTAAAATTAACTTTATATTTATGTGTTTTTGGATTTCAAATTAAAACTAAATTAGTATAGGTTTTTATGAAACATAAATCTGAAGTATTAAAAGTATTGATATACTGTATGTATAGAGTAGTATACTGTATCTGATGTAAGTATTGTATGTGTGTTGTGTTGACTCAAAGTCAGATAAAGATAAATGTGCTGAACATAGATATTGTCTAAATGTAAAAAAATGTTTCAATTCTGTATAGCTATTATGAAAGACTAAAACATAACGATTAGGTCTTAAAAACTAGAATATACTGTATATACAGATATAAGTAATTTAATGATATATTAGTTACCATCACTAATGCATCCATTTTGACTGTCTGACTGTCTGTTTCATGTGATCAGCGTTTTACTCGTATTAATGTTTTTAACAACTAATATATAGATTTTATAAATCTACAAATGTATAACATTAATAACATTACTATTTGAAATAAATCATTTAATTTATATCTATTAGATTGTACCCACTAGTATTACTAATCAATACATTGATATATACAAAAATAATTATATATATATATAAAATATCTATAATCTCAAAAACACAACCATTTATTGCATTTTAATTATTAGTAAAATTGTTAATTTAGTAATAAATCTATTAAAATGCACTAAATTATTTTTATATTTTGTTTCGTTAAAAAATAAAACAATACTAAAATATTATTAAAGAGCTCTAAAATTATTATAGATTATTATATCTAAGTGTAAAATACTATTTTAAATAATTAAAGGCACAAATTGCACCCAATTTCTATACCTATTTTGATTTGATTACTAGAAAAGACATGATAAACTGTTTATCAAATATAAATCTGATTTATCTTTATAGTGATTTTAAAGTAATCATTTCAAATTGATATTAGTATACATTTTTAAAAAGAATTCCTAATATAAATACTATAATAATTATGCATATTTAGTCATATCATCTGCTGTTATATTAATATTAAAGATACTTTATGTTTGAAAAATAGGAGAAACTAATTTAGTATAAATTAGATTTAATTAACACAAAATGTGTTATATTTTTAATATAATTTAAATCATTTTGCAGTCAAAGTGTTTTGTTATCCTTAAACAAACGTATATTAAGTTTTCTGTTAACATGTGGTGATCGCCTATAACTTGTGCCCAATTGAGGACTTGTGAGTTGTGATGATTGAGAGGTTCCCATCGGTGATGACGATTCACTTCTGGGATTTGATACAGGGATTGATGTAGACTTATGTGATCCTTCTGGTGAATGTATTATACTGTGATAATTACCAATTAGTTTGCGTACCTGTAGTTTAAAATTTACATTATTTTATATAATATTTATATATTTAAAATAATACTTTATATTTCATAAATAAATAACATTTGTTGAAGTTTTATTGCTAAAACTTAATATAATAAACTAAAATATTTATAAAACCTCTGAGTTTACACTAAACATTAGTCGACTAAATATAAATGTTTGGTTCGTGTTTTTGTTTAGTTATTGTATTTTTATTAAACAAAATCATCAATAATATACTATAAGTTTACAAAATAGTACTATAGTTCTGTATTTTTCATGTTTTAATATATATTTAACTCAATTTTGGGAAAATATTTGTAATATTAAAAATTAATGCTAAAGTGTTACCTAAATTTATATGCCATATAAATACTACATGTCTATTATAAATATATATATAATTTAATATAAATTTATATTGAATGACACAAATAATTAAAAATTTTGTAGAAAAGAAAACATATCATCACTTACTTCTTCTTCATCTTGAATCTGAAATAACTTTTGTGAAAATTTAGTATTCAATCGTTTTCTTTCCTAAAATAATTAAATTATATAAAAATTCTGTTAAATAATACAATAATTTACAATATAATATCAGTAAAATAATAAAAACTTTCAAAGATTATAAAATTAGATTTGTTGTTAAGTTTATTTTGAAAATATAACTGATTAAAAATACTAAATAGAAATTTTACATATTTTCTAAATTTCTATTATATTTTATTAAATTTTTAGTAATAATTCTACAGTTTTAATATTATAATTTATATTTAGATCCAATATTTAGTTTAATACTATGAATCAATACTGAAGTGTCTATAATGTGTTGTAAGTAAAGTATCATAATTAGTGTTGGCAAAAAAACTTATAAAATAATAGAGAAATTTCTAGAATGTTTCTAAAAGAAATTTCTATCTAAGGGATCCCCATGTTAATTTTGTTTTTCTCGATATATGTTATCATGTAACAATACATTGTTTTTACAAGTAATAATTAAATATTAGTATTATTATTTTAATTATTAATTAAAGTAAAAATTTATTTATTTAATTATCTTAAATTCTTATATATATATATAATAAAATGATTATTAAAATTTTACAAAACTGATTATTATTAAATAATTATAATTATTTTATATATAGGTATCCCATTTTGTATAGTAGTGTATAGTATAATGTTATATGAATAGTAGTGTCTCATTATTAATATATTATTACAATTGCTATAGATATGGGATCTATAGATTTCTATAGAAATTTATTTATGAGAAATTTTCTAGAAACTTTCTCAGGGAAATTTATTAGAAACTTTCTAGTTGCCGATCTCTAATCATAATTGCTATACACTTTATACAGTATATGGGAATTCTGTAGAAATCTATTAATATAAGAAACTTTCTAGAAATTATCGAGTTTATGATTATATGAATATCTAATATTAAATATTCTACTAAATAATTATCTTATAATAAACCTATAATTTTATTTTAATTTGAGATTTATATTAAACTCAAACTTTACCTATATAAAAAATTAGCAATCTCTTAATTATAAAATAATACCAAATTAATTTTTATAATAGTAAATTAATTAATTACTAGGCATTAGATATGCTAATGTTATTTTAGAATATATTTAATTACAAAAACACTTAAAATTGCTTTATATTGAAAAATAAAAACCGATGATTATATCAAAAGTATGTTTATATAGTTTTTGAAAAAACCGTTTAATAAATAAAATTGTGTTTTTAATTGAATTGCATTCAAACCTATTATGACTATATCTTACAAGTGTTGAGTGACAGCTATAATCTAATAATATTCTATTGCTTTAACTATTTGTCACATTAATAGTAACACTAAATTTATTTTGCATTAAGTAATTGTTTTCATCGATTGTTTTATTAGATTTTTTTTATTAAATAGTTAGATAAATAGATAAATAGATAAATAGAAAGATTATAGCTTTAGATCAGTGTTTAAAAAGTCTTTAAGAGATGTATAAAATTGAAATTGAAATTAAAATTAAAAAATTTACGTACAATTTAATACAAACTTAAAAGCATATACTGTATTTGATAAATTATACTGAATTTTATTTAATGTATTTATAACATATATTTAAAACATGAAATTAACTTTTTATAAGTTAAGTTATTAATATCTATAATACATTTTTACAAATTTCATAAATTCATTTTTAGCTAAAGATTTTCAGAAATCATAAGTCGTTCAGTTTAAGGTGTATTTTAGGATTACTTTATTATTATTATTTATTTTTAATAGTTTTTGATGTTTTTATTGACTTTATTGAAAGATTAATGTAACTTACAAATAATTTAAAGTAAATTATAATGCTATAATGCTTATTGTTTGCTTATGCAATATATGTAAATTTATTAACTTTAAATATAAACTAATACTGTACTTTAGTAACATATTTTAAATTACACTACAATTTATAAAGTATTTTATATAAATCACAGAATCTATAAACATGTGTATAATTTATCAATAAATGTATAGATAATTTGCAAACATTTAAATAAATATTATATACTGTAGTTAAATATGACATATATTTTTAAATGTAAATATTATAATAATATAAAAGTTAAACTATATTATTGGATGATTAAAGTGGTTAAAAGTGGTTAAAAATTGTTAAAAACTAAACACTTGACACTTACAGCCTTAAGTCGTCTCAATTCAAACTCTTCTAACTGTCTTTGAAAACCATAGTTTGGCGCAGAGATACTTCTGGCGCCACGAAGTGCTTCTAACGCTTCCTTACAATTCAATGATGTGACTGACCTATCATTGTGTCAAACAATATGTATAATTAATTATTGCATTTTAAAGTCTTCACAATAATGTTTAAATAATAAATAATAAATACAAAGACTTACATTAGATAAGCAACAGCTATAGTGACACTACGGGAAACACCAGCCAGACTTTGACACAAAATAATATAATAATTAATATTTAATTTAAATTTTATTTATTAAATCTAAAATACAAATATATTGAACTTAATGTTTGTAATAAATATTTTAATACAATTTTATTTAATAATGTCGACAAAAACATATTTACTAAAAAATGCTTTTCATATACAGTATTGAAGACATGTATTGAATTCGTGTATATTAAGAATTGTTTGCGTGTTTCACAATAATAGGTGTGTCCATTAAAATACTAATACAAATTGAATTATTGAAATAAACCATTAAATATGATGATATTATTATATGATATGATATTAAGCCGTATATATACTGTACTAAAGTAATGTTATTTACTTAGTTAAGTGCTAAGTTAGCATTATTTTTTCAAAATTAGCAAAATTAATAATCAAATAATAACTTATTACAAATCCAAAATTAAAGCTATATATCGCAAAAAAACTAGCATATTATAGATTTACAGATTATATTTACCGCTAATAAAAAAAATATTTCAGCAAAATTTGTATTAGGCGTTGTTCACATATTACGTTCGCATTTGAGGGGAGGGGGGGGTTAGCCAAAGCGAACTTTTGCGAACGAGGGGGAGGGGAGGGGTAGAGACTTTAAGAACGTTCGCATTTAGATAATATCTTATTTCTTGTGGTGGGGGGGGGGGTAGCGATTAGGGATAAGCGAACGTAATTTTTTTAAATGACTACATGCGAACAATTGCGAACATACGGGAGGGAGGGGGTCTAGATTTCTTGAAAAGTGCGAACGTAATATGTTAACCACGCCTTAATAAATAAATCAAAATGGATTATAAATTATAGTATAAATAATTTGAATAAATAACTAATATAAAAATATAAATCAGATACATTATGATCATTGATCATGAATGACATTTGATCGAAATCAGTAATCATTAAAAAATAGTATCCTTCCTATTATTTTTAATATGCTAATGAATACACGGTTATAATCTCTATGGACAATATGACATAATTGCATCAAATCAGGTCTATCCCAACGGGAGTCTATTTTTATGAAAATTTAGTTAATAGATATAAAATAACATTTTAATGACAAATAATTTGCTAAAATATAACAAAAATAATTCAACTTATGATTGCTTAACATATTATTTCACCGCAAAAGTTATAAACAATTTATGAGTAAATGCGGTATTTGTTTCATAAAACAAAAGGCTTAATAAAACAAATTAGATTATAGTGTTGTGTGACTAATAATAACTCATAAATATATTATTAGCTGACTTTCAATGCTATTATATCTAACTATTGATTATAATATTATGACATTAAAGCAAATGTATTGACATAAAACTGATAGATATATGTGATTAAAGCAAAATCCATAAGTAAATTAAACTAAACTATTAATAAACATTTTTATACTCATAAGTTGTGTCATAACACTTGCAAATAAAAGTTATCTTTAAGTAATAGGACTATTAGTTTTATGAATATTTTGATTTTTGTAAATAAAGTATTAAAATACTTTGATAATAACTTTTATTATAATCTGGTAAACGTTTATTTAATACTATCTAAATATTAAAGATGCTTAATAAAATAATATTTACACTATCGTGTAATTTGAGATAATGTATATAAAACAATATATTTTTAGACAAATGCTTACGTAAACTAAATTTATTAAAAAAGATTTTTTGATTCATTCTATTAGTTTAATGTTAAAAAATAAAATTTTAAAATCACATTTGTATAATGTATAATAAACCAGTTGAGAATGCTAGAAAGCATTGCCAGAAACAAACTTTAAAAACTCATATATTAGGGTTTGCATTTTAATAAGATTTTTTAATTAAAAATAAATAACTCAATATTATATAAAATTTTTATTTTATTTTAAACATATAAATTATTAAATACAAGATTTAAATAAAATTAATTGATAAAGTAATTAAGAAATTTTTTTTTAATTATTTTTAAAGTTAATCATTAATAATAAACAAATCCAAATAGTATTAAAAATGAGAATATTGTTTTTTATATAAAATTATATAGATTAATAACAATGGATGTAATAACAATGCTTTAAATATCATTGTTAGTATTAATATTGTTTAATATATCTTCAATATCGTCATCCATTTCATCATCTGATTCATTTTCTTCTTCAAAATCCATTTCTGATGAAGTTTCGCCAGATGTTTCGTCAGAAGTTTCGTTTGATGTTTCCTCACAAGATTCAGAAGCATTAATTTCAAGAGAAACATCAATGACAAGTTGATTTAAAACATCATGAACTATTTCTTCTATACTCATAACTTGACCATAATTATTAAATTCAATATTTTGAAGGCTTTCATCAAATTCTTCGTCAAATATTTGCGCTATATCAATAACATTACCGTTATCATCAAATTCTATGTTTGCAAGAATAGCATCTAATTCATCGTCAAAATCTTGTGAATCAGACATATTTATTTATCTATTAAATAATTAAAAATAATAATTATATAAAATTAAGACGTTTTTAAATTATAATATTACTTACGACTGTTCTGTCCGATAGCTCGACTTCAAATGACTTGACTTACAATATCTTCTTTATATCACAATAAAATGTTGACGCAACAAAAAGGTAATCACATAAATAAAGAAAATAATATTTATATCAATTAGGAATAAACATAACATATTTAAATTTATAAATAATTTATAATAGTTACGACTGTTCTTTCCGATAGCTCGACTTCAAATGACTTGACTTATAATTATTACTTTATATTACAATAAACTGTTGACGTAATAATGTTGACTCAATAATAATATTGATGTTACAAAAAGGCAATCACATAAATAAAGTAATTATTTTATATTAATATTTATATTTATTATGAATAAAGATAACTAATTTAGATTTATAAATAATTTATTCTAATTACGACTGTTCTCTCCGATAGCTCGCCTTAAAATGACAGATTTTAAATGACTTGACTTACAATTACTACTTTATAACACAATAAAATGTTGACGCAACAAAAAGGTAATCACATAAATAAAGAAAATATTATTCAAATTAATTTTTTCAAAAATATTTTTATTTAATTAATTTCCTTTTAATGAAATTTATACAAATTATTTAATCAATAGTTATAATTTCATAGTCAATAATTGTAATTATTTCTTCAATAAAAATAATTTCTGAAGACACGATTTGATCATTTATCATAATATTTTGATTATCTATATTATAGTTATTGTTTACATTAATTTCAAGAATATCAAAGTAATTAGGATGTTGAAGAAGATGTGCTTTTACTCCAAAATTAAGTTCGTTTTTATTCATCCATAAATTACGACAATATGCACAGTTGAGATCTTTAAATTGATCGAATGCAGTCTTTATAAGTGACATCAAACATGAAGGACAAAAGCGGTGAATACAAGGTTTTTCCATTAGAGCAAATTGAATAAGTTCGACATTCAATTGACAAATGTTGCACATATTAATAGTAGACATTTTATTCAAATAATCATAAATGTCTTGATCTTAAATATGACTTGAATTTTAATATTCAATTAATATATAATACAATAATCTGTAATATGATTAGTTAAAAATAAATATTACGTACATAGTACGATAGTACATTCCCTTCGATGGCTCGACTTGAACTGAGACTTGAAATAATAATTTCACTTTATTTAAAATTATTAAATGTTAACGTAATATTAATGTTAACGCAATTATTAATGTTGACGCAATTATTAATGTTAACGCAATTATTAAATGTTGACGTAATATTAATGTTGACGCAATATTAATGTTAACGCAATTATTAATGTTGATTGTATGTATTGTAAGTATTGTAAGTATTGTAAGTATTGTAAGTATTGTAAGTATTGTAAGTATTGTAAGTACTGTAAGCATTGTATGTATTGTATGTATTGTATGTATTGTATGTATTGTATGTATTGTATGTATTGTATGTATTGTATGTATTGTATGTATTGTATGTATATATATTACCATTTATTACTATGTATTATAGTACTATATGTTACTATATATTACTATATATTACTATATATTACTATATATTACTATATATTACTATATATTACTATATATTACTATATATTACTATATATTACTATATATTACTATATATTACTATATATTACTATATATTACTATATATTACTATATATTACTATATATTACTATATATTACTATATATTACTATATATTACTATATATTACTATATATTACTATATATTACTATATATTACTATATATTACTATATATTACTATATATTACTATATATTACTATATATTACTATATATTACTATATATTACTATGTATTACTATATATTACTATATAAAAGTGCATTATTTTTGTTTAAATTTAAATTTGTATTCTATAGTAGTAAATAATATACTATTTTTTTAATTTAATAAATTTTGTATATTAGCAGCCATTTTTATGTATATATAAAATAAAATTTTATATAGAATCATAATATTTTTAATTTTTAAGATTATCTAAGCTTATTAAATCTGATAACATAATTTTTTGTACTTTGGCCGCCATTTTCTCTATGTTCCTGAAGAGATATCAAAATTTCAATGCTGATCTTCTATACCTTATTTTTGATGGAGAATCTAAATCTGAAATCAAAATTTTAAAATTCGCACTTTGAAAACCAACACACAGACACACACACACACACACACACACACAAACATATAGAATCCATAAAACAAACCTTTTAAAGTTTGTTTGAAAATCAGTAATATTGATTATAATATTTTAAGATGACAATTGTGTTGTAATGCATTATAATTTATTATAATATTGTTTCAATTTCTTGGCGCTTAAATAATATTTTAGTTTTTTTTTGTAATTTGCAAACTAATATAATATACAGTATTGTTTTATTTTATGCAAAATTGTACAAAATATGAATGAATAATATAACTTTATATACAAAAATGTATTATACATTATATTAGCTGTTTTGAGTATTGCGTGACAACAGACAATTAGATTGATTTGACTAAATATCCATATGTTTTATATTATAAACATATACTGTATATTGTAATTCAAGTTTAAGATTTTTAAATTTTTAATACATTTATTAAATTTTCAGATCTATATAAATTATTATATAACTTAAACAAATTATATATAATAACAATTAAAAATATTAATTAATATAATAATAAATATTAATATAGTAAAAATAATAATTTGTTGTGATTAATATTTTACATTTTTAGTATTCAAATAAAAACATTTAGTAAAAATATAAGCAATTTTCAGTAAATTGTGAAAAAACATTATATAAAAATTGACAACTTAAGTTTTTAAAATTATCATTATTATCTACTACAAGTTTATTATTATTTTGTTTATAAATAAATATAACATTAATTAATAATAGTGTATTAATTTTAATAAACTATATATTACCTAACATACATAAGTAATGTCGTTTCAAAAGTACAAAAACTAGTATTATTTTTAAACGGCAAATAGAATGACATTTATTTTAGTGTATTAAAATAACATAAAATTATCAATATTAGGTTGACTAAGTAGTTTTGGATTTTAAAAACTAAATATGTTTGAATTTTGTTTTAAGACCTTTGAATATAACTTGTATTCTAAGTAATAATTAGCACTTTTGAAAATTTTAATCAATTTTTAAAAATTTTACTATACAATAGCTTCATGATAAGCTTCATTGCAATTTTCAGCGGGCGATATCAATGATTTTATTGAATAAAAAAGTTTCATTTTCAAATATTGATCTGATATCTCGTAAACAATTGTTTATAATTTATTATTGATAAAGAAAAATAATAATTTAAAACAACATAATTAAAATTTAACTATCTATTTTTAAACTTTTAAATGAAAATAATTTTTTTCAATGCTTTGTGCCATCCAAAAATAACGTTACTTTATGTATAATAATAACGACATTACTTATGTATGTTAGGTAATATTAATAAATTAGAGTAGTGTATACTATACACCACTGGTTATCAGGATAGTGATTTCTGATTACTTTTGATTAAAATGCACTGTCGAAGCTTATGGTTTATTATAATATATTTCATCTAGCTCAAATACACTGTTACATATTAATTTTAATTAAGTGGTATATTTTATTTAATATTATATAAAAAAGGTTATTAAATTTGTGTATTATAATTTTGTTGTTTTTATCTTGGTCAGTAATTATGTTTTTAAGTAAGGGATAATTTACAAAAACTTTTAAAGTAATATAAAAATAATCAAAAAGTTTTAATTATTTACACAATTCATAATATAATATACTTAATTTGTATATAATTTCAGATTTATACGGATATTATATAAATAATATTTGTTTGGGAGTTACACTTATAGTTTGTTAATCACTGCAATGAAATGCAATATTTACAACAATGTTAATCTTATGAAAATACAGATATAGTGCAATAATTTATCTGCAATTGATGTCAACTAAAAGTTGCCTAAATTTATGTCACAAATTGTGTGAAGATTAAAATTTTAAAAAATTATAATGTGATTTATAACAACATAGACTTAAATCAATCTATAAAAAAATTATTTGAATATATTGTTGAATAATACAAACTTATAAAGTATACATCTATTTAATGTCCGGATATTATGTAAGGAATATATAGACAAAAAGCAGTTGTCTTATAATTCCTTATTTTAAACAAAAATTTAAATTTTATTATACATTTTATAAATTATGTTTGTAATTATATTTAAATTATAATAAGATTTGAATCTAAATCAGTACTTATTTGTAAAAATTGTTTTGTTCACAATCTTTATACTGATAGACAATATTAATATTACACATAAATTAATGCTTATCGTTGATATGACAACAAAATAGCTCTCTTAGTATGGATTCAAACAATAATAATATTATAAATATAATGAATACAAATTATTATATAATTTTATACAAAATTTGAATACAAAATAAATAAAAATAATATTGATATATTTAATATTTAATACTTTTATGTTGATTTCAACATAATAATTTTATAATCTAAAATTAACTTTTAATATAGAATGTTAATATTTATTTAAAATATTTGCCTTTTATTAAAATATATGATAATTGTATATAATTGTATATATATTAATACAATAAAACAAAATAATACTCACCAATGTATAAAAACAGATCCGCCTGAAAGTCGGGCACAATGTATAAAGTCATTGCACTAAAACGTTAGTATAAATTATAATATTATATAACATACAGTAATATAGTTTTATTATTTATAAAATTATGTCTATTGTATACATAGCTAATGCAATATAAAAAATAAAATGTTATTACCTGAGGAAAAAATTGACTTAAGTTTTGATTTGGAGAATCTGATGCTAATATACATAAATATTCAATGTCCTATAAATAAATAAAAAATAATTATATAATAAAATTATAATTAAAAAAAATAATTAATAGTTTAGTTAAAATTTTACATTAATATATTAATAGTATCAGAAATAAGTTATTTAGAATTATTTAGATATAAGTTTAGTAAATATTAAATAGTCAAATGAAAAAAACAGTTATTAATAAAACAATTTTTGCATTTTATTTATAATGAAAATCGTTTTTACATACATAATGAATCCAAAATTTCAATTATCTCATATACTATATAAACATTCTATTATATTATACAAAAATACTAATAAAATATTGAATAACATATATTAGAAGAAATAACAAAAATAATTAATGAAAGTAATGGACAAAAATTTAGTATATTATTAATACTGTATTATAGCCATTGAGAGTCAATAAGATAAATGAACGCTAATATTATTTTTAATAAATTATTGAAAACCAGAGACAATACAGGAAACCATTACAAACACTATTGTTATACATTGAGAATCAGAGTTAAGCAAAAGGGGTAAATGGGGGGGGGTATGGCCAAAATACCCCACAATATGGAGCTTTTTTAATTTTACCCTACACACTTTTTGATCAAATCGATAAAATTGTCGATTAAAATGAGAAGAAATGATCTAAAGGCGCAAATTTGTTATGAAATTAAAAAATTATTATTTTAACTAAGATTTATTAATTAACTGTTTATATGTATTAATATATAATAGATATAATAATTGAATTATTTACTAAAACTCAGTAAAATAGTTTAATTTACAATAAAATTAAGCCAAATATAACATTCAATTCACAACAATTCAATAACAGTCGAATAAAGTAGTTGTTTAACAATTAGAATAATATTTTAGGATAATTATAATAATTGTGATATAATGGTGGGCGCCTCCAGAGTAAAGTAATAAAGATTTCTTTATTATGTATATTATAAATTTGATATACTGTATTATTTGCTATACTGTATCTAATGTTATCTTATGTTAAATTATATATGTAATTATCAAATATGATTATTTTAAATAACTGATTTATGTTATATTTATTTACTGATTTTTATAATTATTATTATTAAGAATATTAAGTTAAACAAATATGTAAAGTTAAATATTAGTTATTATTATTATAAATTAGTTAAATTGTTAATTATATGTTATAAATACTCACACATGTAATACTTGTGATTTATTGATACCCTTACAGTATATTATAATAAAATTAGATTTATGGGCCACACCTTAACATAAATAACGTCTACTATTACTATACGCATAGAGTATTAACGGGAAAAATAGTGTTCCGTTTATACGGAGAACTTTCCTTAGAGATTCGATAAAGGTTTCCGAAAGATTAAAATTCATTAATTTAAGAAAATATTTCTAAAATTTAGAGAATTTATTGGCAATATTTTTCTATTTTCCTGTGAATTTCCTGTCATTAATATCGCAATTTAGGGTTTTTTCTGAATTTTATGTTTATACCTTCCCTGAATTTTTTAATTTTGAAAAAATTTTCGTTTAAAAATGCAATAAAAATGTTTAATCCTCCCTATACTCTCTCCAAGATTTTTTCCATTTCACCCCACCCTTACCCCTTAAAATCCAAAACCTTGTTTAACCCTAATTGAGAATATATTGTATATATTTTATGCCATCATTTGATTTAATTGATTTTATAGACAAACTTAAATAAGATAAATGATATATGCTTTCAATTTAGTCCTAATAATGTTAGCAATGTTACCAATGTTACCAATTTTATTGATTATTGATGTATACAACAATTCATGTAAAACCTTTTTATAATAATTTGCAAAATTATACTAAATGTCTACAATTATATATAAATTAGCTTTTCATATATATATATATATATATTGTATTTTTAGAATATTTTCGTAATACACATTTGCATAAATTTTTATATACAATATCACAATAAGCTTAGTTTGTAAATAATTTATAACAATTTATTGCTAGTATTAATTAACTATTTAATGCATTTTTTAAATGATTTAATATAAAAATATTATATCAATGTTATTGTCAATCTGTTAATAGTATCTATAATCTATAAATTTATAACATTATACTTTATATCAAACTAATGTATAAAAGTACTAATAATAACTATAATGTATTAATATGAAATATGTTCATATAATTAAAGTTTTTTTTTTGAAAACTTATAAATAATAGAAAATAATATGATTATAGTCTATAGACATAACAGTTTCAATGGAAAACCTATTTATTAGAAGCTTTATTATCCGTTCAGTTATGTCATCACTTAAATTATTGACTTTTTCTTGTATCTCAAGAGTGACACAACTTTTGGTCGTGTTTTTGCTAAAACAGTCATTTTTCACTATAGATAGTCTGATAGTAAATACAATAAAAAATGTAATGTTTTTTAACAATTTGCACAGTGTTTGCAGTTTTTCTACAAATGCCTAATCACGTGAATATCACTTAAATAGCCTATAGTATAGTACTATAATACTTGTTATTATTAAATATTTGCAATTTTGTTTAAAAGTATAGATCAATACAAGTATAGCATAAGTATAGGAAATAAATATTTGAAATTTAAATATTAAATGATATGTTGTCTTACTTGAAGACCACCTTTTCTTGCGTTGTCGTGAATCGATATAATATGTGTAATACAATTGGTCTTCAGCTGTTCCATGTCTTTAGAGTCTCTGACACTTCCGATGTAAAGACCGGTCAGAATCTGTCGGTAAAATAAATTGCATTTAATTAAACTCACAATTCATGTCACGTCTGGCGACTGAATGACTGATATTTGAATCTATTTGTTAATTCTTATCATTACTTTTGATAATCAAATTTGTATTCAATTTTCACAATGCTTTTTGCGATTAAAATATTTTATTTACTGATATGACAATAATATCTTATAATAAAAAAATTATTTAATTCATATAATTTTGTTATCATTCAACAATACAAACAAATTGATAACATATGTTATATATGTTATAAATTATATACAGTAAATACAGTACTAATGTTGTAATGCTTTAAAAGAATCAAACAATAGTACATTAATTGTGCCAAATATTGTACAAACAGTTAATCCGTGATTGAAATTTAAACAAAATATTTTTTATACATTTAAGTAACGGTTTGTTAAAGTTTACAAATAAATTAATTTTGGAATAAAATATTAAAATTCTATATTTAGATAAAAAATAATGTTTGTGTCATTACATTATTATACCATTATTGTAAACAATGTTTTAATGAGTTTATAATATTATTTAATACATAATATGATATTTTTATCAAAATACTGAACTAATTATCGTTTGTTCATAAAATCAATGTTTAAAGTGGTTAATTGGTGACAATATATTAATAAATAAAGTAATGGGAAAATAGAAATTTTGTAGAAAATTTTAGAAATTCCATCAATTATTGAAATTTATTTGACTTTATTTTGTTATAATTTAAATTATTAGTTTTTAAAACAATATAAATAAACCAAATTGAGTGTAAATTGTTTGTAGATGTTTAATTTTCATAGTTATTAGTTAGTAATAATTTATTACTAGCTTTACAACTAACTGAAAAAATAAATTTTGTAATATATAACATATTTATCAAATAAATTTATAAAATAGATTTGTTTGATTATCAACAATCATAATAAATTTTATCCAAGAAGTTGATAATAATAAATATCTCACAAATAACTATCAAATAAATGTAACATTTTGTCTAATTAAATATTTTTAATTTATGTAAAATTTATATTTTTTAACTTAAATATTATCAATTCTGTATCCGACATCACATTAACTTCAAATAATTGTTAAAAATACAAAAAAACTTTAAATATTTCCATAATATCATTTGCTTATCGTTTTTATTATATATTAAAATGTTTATTTGGCAACTTTTTTGTGCCATTAAAACATCATTAAATAATTTCTATAACAATAGACGTTATTCAATAAACTTCACAATTTAATTAATAATTTTAAAAGAAATACTTAATAACTAATAAGTATTAATAATACAGTATATAACTTTAATATAGTAAATTTTATAATGTATATGAATACAATAAATAAATAAATTTTATAAAAAATACAATATAAATTATTAAATTATATTATATAATACTAATATAATTTTATTATTATTATTACAACTAACAATAATAATAATATTTTACGCAAAAAATGATATATATTGAAAAAGCAATAATAATATAAAAGAAATTGTCATTATTTTGTGAAATATTTTTATACAATTTTTGACTGTATGTGGAATGTTTGAAAATTTTATAGTAAATGTGAATCAATTCATAGCATGTTTTAAGTATTATTTTTAAAAATATGTGATCATAATAAGTGTTATATATACCTAAATATACTATTTGGTATGTTGTATGCAATAATGCTTTTTACAAAAAAAAACATTTAAAGTAATTGAAGTGTAAAGACATGATTTCTATTAAAACATAACTTCGCTTTAAAATTTAAAAAACATAAAACACATTTTTAGACAAAAACCAAAATGTTAACAAAACTAAATGTTTATCAATTTTTACAACTAAACTATTAATTGTTATATTATGAAATTCATTCTTTTGTGTACTAATATAATAGATAATAATAATAATTATATTTCAAAATGCATTTAAATTAAAAAAAAATATTTTTATTAATAAACAAGTTACTAAAAATTTATTACTAACATAATGTCTATAAAAACAATAGTAAACAGCAATAAAATGTACTAAATTTAAAAAGAGCTTTCATTTTTAACAGTAACTCTAAAAACTGAAACCAAAAATGTTTTGGCTTTAGATAAATGATAATCAATTAATTAAGAAATTACTTCAAAATTTAATTAATATATTATGTATACATTCTTATTATTAATATATTTTTAAACTGAAAGTCATAATTATTTTAATAAATACTTCAAACATTTTAAAAATTATTTTTAATTGTAAAATTATTTAAACAATATTTTAATTTTTATAATTATTTAAATTAATTTGCATTGATTTAAAATTGACTATATTGTTAGTATAAAAATATATTATATGTAGAGTTCGGGCAACTTTCCCAGAGAGGGAAGTAATAAAATCCCTCCAATTCCAGCCCTAGCATAAAGGAAAGTATATTTTATATTTCTACAATAAATAATACCAAAATTTAATTTTTTTCATAAAGTTTTATTAAAATATTTACAAATAAATATAAATTCAATGAATTTAGTAATACTATTTAGCAATAAAACTCAAAATAAAGTTTAATACAAAATTTTTTATTCAAATCTTATAATAAAATTTGTTATTTAGAGTTCAATAGGTGGTATCACAAGGAAATAGATTCCCTAGGAATTCCCAGGAAGTAGAGAACATAGAGAATTTTGGAAAATAAAACGAGGGAAGGAATTTGCCCGAACCCTAGTTATATGACAAATTTATGCTGCTTAAAATAAAAAGTATTAAAATAAGTTATTTTAATTATTAAAAAAAACTATATATCATATTTTGATGTTATTTGTACTGTACTATAAAATATAATAAATGCGACAAATTGTTAAAATATTTTCACCTATTATTTAAAATCAGTTTTTTTACAAAAATCTTTATCACTTTTCTTGTAATGTTCGGTACAACTAATATCCTATTTTTCACTTATTTTTAAAAATATCATACGATTTAACCGCACCGTTGGTTCGCATAAAATAAAACCTAAAATGTTTTTTGTTGTAGAAAATGTATATAAAAAATTTAAGACATTTCTCATAAAATTTGAGTTTTTCTATGTGATAATGACTACTAAAATCAAAATTTGTCTAAAAAGTGCAATCATGTCATTAGAAGAAAGAGAGAGACACGCGATTAAAATGAATGATTAGTGCAATAAATAAAAATGAATGGTTTATATTATACTTTACTTTATATATATAATATGTATTATTATTATATAAATTATATTATATATATATATATATATTGATAAATGTAATTTATATACCTTGTTCATGCCATTACCCATTTTGAGTTAGGGCACCGGTGGTATTTGTATGCTTTCCGTTATAATAATATTAATAGCTGTAGTGATACTCTGTTTTTTGTAATGAAAGTAAAGTCAAGAAGTTTTTGGTATAAAAACTTTTGTCTTCCTTTCCCTTCCCTTCCCTCTGGTCTACAGATCTATCAATTAATAGTCGACTAATGTTTTGGATCGTCTTTAGACTATATAATAAGTTTTTTGAAGTAACAGTTTTGTTGGTAAAGTAGACAAACATAACCAAACATTTTTAAGTGTAAAACATTATTGCCTCTCAAACTGATGACCCCATGATTTTGGTTGAATACAAGCAAATCAATGCTCACTTATTTTATTATATAGTGGGTTCTCATATAGATTTATAATATCAATAGTATAGTACTGTAATGTACATTACATACATGTATATACAGTTATGTGTTGCAAATGGGAACTCAAACCAAATAACAAAAACATTGTCTCGGATTTTGTTTAATGACATCAATAGAGAATATATAGAGAGAAATACTTTTGAAGAGTTGATAAAAATATTGATTATTTATTATCAATACTTTTTTATTTTTCTTACAATTTGTCTCAAACTTAGATGACAAACATATTGAGAAATAACTCATACTGTATTAGGACAACACTTAAGCACAAACTAGACATTTATTTTATAACAAATTGATAAACAAATGACAAATAATTAGACAATTATTTTTTGAACAAACAATTACAACATTAACACATAAACATAGAGACAAACATAAAAGTTATACATTTAGTAAGTAATGGTTAGAAATAAGTTTGTGAACTACAGTATAGTCGTCGTGACATACATTGTATGATAAGGAAAGACATTATGACTGGAAATGTTTGGACATAACATTTGAATTAATGTTTACTGAATATTGTGATAACAACAGGAAATGATGTGAACACAGGATTTCAATATCTTTTAATATGAAATGAATGGTAAGAAAAAAATAAAAAGACTGAATAGAGTTATGTTTTATGATTGAAGACAACAATCAATGACAAGAAAGCGGTCAAAAAGAGTGTTACAAAAACTAATGGTTAAAACCATTGAGTTTGGGCTCACAGATCATGTCTAACAATAGACAGTAGATTACAATCAATGAAGAAGACATTGGATGCAATCAAACAGACTTATGGCAAAAATTGCCGCTCAAAGAGGCACTTAAATACACGACCAAAACCTATGGTCTCATACTCTGTATATGTTTGAGCTCCACATGAAATCAGTGAAAATTGTGAATACAGACCATCGCAGCGCATACTCAACCCATATATGATATATCCATAGATTTTGTTGTCATATAATGCATGGCTTTGACAGAACTAATGCACTAAATAGTCATCTTTAAGAACCAATGCATTCAACCAATTATATGACAAATATATGCCATTATAACGATTATAACTCATATAACTCATCACTATTTCCTATAAACACTACAATAACCCTTTTGTTCGCAAACATTGATTTCAATTATATTATATAATATAAAAAATATGAATTAAATATTATTATGTAAAATAATTTTATATTCAGTACTTACATACAGTATTTATTTAATTATAGAATTTATTTTTGCTTTTATTTTTGTAAAAACAACTAATATTTATATAACTATTCATTTATAAATAAAATTATTTGATTTTTGTTATTTATACAAAAGATCTTTAAAATAATTTTTATTAAACGATATTATAATTTGTAATCAATTAAATACATTAAAAAATATTTTTTTTAATATATTGATATTTTATATAAACAGTAAAATCAATTTTAAAAAGATATTTTATCTTTGACTTTTTAATTATAATGTCTATATTTTTGAATATTTATAATTTAACTTTGATTAATGATTTCAATAAAAATTATAGTTTTGAAACAATAAAAAATGAAAAATAATTATTTTTTATATTCCAGTAAAATTGAATTAAATTTATATAAAATTTCTTTCTTTTTTGATAATATTGTCGAAACACTTATAATATTATATAATCTGATTTAAGTTAATTATATTTATAATACATTGCATTGTATTAATTAAGTATTATATTTTTAAAATTAAGAATATATTTGTTATTTGTTTCTTAATCTTAAAATTGTTTTTTTTTTCATTAATCGCATTATTGTTTTAGTGTTAAAAAATAATAAAACTACAAAAACAATCCAAACTATTTCAAGTTTTGTTTTATCATTTATTACAAATACAATGCCCAACAAAATCTATAATTGTTTTTCAATTTTAATTGATGACTATATATATATACGTATATACTTTATGTGTTTCTTTATTATCAAATGCTTTAATGCCAATCAATTGATTAATTCATTTAAAAACTAAATGATTAATAGTGTTAAACAATAAATCATTTCATTTAAGTGTTTACAATGAACACTATATAATAAATACTAAATTTAAAACATACACTAAAATCAAATATGAATTAACATATTTTTTTAATTTAAGAATTCAATAATTTAAGCTAAATATTTAATATTTGTAAGAATAATATTTTATAAATAGCATTTAAAAAAATAACATACAGACATAAATGTTAAAATTTGAAAAATATTATACAGTATTATTGATTTATGTAAATTTATTATATATATATAATATTAAACATCAACACTATTATGTAATAATTATTATATGATTAGTAGATTATTATCATTTATTTTTATTTAATTATAATCCTTATATACTATATTTAAAAATTATAATCTATATATTGAATTATTTTTGTATAATACTTTATAATCTTTTATATTTCAGTTACTTATAATCTCAAGTTTATATTACATACTTTAATGTTTATAAATGTAAAAAATCTACAAATATTAATATAATTTAGTTGCATATTATTAAATAATTGAAATCTTATCTTACTTTGCAAATAACTATTGAGACAATGAATTATTAGACAAAACAAATAATAAAAAATACCCTATGTCAATTTAATGTAATATTAATAATATTTATGTATATGAATCATATAATATATGACATACTTTCAAATCTGATAAATTATATTTATATTATTACACAATTTAAATTTTAATTGTATAATAATATAAATATAATTTATTAAATTTAAACATATGTCATATTATATGATTCATATACATAAAAATTATTAATATTACGTTAAATTGACATAGGGTATTTTCTATTATTTGTTTTTCTACTAATTCAATATTTCTCTATTATTAGATAAACATATTAAATACTAGTTATTTAAAATAAAATTTATAAATTTAAATGCAATTCATGCAAACTATAATAATATATAGAAAATATTGGTATATTATTGTATTGTATTTTTTGTATTTTTAGTTTATTAAGTGTTAACATTTTCAGACACTACAATAAACTGTTAAAACTTCAAACCAATACTACATATTACATGTGTGTCTATTATTCAATTGATTGCTTACACATTGATATGTATTAGTTATTTAAAGTAAAGCAATGTATATATTTAAGCAAAGAATGCAATGGTTTTCATTGATTTGTTATCATTTGACTTGTAATTCAAATATCTTTTTGAATTCAAATACCTATTCAAATAAATGTTGGATTTGAAATTCAAGCGTTGAATAACAGTATGTTTTATAAGAATTTTAGATAATGATAGCAAAAAAGGAGAGCACTGTTACTATGAAAAGATGAGTCAAATGTTTGTACAAACGTTTTCTGTAATACACTTCAAGGCTTATCGATTGCCGATATCTACTCTTTTTCTATGTCTGCCTAACTATAATACCGTTCCCTCCCTTTGCCATTCAAAGTGATTCTCTAACAACTTATCTAATTTATATCTCTTTTATATATTTAATATAAAATATTATATTATATATATATATATACTGTATATTATATAATGTGATATATTGTATTGATTATAAAATATGACATGAAAGTTTTATTAAATATAAGATCAATTATTAATTCAAATATTTACTAATATTTACATTTATTTCTCAATTTATGAATGTTTATTATAAATTATATTTGACTATAAAAACTATGTAAAAATTTGCTTTTTTAAAATAACTATTATTAAACTATTTATTAATAATATTCATTAAATTAACAAAATTCTAATATTAAAATATTTACTACAGTTTTTAATTTAATTTAATTTAACTGTTATATTAGTTACTGGAATATATTCTGATGATTCAGTGATGTATTTATGAGATTTAAGTGAAAAGCTATTAAATCTTTCGTCTTTATCGTAATGAAGAAGTTTTTTCAATATTAACATACAATCAGCACTTAATTTGTTGGCAATATTTGAGGGCATATTATAGCCTTTTTTCATATCTTTTAACATCTTTTGTAAATCTTTGGGTTCTTTAGATCTATAAGTAAACGGTCTTTGTTTTGAAAGTAATTCATAGAAAGAGACTCCGAGTGCCCACATATCGCCTTTTTGTGGGTTATATCCGTTTACAGTTTTACTAACACCTTTGCAGTTCAAATTGACATCAATATAGACCCGTATGATTTCGGGTGCCATATAGGCCACAGTACCGACTGCTTTGTTCTTAATTATGTCTCCCGTTTCGTTAGAGTATGCAATACGACAGTTACCGAAGTCACTAACTTTGACCACTTCTTTATTGTCGACAATTGCGATCAAAACATTAGCTAATTTCATGTCTCCGTGATATAAACTCTTGTAATGTAAATAATGGATTGCATTATATATCTGAACAAAGTATGATTTGGCCATCTCTTCACTAAACGGCTGACTTCTTGTCTTCAAAATATGCGACAAATCACCGCTGATGGCTAATTCCATTATCATATAAGAGATTTGATGTTTGCAAACAAAATGGTCTTTCAGACCAATAATATTATGGTGAGGATGTCGTCTCAGATGAAAGATTTCATTTTTAAAAGTATTAATTCGTGACAAATAATTTTGAAATTTAGTCGACAATATCATGACTTTAACAGCAAACAAATGATTAGTTTCTTTGTTTCTTACTTTATATACCACACCGTGAGCTCCTTTTCCCACATTTTCAAGACATTCATAATTTTCAAGACTCAAAACCATAGAATCAAACTGTTTTTCGTTGCCTTTTAGTCGTTCATTGTTTTCAGATATAGAAATATTACGAGAAATTTTTGTGATAGGAATTTGTGATACTGTTAGTGAATCCCTGTCCACAAATGGCTTTTCCTCCCAAAAAGTTTTAACTGTTTTTTTAGAGACTTCACTACTAGTCTTGTGATGAAATCTGTTCTTAACTTTTTTATTACACAAACAACAGTCACAACAACACTCATAACACATCAATACATTTGATTTTAAAGTTAATAAACAATTACCCATTTATACGAATTTGTGACTAACATATTAATACAATTAAACTTAATTATATAATGTTTAAAATCTATACAACTATATAATTTGGAAATTGTGTGACGCAAACAATTAGTTTTAATGTGTCGGCGATTATTAATAATTTTAGATTATTAAAAAAAATAAATAAATAAAATATACTGTTTTTAATACACAGTATATTATAAATAATGCGTGAAAGCATTGTTAAATAAAAAATAAATAAATAAATATTTATTTATTTATTTATATATATATATATTGTAAATAAAGGCACAGCAATAAAATTTAAACAATTTAATAATATAATATTTTATAAAATAAATAAATTAATACATAAGTTATTTCACGCGCAAATAATATAATTAATGTATGATATATATGAATATTAATGTATAATTAATGTACAAATAGTATCTCCAAACTAATAATAAATAAATAATTTAAGTAACAAATATAAATTAATTGTGAAATGGGAGAAAAGGGAGTATTAAGTTATTGGAATAAATCTATATTATAGACAGCCAGTAGAAAATTATTTGCTCCAAACCCACCCCCACCCACCCAACCACTTCCTAACCTCACACTCACCCCAAACTAACCTAACTAATTAATAATTAAGTAATAAAACTAACATTTTATATATGAATAACTGCATAAAAACAATACTTTTTTGCTGGCTGTCTATAATATAGATTTAAGCGAAGTTGTTTTATATACAAATTGTTATATAAATTGATATTTACTGTATATATATATAAAGAGGCGGTCAATCGATCTTGAGCGGCGTATTTTTTGAATAACTTTTTAACGGTAAGAGATAATTTTATTCTGTAAAATACATTTAAGAATATCATATCGACCACACTTAATATACACACAATCACAAAACTAGGATGACCACATATACAAAATATCGGGACCAATGAAAGACACTATGCTACAGGTCAAACTACAACTGACAATTTTTTATGACAATGTAAATTTGTAGTCAAGAAATAATAGTTTAATATAAAAAAAGAATCATCAAAATCGGATTGGTAGTTTTGTTTATATGGCTTCTTAAATTTGTCATAAATCATATTATATAAAATAGTCTAAAATAAAAATGACGTTATTTGTAAATATTATATACTTATTAAATGAAGATTTTCATGTTATTACTAAATCTAAAAACTAAATTTTAATATGTCGACTAGTTTTCGAAATAATCGACTTTCAATATAAATTATAATATCAAATTACAATAGTGTGATTTATATTGAGTCGATTATTTCGAAAACTAGTCGGCATAATAAAATTTAGTTTTTAGAAATAATAATATAATTGAAAATTTAATCTTATAAATATATAATAGTCATAAATAACTTCATTTTTATTTTAGACTATTTTATATAATATGATTTATGACAAATTTAAGAAGCCATATAAACAAAACTACCAATCCGATTTTGATGATTCTTTTTTATATTAAACTATTATTTCTTGACTACAAATTTACATTGTCATAAAAAAATTGTCAGTTGTAGTTTGACCTGTAGCATAGTGTCTTTCATTGGTCCCGATATTTTGTATATCTGGTCATCCTAGTTTTGTGATTGTGTGTATATTAAGTGTGGTCGATATGATATTCTTAAATGTATTTTACAGAATAAAATTATCTCTTACCGTTAAAAAGTTATTCAAAAAATACGCCGCTCAAGATCGATTGACCGCCTCTTTATATATAACTAATTTAATAGTTTAAACTTCCATTTAAAGTCATAATAATCTATGACATGAGTTATTAAAGTTACTTCAAATAAGTTATAAATCTCGTTCATATTTTATTAATAATTTGATTATTAATTTCAAATGACAAAACTGCTAATTTTTATGAGTTATTTTTAATATAGTGAATGACATAATTAAATAAAATGAATTATTTAATTCAAATCCATTGGTCATCAGCTATAATATATGGCATTATTTTGATAAATATTTTATTAATATTTATTGCAATAATGATAGACTTATTGAGCCGATTGGCGGCGAGTTTTTCAGAAGCAACCAATTCTTACGTGTTGTGCACCGAAAAGACAGTTATCCATCGCTACCACATTGTCTTAAGTGTTGGATGTGCTTCTTGTGGCTTCAATTTGAAGAAAGCAAACATAGACTTAGATTTGATTGATGCCAACAAATCAGAAATAGGACACCAATCGCGGCTAACATTTGAAAATTTTTGGGATCCAATACAATCACATTTGATTGTTGTTATGTCACGACTTACACCCATTTACAACATTCAGTCAATTCTTGTCCGACACACTGACACAAGAAATACCAAAATATATCTCTATTGGATCAAAGTTTACGAAATCAATGGCAAAACTAAGAAAGAGTTACAATTCATAAAAATCTATGACTATATCTACAATTATCAGCGAAAGTTCGCCAACAAAAATGATAACCATTTTAAACCTCCAGAGCCACCCCTAGTGTATCTCACTTTGTCTGAGATAACAATTATTGGTTCACTAATTACATCTATAATTTTATTTATATCATTGATATCTCACAATAAGTTTTATCCTACAAATAATGAAAAGATTAGTTTAAAAATACAAATAACTATTTTGATTACATCTATCATCTCATTAATCGCTTTATTTGTCCTTTTAATGTGTATATATCTATATAAATATTTATTAAAAAACAACTATTATAATGAAAGATGTGCCAAAATGGATGTAAATGTATCCCAGATGTGGTCAATCATTTTGTACATTACATTATTCACTATGATTTTCATTGCAATTGGACTACACATAACAATAATTTATTTTTATAACACTAGCATTATTGATAAAAAGCATAAATTAGAAATAGTCTTATATTGGTTTATATCTATCATTGTGTCGATGATTATCGTGTTTCTAGTTTGGTATTTATTTAATAAAATTACATGTATTAACAAATCAATTAAAAACAAAGATAATAAATAATTGGCGATCAATTATCAAAAAGATAAAACATCAACAATAAAAAGTCGTCAATAATATTAAACAGATAATTTTATATACAATATGTATATTTCATTAGTTAAACATTTATTATCGATTAAATTAATACTGTAATATAGAATTAAACCCCAATACAAAAATAATACTTTTTATGTAATTTTCAACTTAAAGTAAAATTTTCTAAATTAATTAATTGAAATAAAACTTAATTTAATAAAACTATCTTATCATTGACACTGTAAACATTTTATTGTAATTTAAGAAACTTTTAAAATTCATTTTAAAGTAGTTTTTACAGAATATTATCACAAATAGTATAAGAAGTGATGCATTTAATTAATATCATAATAATTGACATATTTTTATTGATTTAAATGTTATAAAAAATAACACAAAGTTTTATTATAATTTTTTATGTTTGTACTAAACATCGAAATCAATTATATTAAAAAATTATTTTTTATATTTATAGATAAAAATTGTTCTGTTATAGTGTGGAATAATTTATATCATATAAACATTTTAACAAAATATATATTTTATAATCTAATTTAAAGTGAGAGACATTTGAAAGACAAACTTTAGATATGCATATATTCTGTCAATCATTTCTTTAAAAATATAATAATTGTGTAAATTTTTTTGTATAAATAAAATACAATAATTTAAACAAATGATAAGCTTTTCGCTTAAAATTGATTTATTGTTAATGTAAGCAAATTTTATATAATATATGTAAATATTGATCATAAAACTTAATAAATATAAAGAACAAAACATATATTAAAATATATGTTCAATAAATTGCATAAGTTTTTCATTTCATTTTCATTGAAATAGATTTTCAATAATTTATTCCTAAAGCTCTTAAGTTGATTAAAATAATGGTGTTTTAAAATATATGTCTTAAATAAAAATATAAGAATATCAATAATTGTTAGATAAAATATATAAAGTTTTATATTACAAAAAAAATAATATAATAAAAATCTATTAAATAAAAAATAGCATAAAATGTTACCTATTTTTACTTATATTTGAAGTTCTTTTTGTATTGAGTTACTAACAAATATCTAGAGTTCAGGCAATTTCATTCACTTCAGAAGTTTCCTAATAAATTTCTTTCAATTTTTCTGGAAAATAAGAAAAATATTTTATTTTCCTCCCTAATCCGTTAGAGAAGAAAATATATTTAAAAATATTAAAATAAAAATACCAAAATTAAAATATTTAGAATAAATTTTCATTGAAATATTGAAAATAACTTAGAATTCAATAAATTCAGTGATACTATTTGAAAATACCAAACAATTAGATATAACATATGTTTTTCAAACCTTATGATGAAATGTGTGAATTGACTTCAATAGGTAGTACCATATGATAATAAATTGTGTGGAAATTTCCAGAGTAGAGAAAATCTAGAACTTTAAAAAAATGTGAATTTTGGAGATAGAATTTGCCTCAACTCTAAAATTATTCATTTAATTCAATTATAAAAAATGAATTCTTTACAAGAAATGTTAGTTTCTTATCTAAAAATTTAAAATAAAAACGGTTAAGCGATGGGGGTATGGCTGGCTTACGCCCCCAACGACTAAGATTTTGGAGATTTTACCCCCCAGTCTTGTTATTGTCATTAAAAACTATGAGAAATCGACACCTTTTAAAATATATTTAAACAGTAAATTCTAAATGATTTTAAAAATCTAAGTTTAATTAATATTTGTAAACTTACTATTTTTAAGTTTTTCTAACTTATTTACATCTAATTATTATATTAAATAGTTAAAATTTTGTTAATTTTGTTTTAAAAATTTTAATTTATATAAATATAACATTAATAATAATTTGTAAATTAAATTTTTTAAAATGAACTATATTTTTAAAAAATTGTTAATTATGATATTGATAAAATATTATTTTTACATAATTAATATAATATTAATAAATTGTACTGTAAATATTCATGTTTTAAGATAAAAAAATAAAAATTTTTTAATATTTAATCTTAATTTATTTTTAATCTTAATATATAAAACTTAATTGAGTTATTTGATAAAAATTAGTTTAAATAGTTAAATTTAGTTATAATACTTAATATAATTTTATTTCATTTATATTATGAGTTAAAATTAAAAATAATCATAATAATAATGAAAATACTATATTAATGTATTTTTAATAATTTTTAAATTTCGTTAATGCTAAAATATTTTTATTTTTAAAAATAAAGATAAATTTATAATTTTTAGAAAATTTGCCGAAAATAAGGAAATTTATTGGGAATATTTTCCTATTTTCCCGAGAATTTTCTCCCATTTATATGGAAATTTTCTGACTCCCCCATTGATTTTCAAATTTTGAAAAAATTGCCCTTGTACCCTCTAGACCAACAAAACTTGCTTAACCCTGATATAAAAGATATTCTTAAAATAAAAAAATTAAAATTATCACTCCTAATGTTTCGTATGTAAGTCTATCATTAGAAAATATTTTATAAACATTAAGTTTATAAAAAATATACTATACAGGTATAATAGTAACAACAAAAATAGTTTATGTTATACTTTTTAAAATAAAATTATTAATTTTTGTTTGTTTAGTTTTATAGTAAACATATAACATATAATTTATTATTTGTATAACATTTTAGATTCCGTGACACTTATGATGTCCCGACCAATCCTTTCCGGTACTAAATTTATTATCAAATGTATGACAATTAAAGAGATTGATTACTCTATTTATTATAATTATAAATTATAACTCAATACATAAAAACTAATGTTTAAAATGTTAATAATTTAAATGTTGTGTACAGTTTGTGACAATTTATACGGTATAATATTATTGAACCGTTTTATTTATAATAAAATATATTATAATATATATTAATTTTTACTAAGGTTTCGGTTCAATTTTAAAAATGACAATAGATTACAGACATAGTATTAATTATAATAAAAATATTATAAATACTATTTACCGTAAGTATACTATCTATACTGCATAAGCAATTATAATAGTATATTACTGTAATTAGTGTAAAATTGAATAAATTACTAAACAGTAGTTTGTCTATAATTTTAAATACATTAAATAAATAAGTTATATTATATAACATACAGTATATACTAACTTATAAAAATACAAATCCATAATCAATAATACAAATTCATATGTATTGAATATAAATCAAGTCAAGTAAATTTCCAAAAATACTAGAAATATAATTTATTAATAATAGTATATTTTATAATTAAAAATGATATATTTTTCAATAATAAACAATGTTTTATGTCACAAAACTTAAAGTTAATATATAATAAAAATAATTATAAAACAAAGTCAATCGGAATCTTCATATTCAATGACAAACTGGTCGTCATTGCAATTATTACAAGATTTTTGTAAATTATTTGAAAAATTAATATAATTTCCGTTTAAAGACTGAGAAAATGAATCGCAGAGTTGTTGTTCATCAAAATGGCTTTCTTTATGATCAAATCGGACGACTTTATCCAATATATTCTTAAAATGACTGTCAACTGAATGTAAACGTTGAGGAAGTAATGAAAGATATGGCATATAATCTAAAATAAGAGTATTAATACTCGAGAAGACAGTATTTTCAGATAATTGACTGATTTGTTGCTTCAATGACTCTATACTACGATTGACAGCAAATGTTTGCGGTTTTTCAAAAGGTTTGAATTTACGATGACTTTTGTTTTGTTTAATATTTGTGGATCCACTGACTGACTCTTGTGAATCACTTTCATCACTTGATATGTTAAACATAAGGCCGCGAATTGCTATCACTGACTGATATGAATCAAAAATAGTTTTATTATAGAAATGTTGTTCCCCTGAGAATAGAGAGTCCGATTGACACAACCAATCAATACATTTCTCTGCATTTTCCAGATTATCACACAAATCAATGTAGTTTTGGTGAAGCCATCCGTTAAATACATCACTGGACACAACCAACTTATCGGCAATACTTTCGGGACAATCACTGAGTGGTGGCCTTCGATCATAGGCTACCAAATGTGTTGGTAATTCACAAGTTTTTTTGTTATTGTATTTTGTGTCCAAACGTTTAGCATAAAGTACTTTCCCGATGGCATGGCTTACGGTTAATGAAGAATCTCTGGACACGTAATCAAATGTAGGCTTTATATCTGTTTTTGCTTTTCGCAATCGTTTAGTATTTTTATCACATTTGTTGTCTTCATTTAAATGTTTATAAATAAGTTGCATATTGTTTAAGGCATTTCTTACATCACCCGATGAAACGCCAATAATTGTTTTCAATTCATTTGTTGATAATTTATTGCCAAAAGTTCGCTCAAGAATCTTCTGCAATGAATTATCAGTTATGGGCTTAAAATTAATTGTAATAAATCTGAGATCGTGTTGGAGTTGTTTTGGTAAAAGTTTATATTCATCTGATTGTCCATTAGTTGTGTCCGATATAATAAAAACAATGGGAACCAAACTATTGCCAAATCGCTTATTCAAAAGTCTTAACTCTTTATGTAGTGTTTCGGGTTTGATGTGAAAAATGTTAGGAAAGTCTTCGATCAAAATTAAACGATTTGACCAAACAGTGGATCTATTAGTTTGTTCATCAATAACAAGTCGGTCTCTATATCTAACAGATTGGTAAATAAAATGCTTAAAGTTGTCGATTTGATTCATTGATTGCAATCCATAATCACGTCTTTCAGTAAGCGCTTCGTCCAGAACTGTCTCCAAGTGCTGACTGTAAGGCTTGTATTCAATCACTTCAACGTTAAACTCTTTTGCCAATACTTTGACTGAAGTAGTCTTACCTTTAATCGCAAAATAAATAATAAATAAAAAAGTTATTTTCAATGATAACAAATGTCAGACCAGTTCCCGTCGGGCCATTCAATAGTAAAAACTTTGACAAACAAGTCTTGTCTTTGAATTGAGACCTAAACCAATCCATCAGTTGTCGACATTTTTGTGTACTTAACGCCAAATCCTTGCTATCTTTGGTGACAATCGAGTCGAGTATCAGTCGGTCATCACTATTGTCATTACAAGAGACCTCTTCATTGATTTGTCGCTTTCGTGACAATTGTTTGGTCTCATTGATGGGTGAATCAAATGACGGTTGGATCCAAATGTCGGACCAATTTTGAGACACTTTGCGTGACATTTGTCTAAATAAAGACTTTATGAAGTCATTAGACGTATGACTGAAGAAGTGGTAATTGTTTTTTAAATGCAATGCTTTGAGTGTTACTAATGTCTCAATAGATGGCAACTCAACACTCATTTCAATTGTTTTCAATAATACTGTAATCAAGTATTCAATTAATAACTCTATTATTAATATAAATGTATTTAAAATACTTTATGTTTAATAAATGCAATAAAAAATATTTTTTAAATTTTCATTAAATAAAATATCAATCAATTGTTTATAATATCGATCGCAATGATTGTAATCAATATATGATTTTAATCAATAATAATAATAATATTAATATAATAATAAAATAATATAACACTAAATAAGGGCATTGCCTTAACTGCGGTGAGAGATGGGAAGCTTGCGGTTAGTAATTATCTCGAGAACTAGTGGTCAGATCTTGCGGTCAAACATATAAATGTTGTAGAGAATAAAAAGTTAGGAACAATGGTCAACCTGAAAAAAAATCTAGGACCACCAGGGGGCCCACAAAAAAATAAAACCCCTAAATTTTATTCAAAAAAAGTGGCGGTCAGGGTGTATCTTATGAACCGGTGGTCAGATATCTACTGAATTCCAGATAATCACTGACCGCTACTTGTTTTTTAATAAAAAATATTTTATTTTGTTATATTATTATTATTACTAAATTTTTTAAATTTTTATTTCGCCTTATGGTGAACCTAGATTTTTTAAGTGTAACATTGTTCTTAACTTTTTATACTCTTTTATATGTTTGACCGCATGATCTGACTACTGGTTTTCCAGATAATCATTAACCACAACTTTTTTTCAATAAAAAATAGTGGTTTTATTTTTTTATGCGCCCTCTGGTGGACATAATTTTTTTTCAAGTGGACCCTAGTTCCTAACTTTTTATTCTCTACAACATTTATATGTTTGACCGCAAGATCTGTCCAACGGTTCTCGAGATAATTACTGACCGCAAGCTTCCCATCTCTCACCGCAGTTAAGGCAATGCCCTAAATAAGTTAAACATAGTATTGAACATGACTTGAGTTTGACTGAAAATTTTGACTATTATTTAATACTATTGAATATTATTTGAAAATTATATATTTATTTAAAATAGTTTAAGACTGAATTATTATAATAATTTGCTGTTTTAAATGTTTTATAATATATTTAATATTTTACTAAATTCTCAAATTATCGCAAAATACTTATTTAATTAATATAAAACTGATTTTTGTAATAATTATTACATATTTTAATTAATTATAGTAATAACAACTATTAGAATAACATTAAAATGAATATATTTTAAATAAATAATTAATTATTAAACATAACTTAAGGCTATTATTATTTTATTATAAAAATAGGTTTATTTAAATCAAATTATTTAAGTTAATACACTGTATTGTTTGATAATTGTTTGATAAAACTTATAACAGATTAATTACAAAAATATTTCAATCAATCATTTTGTTAAATAAGTGACACTTTTAATATAGTTTTAACAAAAATGATAATCCAATTGCATTTTAATTGATTATATATACAATTATATAGTATTAATACAGTATAATATATATATATATGATTATATAGTATTACAATTTAGACCCAAACCTATATTTTAATGACATTATGAGTGAAAACGATAAAATGACAATCAATATAATCTATAATCTTGTTATATAAAAGAGTAATATAAATACTGTACTCTAAGAAATCACATTAAGTATGATATTTAATGTGTATTAGAGGTGTAAAACAAAACATTTTCAGAAACAAAACCGAACTAAAATAGATAAATATAAATTGAATTAAACCGAAACCGCAAATTGTAAAAAATAAATCATAACTTTCTTTTAACCAAATAATATACTATTAATAGATTTAGTCACTTATTTATAAACATTAAAAATTTTATTTAATATAAAGATAATATATATATATTGTTATTAAAAAAATAATTTATCTTATAATTTGATTGCTATAAAAATGTTTTTATTATTAAACAAAAAAAGCATTAAACAGAAAATTGATTTTAAAAAACCGGAAATGATTAAAAAAATTAACAAAAACTAAATTCAATTCGTATTGAATTGGTTTGGTTTTTATGATTCATTCAAACAAATCATACAATTTCCTACTCTAAACAACAGTATATTAGTCTTTCACTAACTAAAAAACATTTTCTTTGATAATAACGAGAAAAAACAATTGTTTGGACAATAAAACTGTTTTATTGTAGTTTTGATAAAAATAATTTTTGTTTTAAAAAAGATTAAATAAATAGATAGGTTATAAAGGCTTTTGTTGTTATACTAAAGATTATACTTAAAATCGATTTATTTATAAATAATATGTTAAAATTATAGTCTATTTTATTGATATTTTTTATTTTCTTCTGTAAAATTTTCCGATATATAATCAAAATATAAATTATGATTATTTTGAAAATAGTAAATAATTTTTTTAAGTTAAAATTTTTCTATTACTAACAAAACTAATATTTATTTAAATACTAATTCACATTTATTTAAACTTTATATTATATAATTAATAAATAAGAAAACAACTTTAAAATATCTCACTTTTAATACGCTAGTTATAAAATTCATCATGGTATTTCTATACTATAAAATATTTATTAAAATTGAATAAATAATGTTATTAAATGTTATGTCACTGACCCTAACTCAGGGTTGAGAAAGAGGGGTATGGGGTAAACCATATTACCCTTGAGATCAACATTTTTTTAGTCTTAGTGTTCTCACCTAATTTCGGAATGAATTTTTTTCACTTATATAAAATTTAATATTAAACGAAAAAATAAATGCTAAGTGATTTTTAATATAAATAAATAGCTTATGTATATAATACAAATAAATTAAAACAAGTTAATTAAAAAAATAATTAATTACATAAATATAACATTATTTAAAGTCAATACATAAATTAAAACAATAGAAAATAAATTAATTATATATTTAAAGATAAAAAATAATAGTTTATTTATTAATTGCTTTTAAAATAATAAAAATATTAAATAATTATTATTTCTAAACTTTTGTAATAATAATTAGTATTAGTTTGAGAAAATATTTTGAGAGTAAAAAGGAATTAAGTTAGGAATATATTTCTTTTTTAGGAAATGTATGGGGAATTTATAGGGAATTTACTAAAATTTGGCCAAAAATTGCCGTTTAAAATACAATTAAAGCTGTATACCAAGATTTTTTGAGATTTTTTCCATTTCATCCCCATTTATATTCCCTCCTGAAATCTAAAACCTTTCGCAATTCTGGTTATAATAATAAAAAATAAAATATATGAATAAATTTTATATAATTAATAAATCTTATTTTTAAGTGATATTTTTATAACCTTTTTAAATAACATATATAACCAATTTATAATAGCAAAAAAACAGCATTTTATATTCAATAAAATTGTTATCATTCATTTTTTTATTTAAAATTTAATAAAATTTTTGCTTTATTATGTTACTTTAATTTATATCATATGATATATATAAATATATAAAATGTACAGTAAAATTGTTAGTCTAATTTTTCACTAAAATACATTTCAACATACTTTACATTAAAAATAACACTTTATGTAAAAGTAAATGTCAGTCAATTTACGTTAATTTAAATTATATTAAAAGTGAAAACATTTTTCTTATACATAAATGCTTTTGTATAGAATTTTTGTGGAAAAATTTGTCTTAAATTAATGGTTTCATAAACTAAATATATGTTTGACTGAAAATGAGACATTTTATGACTCACATTTGGTAGCATTTATACAACATATTTATGCCTTATATTGATTTTAATATTTTAAAAATAAATATAATATAAAGAGTTGTACTTTAAGTTAATTATATGCAGTTAACTTTACATTTTATTTATTTTGTTAATAGTTAAAAATAGTGTCATTATTACTAATGATAAGTTATTAACATTTACTACATTAATAGAATTTTTAATATAGATAATTAATAATGTAATCTAAAGTATAATAATTTTGTAAAACATATATTTATAAAATATTAATCTATAAAAAGGTAAAACATTTATGATTTTTATTTATATTCTATTAATTACTCGTCTCACTGCTTATACTATACTTTAATTGATTTTGATAGACATTTACATGTAATGTGTGCTTCAAATGAGTGAAAAATTTATTATCTAATTAGTCATAAAGTCTAGTATCACTTAATATTTAATTAATAATTTATAATCAGTAAAATAAAATAATTGAATTACAATACAAAAGTATAGTGAATTGAATTGAGTTAATATGTCGTGGCAGTCATACATCGATAGTGAGATCAAAGATAAGGTTTCATGCAATGTGGCCGTCATTGCCGGCATAACTGATGGTCAACTATGGGGTCATTATGTAAAAGAAGGCTTACAACCCATTATACCAACAGAATTGAAGACAATCGCCGACACAATGAGAGATAATCCCAACTGTTTTCTGGAAAAAGGTATACATTTAGGCGGAGAAAAGTATTTTTGTTTGTCGGCTGAAAACAGTCTAATCCGTGGCCGCAAAGATAATCGGGCGCTTTGTGTTGTGTCAACTAATGCAACACTGGTTGGGGCCGTCACTGCTGACAACGAACCCCCCGGTAAACTCAATACTGTCGTTGAAAAACTTGGCGATTACTTAAAGTCAATGGGATATTAAAGTTTTAATTATACAAAAATCTTATATTGAAAATGTTTTTAATTCTACATTTATTATAATGTTTTGATATTTTAAAATATTATATTTATCTACTAAATTTATTGGTAATAAAAAGTTTTATGTAACAATTTTTATAAAAAATATGTATTTCAATTTATTGCATCTAAACATCAATTTAAAATATTATTCATAAAAAGCGAAATGTTTGAAGCGATACAATTTAATGATGAAATCCAGATTCAATATATATATAAGTGTAAAATATATTTCAAATGTTTTCAATTGATGTGTTTTTGGTGTCAATTTCTAATGTTTTTAAAAACAAATATAAATAACATTTTGTTGTCAAATATATGCCTCAATATAAACAAAAATTGTTTTTACTATTACTTTGAATTTATCTAATTTATCACATTTCGCAAAATATATTCATTAGAAAATTTATTAAATATGAAACAAATTAATTGAAACACGTAAATAATACAATCAAAATAAATATTTAATAAACTATTTTATAATTTATTTTTTTTAGTTATAATCAATATGTTATAAACTGACAAAATTAAATAAAATTAATATAAAATTAATATTATATAGTTTCATTTATTTACAGTACATTATTTATAACATTTATTTAAATAATTAAAATTAAATACAAAAATTACAGTATATATATATACTGTATATATAAATACACAATATTAAAAATATTTAGATGATTAGTCATTAATAATAAATTATATAAACCGTAGAATAGATTACATAAAAAATATTAAAAGTGTAACTTAAGTGCATTGTTAATCAGTTAGTCACTAAATATTACTATAGTTTTCATCATTGATTTTTTTAAATTGGTTTTTTTATATAAATAAATTTGTTATTGTGTTTACAAATTGAGAAAAATTATGCTTTTGTTGATAAAATAATCAATATTTCTTTCGAAGAAAATTAAATCAATAATTATTTTAAAAAATTGAATGAATTAAAACTAAATGTTATGATTTAAAGTTAAAGTATAAGTTGTAAAACGTCTTTTTAAAATATTAACTCATAAAAGTTAAATATATTTTTAAATAAAATTGCATTTGTATATTAAGTATTAATATCTAATTTATGCTTGATAAATATTTATAACTACTTAATTTATAATATTGTATTTAGAAAAAATAAATTATTTTAAAATTAACGATTTTTTTGTTTGATTTAAATTTTTATGATTAAATAAAATACAGTATTTAATATAAATATATAATTTTTAAATTTATTAACTGTTCTTTTCTATGGTTTAACTTTTGTTTATTAATATAAATAGAGTGTAAATTAAAAAATAAATATTTTTAAATTTATAATAAATAATTTATATCTAATTATAATAAAACAATAGTAAAGATATATAAATACAAACATTTTATTCTAATTCTGTTTTATCTGTAAACCTTTAAAAAAACTTTAGTTATATAATAGAAGTAAATATTATTTTTTGCCAAATATATTGTATTAAATTGATTTTTATAAATATATTTGTAGCATAAAAATACTGTATATATTGTTATGTATTTATTGATATTCAACTCAAAATTCGTTTGAATATTATTTCAATTTTTAAAAATGGTTTTCAATTCACAGAATTTATATATTGTAAGACAAAAGTAGAAATGATTTAATAATCAAATGCAGTCAAAGATATGTTTTAAAAAAGATGTGTTTTCTTAACGATTAGATTAAAATATTGAAATTATTTGATCATTATTTCTATTTTATTATTAATTGCAAACAATAACGTTTCAAATATTTTGTAAAATAATACAATATATACTTTAAATAATTTAATTTAGTTATATATTATAGAATAAAGACTTAAAATCAAAGTAATTAATGATTTTTTTTTTGGAAAAATATATCTTAAAACCAGTTGAGAATGCTTCAAAAGCATTTCCATACGAACTCCTAATCAAATTAAATTAAAATCAAATGATTGAGTATGACAAAATAATCTAAACTATAGTCATGTGGGGTATAAAATTATTCAGTATGACAAACTAAACTACATATAATTTTTTTATACCTTTGCCGCCATTTTAAAAAAAATAATCTTGATCTATTATACCTTATTTTTGATACTCTATACAATTCTTAACATTAAAATTTTTACCTAAATTTTTTATTTTGGCCGCCATTTTCTCTAAAGATACATCAAAATTTTAATGCTGATCCCCTATACCTTATTTTTAATGCTTAATCCAAATCTGAAGTCAAAATTTAAAAATTAAATTAAATGCGGACAGACGAACATATAGAATTCATATACGTACTCCTTTCAGGAGTTCGTGATTATTATCAGCTCTATCTAAGCCTATATAACTAATTATCTGAACTAAACTTAAATATACAATTAGATTTCAAATGTTAAGCAATAATAATAATAAAACTGTTTGTGAGCCCTGAACCCCTCTAGTCTACCTATTTTTTATATTTATCTTTTAAAATACAAATACAGTAATTATTTTTATCTTATTTATATATTATTAGAAATAAATTGATTAAACAAATGTATTTAATAAATTTGTTTTAAAAAATTATATTTTCATATTTTTGTAATATAGTTTTAATTTAGGCAATAATAGAGAGTTAATATTTTCTAAAAATATCTTAATATACAATTACTAGTATTATAGATGTTTATTTTTTAAAATTTAAAATTAAGTAATTTAATTAATTATAATTACAAAGTCATGTTTAGTACTTTAAAATACTAAAAGCAGGGGTTAATCAATGTTGGGTTGAATCGGTTTAGCGACAAATATTCCCTAAGACGAAGATTTTAGGATTTTATAAAATTGGAAAATTGTTGCTTAAAAACGATGAGAAATGGCTCTAAAAATTTCGGATCAAAATTTTGTCTAATTTATAAAAATGATTATTTTAGGTAATAATTGTTAATTAAGTGTTTTCTATGTTTTTATCGAATATTTAAAATAAATTATTTAATAAAATTATGTAACTGATAAACTTAAAAATGCTTTTATTTGTTCAATTAATGTTCAATTAAGACAATGATAATTAGTTATGCTTATTAATTAATTTTATTATTTTAAGTTTTGCATTTTAAAGGCAGAATTATTTATTTTTATAAATTAAAAAAATACTTTGAAAATATTTTTATACTTTTAGAGGGAATTTAGGGAATTCTTAGGGAATTTACTCGTGACGACTGTAAATTTTGAAATTTTTAAAAATGTAATAAAAAACCCCTTATTTTCCTCAAGATTTTTCTATTTTACTTACTCTATACCCCCTTAAGATCCAAAACCTTGTTTAATCCCTAACTAAAAGATATATTTTAAAATGTTATCATAAATATTAACGAGAAAAGTGTTGATAAAATGGATATCTCATCTGTTTTTAAAAAACATTAATTTATTATTTCTCAAAAAATCAAGTCCTTTGAGTATTCAGTTGAAAAGTTTGTATAAAGAAGTGTAAAATAAACACTTGAGGGACTGACAGATAGATCTCATTAAAAATATAGACAATAATAATGTGTAAAATGTAATAAATTTAACATTTTAAAGAATTTGTGATGTTTTAAAAAATTACATAAAAATAAGTTTTATATTAATATTTTAAAAGTTGATTACTTCTTAAAAATAATAAATGATATAATTGTTTGTATTTTCTAAAATATTGATTACTTTAGTATAACAGAGTTTATACAGTATTTGTTTATTTCATTTAATTTGTCTTATTATGTATTATTATGTAATCTGTAATCTTATTATGTAAACTGTCTCAGTTTGTGCTCAACCAAAACTATATGAGTTGCACCACAAATACATAGATATATCACTTAATATATACATACAAATAAAAATTAAAACTCCGCCCCCTAAGCATTAAACCTTATAATATTGCTCCCATATATATTACTGTATAGCTGTGTTATACTATAAAGCGTAAAGTAATAATGTAAAGATTTATATATAAGATATTATTTGAATATTAATTAAGTAAACTTATATAATATGAAATTATAACTTTTTATTAATATTTTAATTTTTAACAATTATTCCAATTTAATTTTACTTATAATTATATTAATTATTTATTATATTTTAGTTTAAAAATTATTAAAATTTGTATTTAATAAATCATTAATTTTTATATGGATTATATAAAAAAATTAATTAATTAATTATAAAAAATATATATTTAATATAAAATACAAAATGTAGATATTATTTGACCGCTGCGTTGACCAACATTTTGTCGCAGAAGACAATCAATTTTGTGAATAACATTATTCTTCGACTCTGTATTAAGCCTTTCTCTCAACTGTTCCTCTATTGGCGATCGAATAGTCTGATCGACAACTGGTTTCGCATCGGTAATGAATTCAATCAATGAGTCGTCGATTTTGTGATCAATAGTTGTGTCAGCGCTAAGAAAATAAGTTTTCTGTTCGAACGGTTCGGCCGACGGTTGCGGACATTCAAAGCGTTCAGACATTCGTACGATAACATCGTCGGGCAATCGTTTGTCTTCATCTCTAAGTCGGTTACCATTGAGTGACAATTCCAGTGAAGTGTTGATCATAATTATAGCGAAACCCAATGATAGCTCTTTGCATGTCTGGTACCACTCGTAACGCATACTCTTGTAGTAGAGATTGTCGTCAATAATAATAACAAATTTTTTATTGTCCACAAGTTGTTTGTCTTCGCCATTGATTGATCACAGTTTGGTTGCACTCGTAAATGATGTCTAACAGTGTCATAAATCTTCAAGATCAAGAGTTGATCATTTTGTGTCAATTGTTGGGCAAAAAGTTTGGTTGCAATCACTATAATAAGTTTAAATTGCATACAAACGCTGTTCAGATGTATATGAAAGGAATCCTTAACTGACATTATGTCGTCAATGATATCTTAAACGTGAAGAAGTTGTTGTTGTTGTCGTAAATGTGGCACATGTTTGATCCGACGGTAATCAATAGGAGGACTAGATTGATGACCAGTTATTATCACAAAAAAATTATACATAAAAACTATGTTTGACTTTAAATATTGCTTATAAACCAGTTGAGTATGCTAGTGAGCATTTCCATATACAAATTTTAAAAAAACAAATTACAGACATACTGTTAATCACAAAAAATTAAAACAAAAAATCAATAAAAAATAATAATAATAATAAAAATCACATATTATATAATAATTAAACACTTTTTATACTAATAATTAGAAAAATTAAAGGCATAATCATGCTCTGGAAGATTTTGAACATTAAAAATGTTGAATTTTTCACAATATGGCGCTTCTACTTCCCTAACCACATGTCTCACAGAATTCGGCCAAACTTCAGGTCTAATGTCATCAAATGACTTTATTAATAATTTTCTAAAGTCTTCACAATTGTTTTTAAAATTAAATTTTTTCACAATTTGTTTCCAATCGTTCCAAAGCATTTCAATTGGATTCAAGTCGCAACAATATGGTGGCAACCGAAGTGGATAACATCCAAAACTTCTAATAATATCATCACAATAATATTGTGGTGGCTTTGAATTGTTTTTTACTATTTCAAGCAATTGTTTTCTATTCATATTTGAGTCATAATGCACGTTATTGTCATACAACCACTGTATAATAACATATGTGTTTGGCATTCGATTATATTGACGACTATGTACAGAACAATTGTCAAATATCACAACACTATTTTTCTCTAAATTAGGCATTAGTTTAGTTTTCAGCCAATTTTCAAATATTTCGGCATTGATTTCAGATTTATAAACAATATCTAAGGCGCCATTAATAAATCCATCTTCATTTCCCGCGTGTATTACGCTAAATCTTGGCCCTTTTCCACAACTTTTATTAGTTTTTTCACGTTTATTTGGGTCAATTGTCACTAATGTTTTCTTTGGTACAATGTTTTTATCACAACAACACTCATCAAGCCACACAAATACAGGTGTGCCATCATTTGTCACAATAGTTTTAATTATTTCATTTTTATTCAGAAAAAATTGCTTAATTTTTTCCTGAATTCTAGGAGTGTTGATAATCTCCTCTCTTATAATATAACTGTATTTATAGCCCATTCGTTTCAAAATTTTACTAAAAGTGTTATAACAACACCCTTTAAACGATAATTGCATATTTGAATCATCTGTTTTTGATTCATTATTATGTCTAACATTGTCACAAATTGGTTGCAATGTTTGTTCAAATGACATATAATTCCGTCAATTATTTCATAGTCATCATTAATAAAGTCATACTTTAATGGTCTGTCGTTAGTGTGCTTTATTGGCTTTGGTCCAGACAACACATATTTTTTGACACTGGAAATGCTGACCTGATATTGTTGAGCGATGTCTCTGTATATCTCAATATTTGTCAATTTATAATTATTTTGTTTAATTATTTTCATTTCTTTCCATTTATTAATTATTAATTTTTGGAGTCTAATATCAATCGGTACATTAGTTTTATTATTATTATTAGACATTTTAATTAATTTAATTAACTTTAATTAACTTTAAAAACTATATTATTGCACATAATTGATTGTTATTAATATTGTGTTGTATTTATCACACTATTTAGTACTATTTATTAATCACATTTGTTATCACAAATCTAAAAGTACTTAAACAACACGTGAACTTAGTTTGTTTTCAATGTCACACAATGTCATCCTATAACACAGTCAATAATATATATGCGCGCAATATTACAGCGTCTAATGCTTAAGGGGCGGAGTTTTTACATGGCATAGTTATTATACACACTAACTTGTATTGTTTGTATATATTAAGTATAATCTATGATATATCTATGTATTTGTGGTGCAACTCATATAGATTTGGTTTAGCACAAAGTGAGACAGTTTGTTGCATTTGTTTTCAACATAATTATTGTTTGCATCGCTTTCTTTTAAAAATTAGTTATTACTTAAACTTTTTATTTGAAACAATTGTTTAACTTAATTAAAACAATAATTCTCTAAACATTTGAGACATCAATTAATATTAATAAACTCAAACATATTTATAATTATATAATTTAAAAATTATTTTATAGTAATTAAAAATAATAATAAAAAATAAACTGTTAGACTCCATAATAAACAAATAAATATCGGAAATATATATAGTATTATAATAATATTAATTCATTGATTGTAGAGCTATGTTATGATTTTTTTTATAATAAAAATAAATTCAATTTATTGTTTATTTCTAATTTATTAAGTTTAGTATATATTGTCATTCATATCACGTATTGTGCGATCATTTCTAGATTACACTCTCTTTCGCTTATTTGTCTCTCTTTCTCTTTTTTCTCTCAATCAGACCATAGTTTTCAGTTTACTAGATGTAAGTGATGTGAAAATATAAAACAACGAATCAAATAAACAGTTACTTATGTATTGTTCACTATTTTATGATCACTTTCTATAAACAATATATAATATTAAATTCTAGTTTAAATTTTTTTTATAATAAATATTAATTTTATGATTATTTTTTACTAAAGTTTAACCAAAACTTTTAAAGTAGTGATTCAAATAAAAAATTAGTTTTAAAAAGTTATTTATTATATATAGTGTTGGAAATTTTCGATTGCTGCAATTGCTTAAAATTGCGCGTATGAGGGAATGTATAAAAATTTACTTTGACAACGTTAAAAATGTGGTTTACTATAGATTAAGATAATTTACTAATTTATTATTATTTTTACATGGTTTTTAGATGGCAACATTTTATGATAAAGTAATTAATGTTTTTATTTATATTGCTTTGCCATTTAAATTTTGTTAATTTTTAAAAAATTATAAATTGTTGTATGTTACAATTGTGATTTTCGCAATCGAGCTTTTTGCAATTGCGGCAATTTCACCAATTTCCGAGCCATGCAATTGCGCATTTTGCAAACGATACATCACTAATTATATAAAATATATTATTTATTTACTTTCAATTTACTTCAATAATATTAAATAAAAATGATTAAGACTTAATAAATAAACTTATTACTGTATTACTGTATTAAATATATTAATTATTTAATATATAGTTTTTGTTTAATTTCTAAACATTTTCCGCTAATATTTTTAATTTTTGCCAAAGAATAATAAATTATTTAAAAATATTACAATAAGTTAGTTAATTATTATTTGTTTTCTTAAGTTTTATAAAAGATTAACTAAGTTTTATAAACATATTTTATTATTATGACAGAACTTTAAAAACTTTCAATGTTATAAAATTATTAAGATAATTTACTATTAATAACATTTATAAATTTAATTTAATTTGAATTTTATAAGAAATATTAATTAATAAATTTAAAACTAAATTCTTAGTAAATTAGATAAAATCAAATTTGTATTTTAAATATAATGTTGTTTTATACAATCAATATTAATTACAATATTATTTTTAGAATTTGTTTAACAAACAATAAATATAATTAAAATAATAAGTATACAATATTTTTAAAAATGTTTATTTAATAAAATATCAAAAATATAATAATATATATTTTCAGTATTTTATGTAATTAATGTTTTAATATTAAAAATTCTATTATTTATAATTACAATATATTAAATTAATATGCAACATGTAATATGTATAAAAAATGTAAAAAATGAAAACATCTCATTAAATAACTGTTATTATAATAAATATACAATACTTGAGTATTTAAACAAAATACTGTATCAACTAGTTTTATATTAAATTAGTTTTTATTGTTTACTTAATGTCTTTAATAGAAAAATATTATTTTAATTTATAGTGTAAAATAACATTAAATTTAGTAAATTAACACTTAAGTACTATATTTAACATTTTTTAAAGAAATTGTTGTAATTATAAAATTATAATATATATATAATATAGTATTTATAATAAAAAATAATAATTAAACATGAAATACAAATTAAATTATTAAGTTTATATTATAAAAATTACTATTAAAAAAATAAATAAATTAGTGTTTACTTATAATTTTAATTAATTTTTATGTTATTTATAAAAATATCCTATTATAAAATAAAATCAATTTTCGTATAATTTTCACTTATGAATGAAGAATATAAATAAATAATGACATTTTATATAACTAAATATCAAAAAATGTTATAAACAGTAAGTTAATAAATATAAATTATAACATTTTATACTTTTAAATGTATTATTAAATAGATTCTGTTATAAATTTTACAAAATAATTAAAATAATTTTTTTTTATAATTTATATTAATGACATTACTTTAAGCTTTAATTTGATATCATATCAAATTGCTAATATTATTTTAGTATTATAGTTTTTTCTGGTAATAAAATTGCAAAACATACAAAATTCTAAAAATTGTATCATAAATAAGACATTAAACGTTTAAATTAACAATAAAATTATATTATTACATTTGAATTATTTTAATTCACAGTGAAATATTATAGCTTATTTTTATTAAAATCATATATTAATTTAATCTATAAAAAATATTAAGTTTAGCTAAAAAATTGTTTTATTATATTATATTAAAAAATGATTTAATACTGAAAATTGTAATACTAATTATTAGTAATTATTAAGTAAAACAATTAAAAATTATATTTAATTTTTTTATCTATTACATATAACAAAAATCTAATCAAATTACATAATTTAAATTATTTATTTTTTAAAATTATCATGTATTTTTCAACAAAATATCTATTTGCTCGAAAACTTATTCATTTAATAACCAAATTAATACAATATTAAATTAATATTATTAATACACAAAAATTGAAGCAATGATTTGTAGCATTTATAGCACGCATATATTGATTTAAATGAATTTAATTACTTATAAACTTTTGTATTAAAATAAATAAAACTTTTTATATAAATAGATATTAAATACTAAATTACCCTATTATTCGATTTTTACTTAAAATAATAGTAAAATAATAATAATTATTTTTACATTTTTATTTATTTGTAAATGTTATACCATATCATGTATTATTTAATACGTATACTACCTATTATCACTTTTGTCTATTATAACTTATAATTATTCATAAAGGAATGTAATTTATTTTTATAATATAAAAATAAACGAATAGAAATAAATAACATATAAAATAATTTTGTTTTTGTTTGTCATAATAAATAAAAACAAAATTCACAGTTTGATCAATAATTTATATAAATTTATCCTGGTCACGTCTTTCCATGCTTTCAATTTATAATGTATATCATAATTAACTTATATAATATATAATACATTTACAAATAAAATTTTATAACCAGAAATTTTTAAATATTTGTTATGCAAACATGTAATAAAGTTTTTGAATGTTTGCTACTAAATACTATATATACTGTATGTGTCTATTTTTATACTGTAGGTTTATACAATATATATAATTACCATAAATAAAAAACACTTTTTATTAATTACATGTTATTTTTTTGGCAGAATAATAAAAATAATATTAATTAGATTTAATATTAGAAAAAATTATAACGAAAATTAAATTTAATAATATTTTTTATTATGTTTAAATAGACATATTAAAGATTTTATAATATTATATCTAAATATTGAGACAATTTAACTAATTTTCTTGTTATTTATTTGTATTTTTATTGTTTTGTCATTAATGTTAAACATTGATATATTTTATAAAGACTGAAACAAAACACTCGACACAATTGTATGTCTCAATTACGTTATAATATACTTAATACATATTAATACAATTGGATTTTGTATGCAATACAATATAGGCTATCAAATGTAGATTACGTCAAATGCTTAGTTAAGTGACTGACAATTCAAATGTATTCACACAACAGATAAATGCATTTTTATCACATTATCACTCAATCGATGTTTAATTTGATATTCACTTTATATATATATAAACAGTATATATCGTTTGAAATTTTGTCACTTACTCACAGCAAATAAAAAATTTAAAAACTTATTTAAGTTATATAGAGTTTGAATTATTTGATACATATTTATATTATGTATTCAAATAAAATATATTTCTTTGTTTTGAGTAAATATGTACTTTCTTACGTATTTTCTGTTTCAATGAAAATTTAATAATATTATTATAATATATGCAATTTTATTTATAATGCAAAAATATCAAAATAGAAATGTAATATTTTTGTTTATTTATGACAAATAATTATATTTTCTCAGTTTTATTATATT